TTTTCATTCTCTTGGAAATGTTTCGTTATAAACTGTAAATTTCTCAATAAACTCATCAATCGAGACTGTTCGTTCCGTAAAGCGCCATTTTTGATACTTGACCAGCGTGTATTCCCTCGCTTCCAATAACGTAGTTATCAAGAATATGTTTGGTTGAAGTTGATCGTGTATGTAATCATATCCAAATGTATGATAAGGAATTTGATTGACATCAAGTATTTTTTGGTTGCTTTTGTTTTTAGTTTTTACAATTTTGCAAACACGGAACTTCTTTAAGTCGCATTTACGTGGGATGGTGAAACGTCCTTGCGTGTTAGGTAGGGAAAATTTACGTTGAAAGGTTTTACATTTGAAATGAAGTAATTTAATTTTCCGGTAGATAAGGATATAATAAATAGTATATTAAATGTTTCTCTCATCTCGTGTCTACTACAATACTATAATAACGAATAACATAGTCTATTCATTCACTTTCAGATATACCTTGATGAAAGTCATGTCCAGACATTTGACCGGACCGTTCAGGACATGTATCCCACACATGTTTTCATCACTAATGACATCATGCTCCACAAACTCACGATCACACCAATGATCTAGTAATATTGCTGCAGATATTAGAGACCTGTATCACATAAACATAATTATAACAAATACATCGACAAAACGCTTAATATTATCACATGAATACTCAACTAAAACAGAGTCAGTTGTACACAACATCAAGTTGTCAAGCGACTCCCACACTGCGGGTTACTCCAATCATCCACAAACCACTGTTTCTGTGCCACACCAGCCACACACACACACGTCAAGTTGTCAACCAACTCCCACACCGCGGGTTACTCCAATCATCCACAAACCACTGTGTCCGTGCCACACCAGCCACACACACGACAATTTGTCAACCAACTCCCACATCGTGGGTTACTCCAATCATCCACAAACCACTGTGTCTGTGCCACACCAGCCACACACACACGACAACTTGTCAAGCGACTCCCACACCGCGGGTTACTCCAATCATCCACAAACCACTGTTTCCGTGCCACACCAGCCACACACACGACAATTTGTCAACCAACTCCCACATCGTGGGTTACTCCAATCATCCACAAACCACTGTGTCAGTGCCACACCAGCCACACACACGACAATTTGTCAACCAACTCCCACACCGTGGGTTACTCCAATCATCCACAAACCACTGTGTCTGTGCCACACCAGCCACACACACACGTCAAGTTGTCAACCAACTCCCACGCCGCGGGTTACTCCAATCATCCACAAACCACTGTGTCTGTGCCACACCAGCCACACACACACGTCAAGTTGTCAACCAACTCCCACGCCGCGGGTTACTCCAATCATCCATAAACCACTGTGTCCGTGCCACACCAGCCACACACACGACAATTTGTCAACCAACTCCCACATCGTGGGTTACTCCAATCATCCACAAACCACTGTGTCAGTGCCACACCAGCCACACACACACGACAATTTGTCAACCAACTCCCACACCGCGGGTTACTCCAATCATCCACAAACCACTGTGTCTGTGCCACACCAGCCACACACACACGTCAAGTTGTCAACCAACTCCCACACCGCGGGTTACTCCAATCATCCACAAACCAATGTGTCTGTGCCACACCAGCCACACACACGTCAAGTTGTCAACCAACTCCCACACCGCGGGTTACTCCAATCATCCACAAACCACTGTGTCCGTGCCACACCAGCCACACACAAGACAACTTGTCAACCAACTCCCACACCGCGGGTTACTCCAATCATCCACAAACCACTGTGTCTGTGCCACACCAGCCACACACACACGTCAAGTTATCAACCAACTCCCACGCCGTTGGTTACTCCAATCATCCACAAACCACTGTGTCCGTGCCACACCAGCCACACACACGACAACTTGTCAAGCGACTCCCACACCGCGGGTTACTCCAATCATCCACAAACCACTGTGTCCGTGCAACACACACGATAAAAGTGTCCGAGTCGGCCAATGGCGCCCAGGAAATTATGCCTGTCACTGTCTGCAGGAATGCGCAATGTTTAAAACGTTACATAACCATACCTTCTGTTGCTCAACGAAGGGCATTTTGCAACATACGACAGTCAAACAACACGACCGCTGTCGCCCTTCTCCGGCATATTCGTCCCACGGCGACGCCATTTTTACGTCGCGTCACCTCGCATCAAGCCGTCGATTCACGTCTGTTTTCAAGTGTTCGATATCCTAAAGAACAGTCAACTCTGTTAGCACTCCATTGCATGGCTTGCAGTCGCTGCTAACATCAGTGGTGGAAACATAAGTTTTAACTCTTATAACGGTCTGACATAAGCAGAGATTGAACAACATGTACCATCCTGCAATTACACAGTCTCCTCTGGGGTCATGGGTGGCCCAGTCGTCTAAGGCGCAGAGTTGCGTCCCTTGGGCACGCCAGAAACCTATGATTGTGGGTTCGAATCCCGGTTCGCCCTGATTTTGTTTCTAGGTTTGACAGCACCATACCCGTGCTCGTGGGTTTCAGTTAAGTGGTAAACGTCTGAGACCTGCATCACTTCGGGCTTTCCTCCCACATTAAGCTGACACGCCGCGATATAACTGGAATACTGTTAAAAGCGGAGTTAAACCCAACTCACTCACTCACTCACTCTCCTCAGTTCAACTTGAAACCAACAGGCAGAGGTGTGCTGTTGGAGATTTTACGATTGTTTCCTGAACCTGTTCATTTCTCGCTACATGTACAATAAGTCCCACGGTTAATTAAACGTGGGGTGAGATAAAACAGAGTGCTACGCTCACAATTATTGCACCCAACAACATACTGACTCCAAGTCGACCAGTCCTTATTTTATCCATTTAATGCCGAGCCATCTTTTAACATCCTTGGTGTGACGTGGCCTTGTATCGAACCACCGACCTTCCGCCGTCCAGTCAGACAATCTATCCACTAGACCAAGGAGGTGGTAGGGTTAATTAAAATGTCTACTGGCTAAGTGTGAGTGAGTTTGGTTTTACGTCGCTTTTAGCACTATTCCAGCAATATCGCGGCGGGGAACACCAGAAATGGGCTTTAATAGCATATTGAATAACAAATATAATTCAAATCAAGTGTAAAAATGTTTTTTTCCTGAACCCTGCAAGACTGGAACATTTTTAATACGTTTTCTCCCTTGTGAATCATGATTATTTCTCAAACATGAACCTTATTACGCATGTTTGGCTGAGTTCATTTGTATCGTTCTATATAATAAACTAATTTATATTAAAGAAATTATTGTGATCATGTTGATGTCGATTGTATTGTGATTTTTAGATTTTTAGATGCACCTTACTTAAAACTCCTTTCTCTGACCTTCAAGACTTAAAAGGTACTAATGTTTAATTGGGCTGAAATTGGACGCCAAATGCTTTCTAAAAGATATAAGTATTTATAAACGTAAAATTTTACTTTTGCCTTGTATTGTGTTTTTAAAGGTTATGGTGAAATGTCTGGTAATTTATATTCCAGAGATATACAGCCGTTTGAAATTGGACGATTTCTTTTCGACTTCAATAAGCAATCTACTCTGGCCTGTCGAGACCAGTGGGTCGTGGTGTGCGCAGTTAGTAGATTAATCAATACTTGATGTCACATAATCCTTACCAACATAACTTTTTGTAATTGTCAGCGATCAGTGTATTTGTAGGATCACAATAAAGTTGGTTGTGAGTATATACTGGTTAATATTGCAATATATTCAACAAATATCAATTTTATTTCACAAACAATAACATCGACTTGCTGGATACCGACGTAAAGATCTGCCATGCACAGTATACTTCGTCAGGTTCATAATCAGATCACTACAACACATGAAGGGTATGAAACACTTACCACAATAGGACCAATCAACTTGACAATGTCGAGTCCCATGTAATGTTACGTTGTGCCCTAATCCTATAAACCTGGGTTGTACTCTGAATGCTCACTCGAGGATTAATGTGAACCAGCCATACGGTAATATATACACTGTATGTAAAAAAGACAGAGGATATTGATTTTGGCTAATCTTGGCAAACAGAATATCTATTTTGTCAAGTGGCAAATACCTGTTTTGCCAGATCATGAGTTAGGATAAACCTGTCATTTGACAAGTTGAACAAAATAGTACCATTATCTCAGGCTTCGATCCTGATCCGTGCAAGCAGGAAACGATGGAGCCTGTGTCATCGTGACAATCACCTAGATTGTAGATATATTCATTGACGTCATTATGTATTATTCTCCTCTTGCGTAATAGTGACGTCATTGAAAGAGTTTTTTCAATGTGTACTGTGCATCTGTCTAACTATTCAGAAATGAACTGCTTACGGTGTACCAATGTGGGGAATCGAACCCGGGTCTTCAACCTGACAAGCGAACGCGTTACCAACTAGGCTATCCCACCGGCACAGAATTGTCTGAGAAAATAAAAGTTCAGGGGAAAAAGTGTGTTTCTTTCTCTCTCTCTCTCTCTCTCTCTCTCTCTCTCTCTCTCTCTCTCTCTCTCTCTCTCTCTCTCTCTCTCTCTCTCTCTCATTCTCTCTCTCTCTCTCTCTCTCTGTCTCTCTGTGTGTAGTATAGTGACGAAATGTCGATATTATCACACATTATGATTTACAATGACATTAGTCATTCAAAAATGAATCAATACTAAACAAACAGCAAGCAAATGGCTGACGGCACATCTCTCTCTCTCTCTCTGTCTCTCTCTCTCTCTCTCTCTCTTCTCTCTTCTCTCTCTCTCTGTAGTATAGTGACGAAATGTTAACAGATATTATCACACATTATGTCTTACAAGACATTAGTCAATCAAAAATGAATCAATACTAAACAAACAGCAAGCACATGGCTGACGACACGTCTTCGTGGGGCCGCATTCACACCAGTGGTGCATAATACACCCTTTCATAGCAGCTGGCCTTACCTACTAATCCACTTTGTATTCAGCCCAGGACTTAAGTCAGATTATTGACTGAAGCCCCTACCCTGAGACCTATATATGCCGTTTCAGCATGGGTAGATTCCCTTGTCGTCGCTACCCTAGACAGACCTGGTGCTAGCTGAACGCAGTGTTGCAGGAACCTGTGACTTGAAACGTCATATCAATTATTCAGACAATAACTGGCGTTTCTAAGGGAAGCAACAACGTTCAGTCGGAACGGTCTTGTTATCAGAGGCCTCTAGGGTCATCTCACTATATGTACGTTGATACAACACACGTCTACGGATTGGTTGTGAGGCCCAAGGTAGAAGATTACAGCACAGAGGACCGATCTAGTGGCGAGTAGGGTATTTGTGAGATTACTCACTACACCAGTAACCCAGGAAGGTGAGTGCTTGATCGGAGAATAATAATGTTGTGGATTGTAATGAGTTTATACTTGGCAGTGTACTTCATGTTTCAATTGTTATTTTACATAAACTGAACTATCACTTTCTAACACATTGGATTTTATTCTTTGTTGCTAAACGAAAAGTGCGCTAAACATGTAATCAGTTCCCTCTGTTGTGTATGTATTAATCAAATTGTTGAATATATTGCATATATTCCAACAATATGATTATTAAATACAGAATGTGTTTATTGAACAGAACTCATTAATATCACAGTGTCTACCTTCGTGCAGTATTCTTTTTGAACAGTGCATATCGAAATGTACTACTAATGTTTCAATTACGTGTCACATCCGTGAATGAGAGTGAATGTTGTTTTATGCCGTATAAGCGATGTGCAGCTACATCATGTGCGGTCAATACAATCTGACAATCGAGTCAGACACACCTCCAGTTGATACCTAATGAGTCGAGTACGATACCACACAATCAGTCAGGTCACAATCAGTCAGGTCACAATCAGTCAGGTCACCATCGGTCAGGTCACAATCGGTCTGGTCACAATCAGTCAGCTCACAATCAGTCAGGTCACAATCAGTTGGTCACATTCAGTCGGGTCACAATCAGTCGGGTCACAATCAGTCAGGTCACAATCAGTCAGGTCACAATCAGTCGGTAACAATCAGTCGGTCACAATCAGTCAGGTCACAATCAGTCGGGTAACAATCAGTCTGGTCACAATCAGTCGGTCACAATCAGTCGGGTCACAATCAGTCAAGTCACAATTTGTCAGCTCACAATCAGTCAGGTCACAATCAGTCAGGTCACAATCAGTTGGTCACATTCAGTCGGGTCACAATCAGTCAGGTCACAATCAGTCTGGTCACAATCAGTCGGTAACAATCAGTCAGGTCACCATCAGTCGGGTCACAATCAGTCGGGTCACAATCAGTCAGGTCACAATCGGGCATGTCACAATCAGTCGGGTCACAATCAGTCAAGTCACAATCAGTCAGGTCACAATCAGTCTGGTCACAATCAGTCAGGTCACAATCAGTCGGGTCACAATCAGTCAAGTCACAATCAGTCGGTCACAATCAGTCGGTCACAATCAGTCAGGTCACCATCAGTCGGGTCACAATCAGTCAGGTCACAATCAGTCAGGTCACAATCAGTTGGTCACATTCAGTCGGGTCACAATCAGTCGGGTCACAATCAGTCGGTCACAATCGGTCAGGTCACAATCAGTCAGCTCACAATCAGCCAAGTCACAATCAGTCGGTCACAATCAGTCAGGTCACAATCAGTCAGGTCACAATCAGTCGGTCACAATCAGTCTGGTCACAATCAGTCAGGTCACAATCGGTCATGTCACAATCAGTCGGTCACAATCAGTCGGGTCACAATCAGTCGGGTCACAATCAGTCGGGTCACAATCAGTCAGGTCACAATCAGTTGGTCACAATCAGTCAGCTCGCAATCAGTCAGGTCACAATCAGTCGGTCACAATCAGTCTGGTCACAATCAGTCAGGTCACAATCAGTCGGTCACAATCAGTCAGGTCACAATCAGTCTGGTCACAATCAGTCAGGTCACAATCAGTCAGACTACCACCCGTCCTTCATCTTAGTCAACTCGTACATATATGATAATCATGGGGTACTTGGACGTATGCCGCCCTGTACTGCCCACGGGGGTGAGACATAAGACGCATTCACGTGTCTAATCAAGCGTTAAAGACGGAATTATTATTACAATCAACATCAACCTGACAACAATCGTCGACATATTAGACAGCCTTTGCTTTTCGCGAGTCAATGTGTGGACCATATAAAACACGGCCCAAGAAAATACATTAGCTTTGCTTCGACGCAATACGCGATTTGACGACATTCATAGGGTTTGTTATCTATACCCCTCACCAGTCACTGACATTCGATGCATAGGTGTATTCTATTATTGATGTCGCGCTATCTGTAGGGTGTAAAGCAATCGATATATAGACAAATGATTCAATACAGCGTACAGGTACCAGTTCCTGCGTTGGTATTCGGACGTATGTATATATCTGATTCCTGTTTCATATGGCGTTAAGGTAAAGTGCATGTATAATAAGGTAATTACATATATTTATCATAATTGACAAATTACCACAGGTGTGTTTGTTTCTGTGAGTGCATTTCGGATCTTGAAGCGCAAGGGGAGTTAGGTTATTTTTTCGAGTACATTTCGCTGACTTGGGGATTTTTCTGTTATCGCTATTAGTGGGTGAGTAAGAATCACAAACACATGCGAAGGCATGTCAAGTGTTCACATGAACAAATAAGGGAACAAATGGTACAAGTCAAAATAGGAATTGTATCGGACATATTTTTGCATCAAGTTTTGAAATGTCCTCCCCACGTCCACAACAACACCCTTTTCTGTACTTTACTAAGAAAGTGTTATCCCAAATATAACATTTGTTACATTTGACCACTTTCTAAATGGCATTGTGTATTTATACCTTTTGAAGGCTTTACTAAGGCCTTGAGTGTAATATCATGTCAGCACGATGTACATACTATGTATACTGTACGTACATGCATAAAAAAAGGTAACAACGTAACATACTCTGTTGGGCATACATGTACATGTTCGTCACCAAAGCGTATTGGGAATCAACAAACATAAAAAGACCTCATATTATTCGGGTCATTCAAGAGAATTGTTTGATAGGCATTACTTAGAAGTTGGCGGATGACAAGGTGGACACAATTTTATGGATAACAACTTCTTTAATACTGTAAAAAGCGACGTTTCGGTATAGATCCTTATACCGTTGTCAAGCAAGACTGAATGAGGGACATTGTACAGAATATATATAGTAGGTGAAGGACTTACTGAAATATCTGGAGGTTACGTTATGCTGCAAGTATTGATGATATTCCAATGTTCCAGCGAACACAATCATGGCCGGGAGACCAGCGAGTGTGGGTCCAGACTCATCAAGCGGTTCCACCATAAACCTCCCTTCCCTCAACGTTAGCAAACTAACGCCGCACCCAGAGGAGTGGACACTGCCCCACGAGTGGAACATCGAGAAGAGGGAGGTGTTCCAGGTAGAGCATCTATCCTCTACACACATTCGTGTAGCAAGACAACAACCCATACTTGCAGTAAGAAGCGACTAACGGGATTGGGTGGTCAGGGTCGCTGACTTGGTTGATGCGTGACATCGTATCCCATTTGCGTAGATCGATGCTCAATATGTCAATACATATTATGTTGTTATGAGTGTGGCACTAAACAAACAAACAAACAAACAACAAAATCAAGTGATGACTTAACTCTTATCTGATCGAGTTAGTGCGTGCTTGTGTGTGTGTGTGTGTGTGTGTGTGTGTGTGTGTGTGTCTGTGGGGGCGGTCGGCTAGCCTAGTGGTAAAGCGTTCGCTCGTCTTGTGTGTCTGTGTGTGAGTGTGTGTGAGTGTGTGTGTGTGTGTCTGTGTGTGTGTGTGTGTGTGTGTGTGTGTCTCTGTGGACATACCCTGACGGCTTGGTCGTTGTTCATCAACACCGGGTTTGTCGCTATTGTATAATTACGAATGCTGTTTTCATTAAGTAATTCAGTCAACATGGTTGTTCACCATATATTTGACATATTTTGTTTTACGTCGCAATGTTCAAGCTTTGACACGGCTATACAATCGGGTCGGGGTCAGACCAGTGCTTGATATTATGAGCACAGTCCTACGCTGTTAGGGTGCGATGACCATCCGATCAACATGTATACGAGATTATTGTCTGATTGGCACATACACACACGCTGTGCAACAGTGACCTCGGCGAGGGTGTTTTTTCACGTTTTTAACTGTACAAATATTCTGTTCTATTTTATTTCAGAACTGGAAGATGGATGTCCAAAACCAAATAGCAAATATCGCGACGTCTTTGGTAAGTGATGACACATCATGGTAGATGTTTGAATACCAACAGAATAGTCTGACCTGGGTCTTCATGCTGATTTACTGAAACTGACTTAACATTTAAACTGTCTCGTGTGTTTGATTGTTAAGACGGAGCAAATAAAACAAACCGTCGCTTCATATGCATGCCTCCAAGGTCTAGTGGGTAGAGTAAATTCGGGGGATTTGAAGGTCGGTGGTTCGATTCCCGGTAGCGTCATACCAATACACGTTAAAAGATAGTACTTGTTAACTTGCTTTGCGCTCTGAATTAAGGGGCTCAAACAAGGACTGGACGGCTCCGAGTCAGTGTACTGTCTCTGATTGGGGTAGCCATCTTAGTGAGTGAGTGAGTGAGTTGGGTTCAGTGGACAAGCACTATTAAAACAGGCATAATTCCGGACTAGAACAAGCAGTTACACACAGGTGTACATGCATGCCACCTGCACGTTAAACCCTATTTCACCTCACCTGCTATGATTTTGTACATGCTTTAGCATTTGTAATAATACAGGCAGTGCGATGTTAACAAAAGTATTGTATCAAAAGTCAAAATGTTACATAATCATCAGAACTATCAGATTCAAACTGCCTTTTAAAAATTCTATTTTCGAGGATAGTTAGGTAACGAAAGCATAACGTGTAACGATCAGTGAACGATGAGCCCGGTCTGGCCGTCACTGTATAATTACATACTTTCTTTGAATATTGATTTATTTCAGGCAATATACAATTGGCAACTAATCATTGATTACATTTGCTCTTTACGCCCATCTTCCCGAGGCAAGAGAGTTAACTGACTTTACAAGTCCAGTTTCCACCCTTGCCGAACTAGCCTGGAATTCCTGGGCTCGATCGTAGCGCCACCAGTTGCTATTACGAGTTGTGTCCATTCTATGCCTCTCCCATATGGACCAATCAGATTCCACCTCTCGTATCACATGCATTTGTTTCAAACAAAATGGTGGCGCCCAGTCAAGACGATCTGATCGGCCATCAAGATCTATTTTGTGTACATCAAATCACGGGAGCACCTTGATTAAAAACATGAAAAGATTTGGAAAATATCTGTTGACAACGAGTTGGAGATTCACATGCTTTGCAAATCCTGCAATCGACCGAACTCTGCATGGCAGTTTACGAACCGGATTTCGATTTCGGTGCGCGATTTTGATTGGACTGTGCATAGACTCGTTAGTCCAGCCAAAATGTAACTCCATTATCCCAGCCTATTTCGGCAAGGGTGGAAACTGGACTTTTATAGTCAGTTAACTCTCTTGCCTCGGGAAGATGTTTACGCCAAGTGGAATCTGTTTCGGCAGAGAATCTAGGCTGGTTATTCTCTTGCATTGACAATTTTTATTTACATCACATGTATATACTTACAGGACAAATCCTTGCAACATTTCCCACATCCTGAAGTAGGACCAGGGCTCGACTATCAAGATGAAATAGAAAAAGCTCAGATGGAGAAAGTGAAACAAGAACGAGAGAGACAGGCCGGGAACACCCTGTTGTATGGACTCGCGAGAACTGCGTGTGCCGAGAGACGATAGTACCAAGTTGAGGAAAATAGCTGATAGATATGAACAGTGCATCCTTCATACGATTTGGGTGTTCTCCTTGTCATACTGTTACAGTGCCCTATTTTCTCTAGTATTACTTAAAATAAATTTGATACGAGATAAAATATCATATGTAAATATGTTCAACATATTTAGGCTATTTTCTGTTATTCAAAATGGTTAACTTTGGCAAAACTGGGTAACAATTTTGAAATATGGAAAATACAAAAAAAATCCTAACTAAACAATTATGAATAACAGAAAGTAGAAAATAGCCCCAATGTTAAGGATATTAACATATGATATCTCATCAATCATCAAAATTTATTTTAAGGAATAGTCGAGCACATGGTGCACTGAATCCATATTGCTGTCTTAAGTATATAGTGACAAGGGTATCACCTTTGTATTATGTTTGTCGTGCATATACTGAACCTCTATTAACTCGTGTTAAGACGATGAAAATGTACCGTCCAGACAGGATCTGTATCTATAACAGTATGGTCAAATATCTCTCCATGGTACAAAACGTAGAGGTTAAGTGGATTTAGCAGAACAAGCATGATGATTCTGTAGGTGTAAATACATGCTATACTAATCTAATTCACGTGTCTGGTAGAAATGTATGTATACATACATGTATGTCTCACAGTATCTGAACCTTATTGTTTTCCCTTCCCCCCCCCCCCCCCCCCCCCCCCCCCCCAACCCTTTCTGTAACGCTATAACGCTAAACCAAACAAGACTCGATTTGTACACAGATTCACAGACTGGGTCTCCTTTCAATGAACATGTGGTTGCTAGTTTCCAACAAAAAATATACGTTCATAGGCTTAGCGTTAGTCTAATGTATATCCTCTTTCAAAAGAAGCTGAACGAATATACGAAAGCAACAATGCAGTCTTCGTGGTTTGCTTAATCAGCAAAAATAATACTCCCATAATGCAGATTTACAACACTGAGAAAAATAAAACTCCGAGAAAGATCGTATTGGTTAATGGTTTTGTGTCTGATTGGATGACATTGGAGTATGTATACATGTATATTAAAATCAGTGTTAGTGTGTGATGTGAGATCGACTGCATGGTATGGCCTATTTAGAGTGACCTTGTGACGGGCTGGAACGACATTGGACTATTAATGATAAGTGACTATGTATTCATCACAGTATTAGAGAATGATGCTGTGGTTATTCTTTCAGGATTAAAATATAAAACAAGTTCACGTAGAAGTACTCGTATACCAATGGGGGACAACATACTCCTTTCTCGTATACCAATGTGGGACAATATACTCCTTTCTCGTATACCAATGTGGGACAATATACTCCTTTCGCGTATACCAATGTGGGACAATATACTCCTTTCTCGTATACCAAAGTGGGACAATATACTCCTTTCTCGTATACCAATGTGAGACAATATACTCCTTTCTCGTATACCAAAGTGGGACAATATACTCCTTTTGCTGATACATAAGCTGATTCAAAGTTACTAGGCGGAAGTGCCCCAGTGTCACTAACCTCACACATAGATGTTATGCCAATTATCATATCTTAACATTTCTCGCCATGATGATCTCCAGTATGCTGGAGTTTGATGTAATACATAATGTCATATAAATGCTGATGTGTTTGTTGTTGTCTTTCTTTAATCTCTATTTACGAAGACAATAAAGAGCGCCATACAACTCTTGTTCAAAAGTTGTTTAATCAGGGTTAAAACATTCAAGGTCACAAACACCTGGTGTCGTCACTGTTTGACGGCGATACATAAACACATGTTCATGATATTGTCGGAATGGTACAATGGACTCTGATTTGAGTAGAGATTTATTATGATTATGGATTGGTTTTTGACGCATTTATTTTATAAAAGACCATTTCCATGTCATTTATGGAAATATATCATTATACATGCCCATGAACTTACACATACGTGTGTGAAGGCGTAGAGTTCTAGATGACGTATGTCGCCCATAAGTCGTCATAAGGTTTGCTGTATTAAGCGCGACTCACACGGGTCGGCCTGTCGTAACGACATGCCGATTTCCATACATTGTACAACATGTTCGGTGATTGTAACGAATATCGACAAATCGATTTGTTGCCACTCACACGATTCGATCTGCCGATTGGGTGTCGATCTCATGATATCTCACGATGATTTGTTTCCATGGTATCAAAATGTCTAATCGCGCCACATCCAACTTGCCGATTAGCTAGAACAGACTCTACGCACTCGCAACACAATCGATGCGGGTTCGAGCTGCCGATTTGTCCTTTTTGTCAAATTCGATTAATCACTCAGACGATACGACTCGGTCGAATTCGGCATATCGATTCGACAGGCCGACCCGTGTGAGTCCGCCTTTAAATGTATTCAACTGTTTCAAGGGATTTGGAAATATGGATGATTTAATCTTATCGTCCAAATGAATGGGGCGTTGTACATTCTAGTTCGCCCGCCCACGTCGGTCAGCACTAGGTCACGCGTCGAGACATTCCACGCACGTGATTTGTTGCCGGAACAACTAGTACGTCCTCAGAAGTTCACAGCCGGGCGGTTTCATCTGGCAGAATCACATCCCCCACCATGCATCCTCATCAAGTCACCAGAAGCAAGGATTTTATTACGCTTCACGTGGTTTGGTCAGGATGACTTGCAGATGAATGAATGAATGTATGCTTTTATGAAGGAATTTATTTGTCGTGAGTTGTGAGTTGTTTTTACGCCGTTTTGAACAGTATTCGAGTTATTTCACTTCGTGACAGCTTAATATTGGAGGAAAGCTCGAATTGATGCAGGTCTCAAACGTTTACAACTTTGGTTAAACCCACCAGCACATGTAGCCTGCTCAGGACTCAGGAATCAGTCGAAATACATCTTAGGTAACTTGTTCATAAGAAAATAACTATCTCAGGGTGGAAATGAGCCGATGTTTGTCTGATTGCTCTAGGTAAAGGGAAGTAACTCGGTTCACTAGCATCATCTGCACTCAGCAATATTCCAGCTATATGATGGCGGTCTGTAAATAATCGAGTCTGGATCAACCAAATCCAGTGATTGACAACATGAGCATCGATCCACGCAATTCGGATACGATGACATGCATCAACCAAGTCAGCAATATTCCAGCTATATGACTGCGGTTTGTAAATAATCAAGTTTGGATCAGACAATCCAGTGATTGACATCATGCACATTGATCCATGCAATTTGGAAATTGATACAAGGACAAGCATCAACCAAGTCAGCGAGCCTGACCACCCCATCTCGTTAGTCAGCTCTTACAACAAGCATAGTCGCCTTTTGGGTTGCTGAAGACCTATTCTACCCTGGATATCTTGGAAGTTGGCTACTACGTTGTTAAAACATGTGCCCAATTATTTTCCTAGTAAAGAAATGTTAAATCTATACAAATCGTAACAAAAACAGGTGATTTTCTTTATCTTTTACTTCTCCTTAAAAAAATAAACATATGCAAATGAACAATGTCATCGTGCTTCATATGAATGTATATTCAACACACTGCATACCTTATGCATTTTCACAGGTTCCCTGCACAGGAACTCGATGATAGCGTGTTCAGCATAATATATTCCTACAGAAAAAAAATAATCACACCCCTCTCTATACATATAGACATGGTATAGAGGGGTGTGATTTTTTCCTATACGAATATATATCATGCTAAACACACAGTCATCGAGTTCCTGTGCTTCCTGGCTAATGAATGGAGTTTTTTTAAGCATGTTAAGCACAGATTGCTATGTGTGATAATGCTTCACTCAATTAAACATTTGCTCGCATGTAGACAATTTCAGGCACTTTTCAAGTATTCCAAAGACATTACTTTGGTATTAAAAAAACATGGACACTTTCGAATTCATGCATTGACTGTTTAGACAGGAGTGTTTCTACAATGGCACATACTCTGAACAGACACAGCCACCCATACTGATTAGGGATTAGGTTTGGGAAAGTACACGCAAATTCATACAAAAATAATAGGATAACATGTTTTTCAACAAGAATCTGCCATTATTCCATAATTTATAACAGACTGAAAAAAGACACAAACACAAATTATACTGATTATCAATGGCACCATGTTAATCATTGGCATCATTTTTCTGTATATTACACCTCCGAGTAACCATGGTGACAAGCATTCATTTTATAAATTAAATGATATACTCATCACTAAACATATCACAGACAAATAGAACTCATCTTGATTTCATAAATCAATCATCATCATCAGCAGCAGCAGCAGCCGCAGCAGCAGCAGCAGCTCTTTTTTCTTTTGTTCAATAATCATCATCATCATCATCATCATCATCATCATCATCTCTTGTTCTGCGTGACAGACCATGTTCTCTGTACTGCCTTGCTCCTCCTCCCTGCTCACAACCTGGCTTTGGACACAGGGACTCCCGAGGACAACATCTTCTTCGCCTGGTAGAAGTTGTTGGAGCCAGTGAGCCAGCTGCCTCCATCCGCAAAGATAGTCGTGCCAGTCAGGAGTTCACTGCCCCTGGTTGTCAGAAAAAGGCAGACATCGGCGATGTCCACCCGCAAACCAACCCTCTGGATGGGAATTGCTTTCTCAAATTCTTCATCTACACGACCACCACCTGCAAATTGGAAGAGAAAGTTTTAGGATCAGTAAGCAATTATTGGAATAAAATACTGATTTCTGTTCATGAATATTTTCGTGTTCTCAATCAGAATTCAAATGTACCTTACAACAATTGAACATTTGTCAGCAAACACTTAACTTTAACATCTAATTCCTCAGCTTCAGACAGTGGAGATGTAACAGTGACAAGTTGCTGTAGGCAGTGGATCTCTATCAGCCTGGACAGTCTGGACGCCACTCCTCCTTAACAACTACTGATGGGAACATCAAAATAAAATCTACCATAATATTTAAGAATCTTGCATTCTGATTGGTCCACCAGCAGTATCAAATCTACAATAGAACATGAGTTTACTGATGACAGCATCAACTACTCTGCCAGTAACAACAAGTATTTCTCCTGAGGGGAACATACCAAGGCGTCTCCATCCCTCGGTGTCAGCAATTGGGCCCGGGGCCACACACATGACCCTCACTCCGTTCATTCCCCACTCCACCGCCATGTGACGGGTCATCGCCTCTAAAACAGAACCAGCGTAGGAATGGTAGAAAAGAGGTAGAGGCATTTGAACCCTGGAACTTCAATACAAGTTAGTAGCATCTAAAGTGAGTGAGGTAGTAGAGTTTTACTCCACTTATAGTAATTTCTATTGGGGATCAAGGTATTAGCTTCACACATTGCACCCATGTGTTAAATGGAAGTCTAATTTCAACAGGGGGTGGTCAGGTAGCCTAGTGGTTAAAGCGTTTGCTCGTCACACTTTAGACCCCGGTTTCGATTCCCGACATGGGTACAATGTGTGAAGCCCATTTCTGGTGTTCCCTGCCGTGATATTGCTGGAATATTGCCAAAAGCGGCATCAAACCAAACTCACTCATTCTAATTTCAATATCTCAAAAATGAAACTAAACAGGCAGATATGAATGCAAATAATAAAGCCACACTTTTACATTGCTGTGGTTATCCTATACATCCTTTTGTTTTTTAGCGCCATGGCATCTACAACCATAACGTCAGGTGAAGTGAAATGGGCTTCAATGTCAGCTCTTACGACAAGTACGAGTACTGTGGACCTATTCTGCTGGGGAATGCCCACAGGGTCGACAAGGGGTTAAGAAGGACTGTATAATATCCACTTTAAACAAACCTATGGCTGCCTTGGCTGAGCCAGCATGAGTCTGCATCATAGTTCCTCTCAGATGCAGCAACGCTGTTATGTTGATGATGACACCGCCATTTGTCTACAAGAAGATCCAGTTATTGTGACAGTACCATCTATACAAATGTGACAGGGTGATTGAGGTTTGTGAGTATGGCTTCACAACCAACATAAACCAACAGTGCTCATCCAGGTAGACACCTGATTTCAGTCCCCCTGCAGGTAAATGACTGATGCCACATCCTCCTCCAGGTGTACTGGTACACCTGATGTCTGAACCCCCTCCAGCTTCCCACCTGAGGCCACCACCCCACCCCACCCACCTCCTCCAGCAATACACCTGATGCTGCAACCCCCCCCCCCCCCCCCCCCCAGCTATACACCTGATGCCGCCAACCCCCCCACCAGCTATACACCCGATGCTGCAACCCCCCCCCCCCCCTTCTCCATCTATACACCTACACCTGATGCCACAACCCCCACCCTGTACTCAAGCTCTCAAGCTATACACCTGGTGCTGCCAATGCCCCCCCGCCCCCCCTCACCCCATCTATACACCTGATGCCGCCAACACCCACCTCCTCCAGCTATACACCTGATGCCACAACCCCCACCCCCAACTCCAGCAATACATTTTGTACTACAATAGAAGCAGAAATACTCTTACACACCTTCATGCTCTTGTCGTACACAGCCTTGCTGACGTTGAATGTCCCGTGAGCGTCGATCTCCATGACAGTGCGGAAGGCGTTGAAGGACATTTGGTCTAGGGGGCAGAGGAAGTTGCCAGCAGCACCTGCAATCAGTCAGTCAGTCAATCAACTCAGAACCGATGGCAATCCTACAACTTTACAGTAATGTTCCATTGAGATGACTGTGTCCATGGTCTAGCAGTACAGAGATGACTGTCTCCGTGGCATAGTGGTACAGAGATGACTGTCTCCATGGTCTAGTGGTACAGAGATGACTGTCTCCATGGTCTAGTGGTACAGAGATGACTGTCTCCATGGTCTAGTGGTACAGAGATGACTGTCTCCGTGGTATAGTGGTACAGAGATGACTGTCTCCATGGTCTAGTGGTACAGAGATGACTGTCTCCTTGGTCTTGTGGTACAGAGATGACTGTCTCCATGGTCTAGCGGCACAGAGATGACTGTCTCCGTGGTATAGTGGTACAGATATGACTGTCTCCATGGTCTAGTGGTACAGAGATGACTGTCTCCATGGTCTAGTGGTACAGAGATGACTGTCTCAATGGTGTAGTGGTACAGAGATGACTGTCTCCATGGTCTAGTGGTACAGAGATGACTGTCTCCTTGGTATAGTGGTACAGAGATGACTGTCTCCATGGTCTAGTGGTACAGAGATGACTGTGTCTATGGTCTAGCAGTACAGAGATGACTGTCTCCATGGTCTAGTGGTACAGAGTTGACTGTCTCCATGGTCTAGTGGTACAGAGATGACTGTCTCCATGGTCTAGTGGTACAGAGTTGACTGTCTCCATGGTATAGTGGTACAGAGATGACTGTCTCCATGGTCTAGTGGTACAGAGATGACTGTCTCCTTGGTCTAGCGGTATAGAGATGACTGTCTCCATGGTCTAGTGGTACAGAGATGACTGTCTCCTTGGTCTAGCGGTATAGAGATGACTGTCTCCATGGTCTAGTGGTACAAAGATGACTGTCTCCATGGTCTAGTGGTACAGAGATGACTGTCTCCATGGTCTAGTGGTACAGAGATGACTGTCTCCTTGGTCTAGCGGTATAGAGATGACTGTCTCCATGGTCTAGTGGTACAGAGATGACTGTCTCTGTGGTCTAGCGGCACAGAGATGACTGTCTCGATGGTCTAGTGGTACAAAGATGATTCCATGGTATAGTGGTACAGAAATGACTGTATCCGTGGTATAGTGGTACAGAGATGACTGTCTCCATGGTCTAGTGGTACAGAGATGACTGTCTCCGTGGTCTAGCGGCACAGAGATGACTGTCTCCATGGTCTAGCGGCACAGAGATGACTGTCTCCATGATCTAGTGGTAAAGAGATGACTGTCTCCATGGTCTAACAGTACAGAGATGACTGTCTCCGTGGTCTAGTGGTACAGAGATGACTGTCTCCGTGGTCTAGTGGTACAGAGATGACTGTCTCCATGGTCTAGTGGTACAGAGATGACTGTCTCCATGGTCTAGTGGTACAGAGATGACTGTCTCCATGGTCTAGTGGTACAAAGATGACTGTCTCCATGGTCTAGTGGTAAAGAGATGACTGTCTTCATGGTCTAGTGGTACAGAGATGACTGTCTCCTTGGTCTAGCGGTATAGAGATGACTGTCTCCATGGTCTAGTGGTACAGAGATGACTGTCTCCGTGGTCTAGCGGCACAGAGATGACTGTCTCGATGGTCTAGTGGTACAAAGATGATTCCATGGTATAGTGGTACAGAAATGACTGTCTCCGTGGTATAGTGGTACAGAGATGACTGTCTCCATGGTCTAGTGGTACAGAGATGACTGTCTCCGTGGTCTAGCGGTACAGAGATGACTGTCTCCATGGTCTAGCGGCACAGAGATGACTGTCTCCATGATCTAGTGGTACAGAGATGACTGTCTCCATGGTCTAACAGTACAGAGATGACTGTCTCCGTGGTCTAGTGGTACAGAGATGACTGTATCCGTGGTCTAGTGGTACAGAGATGACTGTCTCCGTGGTCTAGTGGTACAGAGATGACTGTCTCCGTGGTCTAGCGGTACAGAGATGACTGTCTCCGTGGTCTAGCAGTACAGAGATGACTGTCTCCATGGTCTAGTGGTACAGAGTTGACTGTCTCCATGGTGTAGTGGTACAGAGATGACTGTCTCCATGGTCTAGTGGTACAGTGATGACTGTCTCCATGATCTAGTGGTACAGTGATGACTGTCTCCTTGGTCTATTGGTACAGAGATGACTGTGTCCATGGTCTAGCGGTACAGAGATGACTGTCTCCGTGGTCTAGCAGTACAGAGATGACTGTCTCCATGGTCTAGTGGTACAGAGATGACTGTCTCCGTGGTCTAGCAGTACAGAGATGACTGTCTCCGTGGTCTAGCGGTACAGAGATGACTGTCTCTGTGGTCTAGTGGTACAGAGATGACTGTCTCTGTGGTCTAGTGGTACAGAGATTACTTCCCTGGCCGCATCATACCAAAAAAAGGAAAGAGATGGTACTTTTTGTTACCCTGCCAGGCGCTCGGCATTTAGGGGGAAAAAAAGGAATGGTCGACTCGGAGTCAGTACATTGTGTCTGAGTGAGTGGGGTATTCATGTGAAACTTCTGAATGGTATCTCAGTTGGATAGCACTACTATAAAGTAGGCATTAGTCTAGACTTGTTTAAGGAACAACATTTTCTGCAATTTCAAACGGCCAATATGTACAATGGCAATTGATTCTGTAGAATTGAAGCATATGTTTTTGATGAAACTGTTTGTTTTATAAAATCACAGACATAGAAAGTATTTAAATAGGAGACCTACCATTGACCAAGATGTCAATTTTCCCAAACTGCCTCATTGCCTCATCCACTGCTTCCAGTATCTGCTGCGGCTGAAATAATAATAATAATCTCAGTGTCTTATGTATGTATGTATATATATGAGCAAAGCCTACACCCACTGGGCCTCACTTAGACACCTAAAAGACACCTTGTATTGAAAAACATTTACAGATAAGTTGGTTGGTTGGTTGGTTTGTTGTTGTTTAACGCTGCACTCAGCAATATTCAAGCTATATGACGGCGGTCTGTAAATAATCGAGTCCTGACCAGACAATCCGGTGATTAATATCATGAGCATCGATCCACGCAATTGGGATCGATGACATACATCAACCAAGTCAGCGAGCCTGACCACCCGATCCCGTTAGTCGCCTTTTATGACAAGCATAGTCACCTTTTACGGCAAGCATGGGTTGCTGAAGACCAATTCTACCCCGGAATCTTCACGGGTCTTACATATAAGCATTGAGCATTGAATTTTAAAAAATTCATATACACTTTACACCTACCTATGAACACCTACCCCCCCAAACCTTCCTCATCCAACATGATCCACATTCACACCCCATTTGGTCATTCACAATCCAAACTCATCCTTTTTGGGATTCAGTATGATAGCCACTTAACTGACAAGACTGTTTTCCACTTTTCTCATTACTTATTCCACATTAACACACAGCCACAAAGTGACATCACAACACAAGGAGATGTTTTCACTGTGTTCTGATATAGAAAAGTAGCAAAATATGAGAAAAGATTCAGTCTCAGCAAGCTACCTGTATTGTCTCGTGAGTTACTATGAGCTGTCATTTGCTCTACATCTACCACCTGAGTGTTTCAAGTTAAACAACCAACTGCCTCCATGAATGCCTCTAGGGCATTAAGATAATGTTCTGCTTACTTATCTTGTTGATAAATATGACCCGCGAAGATCCGGGGTAGAATAAGTCTTCAGCCACCCATGCTTGCTGTAAAAGGTGACTATGCTTGTCGTAAGAGGCAACTAACGGGATCGGGTGGTCAAGCTTGCTGACTTGGTTGATTATGCATGTCATTGTATCCCAATTGCGTGGATGGATGCTCATGATGCCAACCACTGGATTTACAAATTGCCGTCACTTGGCTGGAATATTGCTGAGTGTGGCATTAAACAACAAACAAACAAATATTGATCAATACTGATGCAAAACAATACACACAGTGAGGACCTAATGAAGCACCTGTTTCCTTGTTATCCATCTTCTACTTTATGAGTGAGTGAGTATGGTTTTCCTCCTTGGGGGACACCAGAAATTGGCTTTACACAATGTACCCATGTCGGAAATCAAACCCGGGTCTTCGGTGTGGCGTCTACTTTATGAGATGTGACTTAAAATCACAGAATATTAGTCAAAATAATAAAGTGGTTTAAAATAACTTGAATGAACCATGCTAGAACTCCCAGTTGCCTTCAGCATAGTCGCCCTTGATCAACACAACCTTACAGTGCGAGTGATATGGTTATGCCATCCAACCACTGAGCGAGCGAGTGAGTGAGTGAGTGAGTGAATGAATGACTCACCTTCCTGACATCCACACTTAGAGGCAGGCATTTCCTTCCTGTTGCTGCTGTCAGTGTTTCCGACGCCTGCTTCACTCGCTCAAAGTTCCGCCCGACTATAATTGTGTCACACCCATGTCTAAACACAACATTTTATGGTCAACTTTTAGGGACCTGATCTGTTATAATGCATACAAGAGAAAATCATGCATTGATAGAAAGAAAGAAAGTAAGTTACCATTTTCAGAGGTAATGGAAAAATGTTCATTTATTATTTTGTTATTTTATTATAAATTACCTATCCCTAACACGTCATATTTTATCATCAACTTTCAGAGAAAAACATATCAACAAGAAGATATACATAAAAAATACAAAGAGAGTTTCCCTATAAAGGCGACACTTTGGAGTTAAAGATCTTACTTTTTACGAACTGCAAACAGTAAGCCTTATCTCAAAACATGAAGTGACATCATCATTATGCCTACAGTATATTTGTACAGACTTCCAGTACTGTTACTTAAGATAAAATATAAATATTATGTGCAGAAAGCTATTCATCCCATTTCTTCATTAATCATAACATCAGGAGAGACTAACACAAAGTCCCATAATGAGCGATGGTTAAGTGAGAGTTGAACCCACCTCATGAAGATCTCAGTTACTGTGAAGCAGATCCCGGAGCCACCACCAGTTACAAAGGCGACTTTCCCTCTGAAATCATGGAGACGAAATCAAACTGGGTTCAAAATAAGTGCCTGTCCGTAGGCCCGTGGCAGGTAGATCTCGTGTCGGGCTTGTAGTTTCACATTTGTGTGGGTCCTGATGGCCTGCAGTAAGTTTACATGTCGATTTCTTTGTCACAATAATCTACAGTTTTTTAAATGAGGGCCTGAAGAGTTTGCTCGGAGCCTGCAGCTTCTAAAGTCTGTGGGTTCTGATGGCAGCCTCACAATCATTTTTATGTTGATATATCAAGATGTATGCATTGGCTGCCCCACACAAGCAACTTACAAAAAAAAATGGAACTCAATCTACCTACAAGGAACTAGTGCCACTCCATCGCATAAAGAATCTAGGGTTTTGGACACAAAGAACACAAAGAAATACACTCTAAAGTCTCCATATAAGCCTTAAAACAAATTTTAAGCTTCATTGGCAATTATAGATACATACAAATGGAGTCCAAAGGTTATGTAGCTCAAAACAATGTTTTCAAAATACAAGTATCATTAGATAATAAAGGTTACGATAAAAGTTTCAATATTCCAGCGATATGATGGCAGTCTGTAAATAATCGAGTCTGGACCAGACAATCCAGTGATTGACATTATGAGCATCAATCCTCGCAATTGGGATACGATGACATGCATCAACCAAGTCAGCGAACATGACCAACCGATCCCATTAGTTGCCTCTTACGACAAGATAGTTGCCTTTTATGGCAAGCATGGGTTGCTGAAGACCTATTCCAACCCGGATCTCCCCGTATATCTTGCATGGGTGGATCTTCTTATTTGATATTGGTATTTTGTGGTCACGTTCTCCACACTAAATTTACTGTGGTATAACCCTAGACGTGTGATCATAAGCACAAATGTCGCTGTCAGTGCTGCATAAACACTGTATGCTAAGTTAGAAGCATATCAATGTATTGCAACTTTTGCAAGTCATGTTATGTTCTAGTGCACGACAGACCGATAGATCATTATAATTTTCTTATTATCTCACCTGAGTATGTCTGGTTTAAATATATATTTGTAATTTTCTTCACATGTCTCTTTGTGAATAACATCATTTCGTGACATGTTCTCCGTTCAAATATAAATACAACTGAAGTGATGGAGGTTATGCTGGAGTGGACAACTTCTTCGAGGACATGTGCGTGAACTTTGAACTTGTTTTCACATGAAAAAGTAGGATTTACATCTGGAAGAAAGATTGTCTCAACGAGTATAACCCAACGACCGTATATAAACCAGACAGCATTTCTCGACGTAACACATACAACTCAGAATTGTGTACTTAATATAGATGTGGTGATAGCCTTTTGAGATTTGTCAAGTTGTACTAATGACGTTTTTGAAGTGGTTAAAAATTTATAACGTACGCTACATTGAAACGAATACCAGTTTTATACACATCTAGTAAACTGGAATCGGTGTGTGTAATCACGTGACTGTCTTGTGATTACAAAATGGCGATACCCGACAGAAGAATGAAAGGTTTCCTCGTTCTCGGTAAATATGTGTTTCTATTTCCTCCACATTTAGCACTGTCATTGTCTCCTGTAGAACGAATGTATTATACATATGGGAAACCTGGCTGTCGGTCGCGGCGCGTATTATTCTCAAGCTAACCAACATTGGACAATATGTTGTTGTTATCACAAGAATCAGTTGTTATTGCTGTTATAACCTGTCATCGCGACGAAAGAGAATCGTGTCGACACTGGCATCATAAGTACAATTTTAAACAGTGACAGTAAACAGAAAAGCCCTTTTACAGTTTTTAATTAGCGCCTGTGGAGGATCGAACTGAATTTGCCATCTTGAAGCTATGCTTATGACTTCCGGAGACGGTTCCGTTTGTTTTTAAATCATGCTTCTCATAATTCGAGTGTGACGTCTCCCATTTATTTCCTCCCCGATTACATTCTCAAAAGAAAACAAAAGAGTTCAAGGTGGGTTCTACTATTAAATGTCCGGGAACGCCCTGCAGGTTTCATAAGATGTCTGCAAGTTAAATAAAGCTGTGATGTCTTTGTTTGTTTGTTGTTTAATGCCACGGTCAGCAATATTCCAGCTATATGACGGCGGTCTGTAAAATAATCGAGCCTGGACCAGACAATCCAGTGATTGATATTATGAGCATCTGTCCACGCAATTGGGATCGATGACATGTATCAACCAAGTCAGCGAGCCTGACCACCCGATCCCGTTAGTCGCCTTTTACGACAAGCATAGTCGCCTTTTACGGCAATCATGGGTTGCTGAAGACCTATTCTACCCTCGAATCTTCACGGCTTGCTGTGATGTAGGTGTCGAACTTATTTGCTGTGATGTCAGTAAGTAAGATCGACACTTTGATTCAATCGTGAGAATATTCGCTGTTGATGGGATACGTAGAGTTTTATACATACAAGCATGTGTGTCATACTGATTTTACGACTGTCAGAATTCTTTTATTTGGGAGCACCATTAGAATACAGGACGGCAACTTCTCGTGAGGACAATCTCTACTGTATTGACATATCACTGAAACAAGCAACCAGTTTTTGAGAAAATCTGACAGAGAAGAATTCATGACCTTTCGGATTGTTCCCCCGACAACTAACCAACTGAGCTACGTCCACACTGTTAAACTTAGAGCAGATTTACCTAGTCATGCTAATGCCATAACGAAACTGAACATAAAGGGTTGAATAGGTGACGGCCACTTACAAAGATTAGGGGTAGGCACGGTGTCTCGTGACTTTAGTCTTTGGGCCCTTACGAGCGATCCCAATACCATTTGGCACACGCGTCCTATTCCGTAATCTACAAGATACTGGGTGGATAGGAATAATCCGATATGGAGTGAAATGAAAACGGTTCCAGGCGTCAGATTCAAATTCACGGGTACGCAAGAATGACGTGGGACCACTTGCTCAAAGCGATCTTAGCGTTGAGATGATTGTAACTCCCTTACTTTAACATAGGCTTATGATAGTCTTAGTGCTAAGATCACTTTGTGCAAGTGGGCCCTACAAGTGTGGAAGGGAACCCTGTAACTACTGTAAGGATAATGTGGATCATAGACAGGAATGAGGGAGGCATAGGCATAACTAGTGAATGGATCATAGACAGGAATGAGGGAGGCATAGGCATAACTAGTGAATGGATCATAGACAGGAATGAGGGAGGCATAGGCATAACTACTGACGCCCCAAGGGGATTTCAGCTTGTGTGGATGTTCCAGGACAGTTCCCAGTGTCCAAAATAGTGTCCTAGCCAAAAGATCCAAGGGCTAAAGACAGATACAAAAGATGTCCCAGGGTAGATTGTGTTTGGACAGGCAACATTTGGATGTGTGCAGTGTCAATATAATATACCTAATATTGAAACTGTACAACAATAAAACACAACAAATTTCTTTATCATACATATAGATATGATTATATACAAAATCAACTTCAACAAAAAATATTCTTGAAAACCTGGAGACCGCTGTTTGCAGCCAAAGAATACAAGCTGGTCAGGTAACAAAAATGGCGTTTTGCGAAACGAACAGTCTCGATTGACGAGTTACATGAAAAATTTAAAGTTTGTAACGAAACATTTTTTGAGAGAATAACAAATGGCAAGAAGTGATAAATGACCATCTGTCAATATTTTGCTTTGTCAATCTGGAACTAACGTAAAAAGGACGTCAACAGTTTGTGTACGGGCTAGACAGTTATGCTAAAGGGGGACAATTTAAGGGGGGTAACTCTTGTATGACAATAGTTCCGTCAAAGTGTTAATGTTATGTTCACTGCAATGAAAATATAACTTTTTTTAACTTCAGGAAACTCACACTGAACTATATAATAAACCAGTCTACCGAACAACCCTTTGATTATTTCCACTAGTCTTTGAAAATATTTACTTGACACAGGCCATCAGACCAGCATTTACATAATTAAGATTCTTGCCAATTAATTATTGTTTTCAGCTTTCATCTGCTTCGGACTAACGTTTGCTGATGATGATTCGGAGTTGGTGCCTTTCATGTGCCCGGATGATGTTCCGGAGTACAAGATGGACACCGCATTGTTTACCATCAGAAATGACCAGAATCAACAGGCTAAACTGAGATTGTACACGCAGAGTGAGGAATGTGACACTGTAAGTAGACTGCACACAGCTGACTCCGTGTGCTCAACAAAGACCACAGAACACACAAAGAAATGTCACATGCGATCACATGGTGGTGTTGAACAAGAATGTCAATCAGTGTTGAATGTTATGTACACAGAACATAGTGCATGCATTGCCCTTGTATACAGTGGAACCTAGACTAACATCTAGTCTCTGATATGAACATATTGTGCCTAAAAAACGTAGATGTAAATATGAAATAACAAAACAACTGGAAAAGTACTAGTCTGGATTTGCTAGTTTTATCTCAGTGCTCAATACAAAATGTACTTTACAGGAGGTAATTTGTAGGCACTTTCAACATTCAAAAATAAAACTAAGTCCAAATTGACATGGCAGAAACAGGCTATAGGCATTATGCAAATTAGCCTGGAAAAAAGTTATCAAAACAACAATAAAAATAACAGCTTTGTTTATGTACATAATAATAATGACATGTAAGTTGTTGTTTGAGAAGGGAATATGTTACTTTTATGTTCTGATATTTTGACAATGATTCACTATCCCACAATGCCACTCACAAATCACTAACCACTGACAAATCACATGCACGTGGGTTTCAAGCACCTGTTTTCACCTGTCGTCAAGGTGTCATAGGTCATGGACATTCACCTTGATCTACTAACACCTGGTTATGCTCAGTTTCACAATAGTCTGTTTTGTTCATATTTTTACACACTTTTACGTGTAAAAAGACATAAAAACCTTTGATACGCTGTATTTGTGCCAAGGCCCAATTAGTACTAATTGAGTTGTTTGAATATTGATATATTTTGTATATTAACTGCATTTATTTAAAATCTGAGATCGAAAAAACAGGGTTTTTTTCATTTCCGTGAGTACTTTAAGTTGAAGACCCAGTGGCATTGGAAATATATCAAAGACAAGTTAATGTAACAAATTTTATACTTGGGATAACCACTTTCTTGGTAAAGTACAAATTCTAGTACTTTTTGGTGATTCAAACCAACACTGCCCCGAGTGAGGCACCTAATCGCCAGCACACAAAGTCAGCGATCTAACCTACTCAGCCACCAAGCTTCCAAAGAAATGAAAGTCCGACATCTGGTTGTATAGATTATGTACTTTATGTACCCCTCTAATTTTAAAATGTAAATTGGGACGGAACGTAAAAAAGTACTAGAATTTGTACTTACCAAGAAAGTGTTATCCCAAATATAACATTTGTTAAATTTGACCACTTTCTAAATAGCATTGTGTATTCATGACAATATAATGTATGAATTTTTTAAATCAATATTGAGCTCATTTTTTTATTAATTCAGTTTTCAATTCAAATTCAAAACTTGTGATAAGCAAAACTCTATGTATAAACACTAAAACAGTGAAGGATTGTTAATCTGGATTCCATCATGGTATGTCTGTATATAGTTGGATGGACATTACAATGTACCAAAGTCTTGTTCATCCAGAACTCTAGCAATACAGATGATTTCACTGGGAAAGGTTGGTCCAGATTAACAAGATTTCAATGTTGTACATAGGGAGTATGTTTTCCTACAAACTAATCATTTTCCGCAAATCAAAAAGCAAATTTGAATTATTTTTTTTTTCAACCAACCAACCTGAATTTTTGGCCAAAAATCTGTAAACCAAAATAAAAGGATTGTGGCCTAAGTTACGCAGATATGAATTTGACATTATCATATTGTTTCCATTAATGGCAGCAACAGTGTTGAGATAGAACTAGACAGAGATGTTCACGTGACAACCTCCTCTTGTTTTTCCCATGCCAGTGTAATCTCATCCCAGAGTGGGAGATCCTGCCCGCACAAAACTGTTCAATATTGGTGGACACACGCTGGCCTGTGAGGATTGAGATACGTACAGTGACCAACGAGTCGGTCAAGTCGGTCGACCCGTCCTGCAGTGAGGGCAATCTGACCAAGTTGTTCCTGGAGTATGGTGATTACGTCGTGTATATGAAGTCTACTGAGGACAACGAGCAGGCCACATGCTCAAAGCTGATCATAATGAATGACCCGTCGGACTCGAACATACGTAAGTCCTGTTTTAGGTCTGACACGATAATACTTAAGTCTTGTTTTAGGTCTGACTCGAACATACGTAAGTCTTGTTTTAGGTCCAACACGAATATATGTAAGTTTTGTTTTATGTTTGACGTGAACATGTGTAGGTCTTGTCTTAGGTTTGACGCGAACTTTCGTTAGTCTTGTTTTGGATTTGACTTGAACATACGTAAATCTTGTTTTAGGTCTGACTTGAACACACGTAAGTCTTGTTTTAGCTCTGACTTGAACATATGTGTTTTGTTTTAGCTCTGACTTGAACATATGTGTTTTGTTTTAGGTCTGACTTGAACATACGTAAGTCTCGTTTTAGATCTGACTTGAACATACGTGTCTTGTTTTTGATCTGACTTGAACATACATGTCTTCTTTTAGGACTGACTCCATCATACGTAAATCTTGTTTTAGGTCTGACTTGAACATGTATATAAGTCTGGTTTTGGATTTGACTTGAACATATGTAAGTCTTGTTTTAGATCTGACTTGAACATACATGTCTTCGAACATACATGTCTTCTTTTAGGCCTGACTCCATCATACGTAAATCTTGTTTTAGATCTGACTTGAACATACGTAAGTGTTGTTTTGGATTTGACTTGAACATACGTAAGTCTTGTTTTAGGTCTGACTTGAACATAGGTAAGTCTTGTTTTAGGTCTGACTTGAACATGCGTAAGTCTTGTTTTAGATCTGACTTGAACATACATGTCTTCTTTTAGGCCTGACTCCATCATACGTAAATCTTGTTTTAGATCTGACTTGAACATACGTAAGTGTTGTTTTGGATTTGACTTGAACATACGTAAGTCTTGTTTTAGGTCTGATTTGAACATACATAAGTCTTGTTTTAGGTCTGACTTGAACATAGGTAAGTCTTGTTTTGGATTTGACTTGAACATACGTAAGTCTTGTTTAAGGTCTGACTTGAACATTGGTAAGTCTTGTTATAGGTCTGACTTGAACATAGGTAAGTCTTGTTTTAGATCTGACTTGAACATACGTAAATCTTGTTTTAGATCTGACTTGAACATACATGTCTTCTTTTAGGCCTGACTCCATCATACGTAAATCTTGTTTTAGATCTGACTTGAACATACATAAGCCTTGTTTTAGGTCTGACTTGAACATACGTAAGTCTTGTTTAAGGTCTGACTTGAACATACGTAAGTCTTGTTATAGGTCTGACTTGAACATAGGTAAGTCTTGTTTTAGATCTGACTTGACCATACGTAAATCTTGTTTTAGATCTGACTTGAACATACGTAAGTCTTGGTTAAGCTCTGACATATATTCATGTTCATGGTTATGGTTTGTTAGGAGCTATTAACAGAGTATATTTAATATGTTTCCATGGCAACTAGAATTATTTTGGACAATGGCATGGGCAGCTGATGTGTATAGTGAAGATGATAACATATCATACTTTCTAATCATGTTTATACAGTTTTACCAGCCAATGTAGACAAAAACTATATGTGCTGATTGTGAAGAGAACTCATGGGGAGATTACAAAACTTCACGTTTGTCAGTTTGGTTGATTAAACGAACAATGAGTATGTCAATGCTTTTGAAAAACTTTGATACAGGGCTTGTACTTTTTATTCCTTTGTGGAATTACTTGTTAATAAAGCCATGACATGTAAAGGCTCCAGCACAGTGTTTGACTGCTGAGTGCCTCAGATCTTTTTCTCTGATATGATATCTCTCCAATAAACATGATATAGATGTTGATTATCGATCAGATCGTCTTGACTGGGCGCAAATGCAAGTATTATTTGGGATGGAATCTGATTGGTCAATAGGAGGGACATAACTGGTTATAGCCACTACATTCCAGTCTTGTTCAGTAAGGGTGGAAGCTGGACTTTTATTGTCAGTTATCACCTTTGCCTTGGGAAGATGAGGTTCCACTTGTGTGATAAGGATTAATCGTGTTATCACTCGATCTTTTATTTTCAGCTATCTATGTAGCACTTGGAATAGGAGTGTTTTTGGCACTGGTTTGGATCCTAATGAAATATTTATATAGGTGAGTTGTCATATATCCTTTACCGTGTAGATGGAAAACAGATATCCTTGCCATGGCTCATGCTTTTACATACAGAAATATTCCATGATGATCCGAGATAGAATTGGTCTTCAGCAATCCATGCTAGTCGTAAGAAGTGACTAACAGATATGATTGTCAGGTTTGCTGACTTGGTTGATGCATGCCGTAGCACAAATATGTAGATTGATGCGAATGATGTCAGTCACTGGATTGTCCGGTCCAGACTCGATTATTTACAGACTGCTGTCATATAGCTGGAATATTGCTGAGTGAGGTGTCAAACAACAAACAAATATAGCCAAATGCATCAACCAAGTCAGCAAGCCTGACCACCCAATTCTGTTAGTTGCCTCTCACAACAAGCATGGGTTGGGTAAGACTGACTTAAACCCTGATCTTCATGGGGGAGATGTATTCGTAAGTGATGGAGGAGCATACACAAATGGATGAATTGTAGATGATGCACATTACAAAATAACATTGTGCATACTCTAAGTTGACCACCAAGACAATAGTTAAACAATGATACAAGCTTAACTATCACTCCACACGTGGCAGCAATAAGAAAAGAAAAATAATCGAAATTTTGTTTTTGTCTGAAGTGCATTTTTCCCAATAACTTACCAGGATTTTTCACACAAAACTCTGTGAGCCAAGAAACAGAAAAAGTCTGGGTTTAATATCTTTATTCACCATGACACATTATATTTCAGGAGAGGAATACTCCATCGAATTATATATTTCTGGAGCACAGAAGGAATGATGGTGGTAGGTTGTGTTTTTTCTACAGTGGAAGATGAGGGCCATGTTTTCACATATAAAATTGCAATTTTCAAAGTTGAAGTTAGAAAGTAAATATAGAATTTGTGTGAAGGTTCTTGGGAGTGTGACTGACAACTAGAATTTGTCCTGGTTGACATATGCAAGGCAACACCTTCCACATGTTCAAGGATAGAGTGTGGTTGTAAGTGTTCTGAAGATATATAGACCGCCTCCGTGGTCTTGTGGTAGAGCGTCCGCCCGGAGAGCGAAAGGTCCAGGGTTCGATCCCCGACCGCATCATACAAAAAGACATTAAAAGATTGTACTTGTTGTTACCCTGTCTGGCGCTCGGCATTAAGGGGCTAAAACAAGGACTGGTCGGCTCGGAGTCAGTATACTGTGTCTGAGTGGGGTATTCATGTTAAACTGCGGCATGGTATCTCAGTGAGCTAGCACTATAAATCGGCATCAGTCCGGACTAGCCTTTCACAGATATTTGTCCCAAACAAGCCTTTTTACAGATATTTGTCCCAAACAAGCCTTTTTACAGATATTTGTCCCGTACAAGCCTTTTCACAGATATTTGTCCCAAACAAGCCTTTTTACAGATATTTGTCACGTACAAGCCTTTTCACAGATATTTGTCTCGAACAAGCCTTTTTACAGATATTTGTCCTGTTCAAGCCTTTATTCAGGTATTTGTCCCGTACAAGCCTCTTTACAGATATTTGTCCCAAACAAGCCCTTTTACAGATATTTGTCCCGTACAAGCCTTTTCACCGATATTTGTCCCAAACAAGCCTTTTTACAGATATTTGTCCTGTTCAAGCCTTTTCACCGATATTTGTCCTAAACAAGCCTCTTTACAGATATTTGTCCCGTACAAGCCTCTTTACAGATATTTGTCCCGTACAAGCCTTTTGACAGATATTTGTCCCGTACAAGCCTCTTTACAGATATTTGTCCCGTACAAGCCTCTTTACAGATATTTGTCCCGTACAAGCCTCTTTACAGATATTTGTCACGTACAAGCCTTTTGACAGATATTTGTCCTGTACAAGCCTTTTCACAGATATTTGTCCTGTACAAGCCTTTTGACAGATATTTGTCCCGTACAAGCCTCTTTACAGATATTTGTCCCGTACAAGCCTTTTGACAGATATTTGTCCCGTACAAGCCTCTTTACAGATATTTGTCCCGTACAAGCCTCTTTACAGATATTTGTCCCGTACAAGCCTCTTTACAGATATTTGTCCCGTACAAGCCTCTTTACAGATATTTGTCACGTACAAGCCTTTTGACAGATATTTGTCCTGTACAAGCCTTTTGACAGATATTTGTCCTGTACAAGCCTTTTCACAGATATTTGTCCCGTACAAGCCTCTTTACAGATATTTGTCACGTACAAGCCTTTTGACAGATATTTGTCCTGTACAAGCCTTTTGACAGATATTTGTCCCGTACAAGCCTTTTCACAGATATTTGTCCCATAGGATCCATTTCACATATATTTGTCCCATATAGGAACCATTTCACATATATTCGTTCCACATATATAGGAATCACTTTGCAGGTATTCGTTCCACATAGGAACCATTTCACAGATATTTGTTACGTAGGAACCATTTCACAGATATTCTTCCCGCATAGCAATCACTTAACATATATTCGTCCCATAATGGACCCCTTCACATATATTTGTCACATATAGGAACCATTTCACAGATATTCGTCCCAAGGGAACCATTTCATAGACTTTGTCCAATGGGAACCTTTACTTAAATGTCTTTAACAAATTATATGTATGTTCAGAAGAAGTACATAAGAAGTTGTTTCGCTTTCAGTTACAGTGAAATGGTTCTAATAAAATCGGAAGCTTTAAGATATTTGCGTTTCAAGCACTGCATCTTCCCTCTCACACTTATCCATTCCACTTGACCTTTGTTTGACCTTGACCTTGACCATAAGCATTTCCCATAGAAATCTCTGTGTAATGTTGTTTGTGTTGTTTATTTGTTGCATTTGCTCATTGTGAGACTTGTCTTGACCTGAAACCACTTGACCCTGTGACCTTGAACCTGTGACCTCTGTGCTGCTGCACCCATAACACTAACACGTTTATAGCACAGGTATTCCACACAGGATCTTGGTACTCCCACAAACATCAATGCTGGCGAAGACCCGAATAAAGAAGACAAGAAGGAGAAAAAGGAGAGACTGAAATCACTGGATACATTTAGAGGGTAGGTATTTCCAGCACTTCATCAAAATAATGATAATAATAATCTATAATATTAATCTGCATTTAATCTGTGTAATAAACAGATTCCATTGGGCCTTCAAGACAAATTAAGAAAACATATACATCAATTGCTTTTAAAAAATATTTATTTATATAGCTTAAAAAATTAGTGTTCATGTTTCATGTTTGTTTTTCATTCAAAGATTTTCTTTTATTTATATACTGAATGTGAAACTTAAATAGAGTAAAATTCAAGTGATTTTTTTTTAGAATCAATTATTTCTTACATATTGAGCAAGAAATCTTACAAGATTTTGCATATGTTCTTTAAACTGGTGTATGAATGGCTTGCTGACAATCAGTAATGACACCAGGTGTTCGCAAACAGGATAAGCATATCCTGACCTACCGGTAACACCCACTACTCTCACAATTTGACCGCCCTAGGGGTCTAGTGGTAGAGCATCCGCCCGGATGTTAAACTGCGGCATGGTATCTCAGTGAGCTAGCACTATAAATCAGCATCAGTCCGGACTAGTACAAGCAGCCACACAAACACACACACGTACATGCACGTCGCTATGTAAGTGCAATAATCTTGGACGCGACGTTAAACCCCATTTCACCTCACCTCATCTCTCACAATTTGCATAAAAACATAAGTGTTTGTTGCCTGTATGTCACTAATTTATAGGATCTCTTCACAGGTTAATTGTGTTTTTTGTTCTTGCTTTTACCACCCATCAACGTCAAGACAGAATACAGTATCAACATGACATGTCTACCATGTTCTTTCATCCTTCTCTTGCAGGATGTCAATTTTGGTAATGATATTTGTCAATTACCGCGCAGGCTACTACTGGTTCTTTAAGCACAGTATATGGAATGGTCTGAACCTAGCAGATTTTGTGTTCCCGTGGTGAGTGGCATGTGTCTATTGCATGCAGGGCGGTGTATATTTCTCTCCTCTCAGCATCATCACTTGCAGACATTATCCTGTACTAACATTCTCTGTTTGTTTCAGTTGGTATGGGTGTATAGCTCTAACTCTCACTCACTGTTAAACATACTCACAAGATCTGGAACTGAAATCCAATAACCGTATTCGACCCAATAAGCGCCCATGTCCCAATAAGCGCCCCCCTCCCTTTTCCTGGATGCCCAAGTTAGATTTACTCACCTGTTTTTTACATACGGTCAAGAATCTTTTGTAGTCGGTTAATGAGGAGATGTTCACCAGTAAAACGTGAGTAACAGTTTATCTCTAGCCCCCCAGCAACAGAAGAGTATCGATAGGCTTACTGATGAATTTACGCCAATTTGACTCTGAATTGGTCCCAATAAGCGCCCACCCCTTCTGTCTTTATTTTAAGCGCCCTGGGCGCGTATTGGGTCGTATACGGTATCTGAATTTTTGTCATCAAAAGATCAAAGTTATATGGTGCATATATCTAAAGGGAACAAAGTCATAAATTCCTATTTGAAATGATTTATTAATAAAGCTTTACAAAGTTAGTTTTATGTTATATACTTGTTTTTCATTCCAAAACCATATAATAAAAATAATAACAACAACAACAACAATAGGCCTATCATATAGCGTATATTTCAACACCACTCAGCGCTATTATTACCCTGGGGGGCACGGGTGGCCCAGTCGTCTAAGGCGCCGCGATTCGCTGTGCAGAGTTGCGTCCCTTGGGATGCAGAAACCTATGATTGTGGGTTCGAATCCCGGTTCGCCCCGATTATGTTTCTAGGTTTGTCAGCACCATACCCGTGCTCGTGGGTTTCACCAAAGTGGTAAACGTCTGAGACCTGCATCACTTCGGGCTTTCCTCCCACATTAAGCTGACACGCCGCGGTATAACTGGAATACTGTTAAAAGCGGTGTTAAACCCAACTCACTCACTCACTCACTATTATTACCCAGGTCACTGGATCAGTGTGCACTCAAGAAACAATCTCAACTGTGTGTAAAGTTAAAAAAGAATATAATTCATGTGATAGTTTTTAAGAATCGTACCCATAATAAAAGGTTAAGCAGTACAATACGTTCCATTACAAATATTGACAATTGACTTACAAGATTTTGCATGTGTTTGTTACACTGGTGTATACACATACATAATTTAGCAGACATGGCTGGATTTGAATATCTGAAAACATATATGTACAAAATTTGCTGCGTATTAGCATAAAATTCCCCCCAAAATATTCAAAACCCAATTACTTTCAATTACCTTGCATACAAAAACGCATGCATTAAATGAAAAACTCAAATGTATAAAAACAGCACTCGTAAATACCCAATGAAGCTTTTTCAGTATGCGTACAACGAAGCTAATTTCCGAAACACAATTACGAGTTAATTTACTTTCAAGCCTATATTTAGAACCCTTATAAACATCTAAAACATTTCATTTTGTTTAAAATCTCAAAATGTTTACTCATTTAGGGAAAAACCCAATAGAGCCACGAATAGATAAGTGAAAAATATTGGTTACCCAATGAAAAATGTAATAACCCAATTAAAATAGAAACCTTCGAGTAAAAACTCAATTGCTAAAAACATTATCCGGAGCTCTGTGTTTCAAATTCAGACTGTTCCGTATTTACAATTTGAATTGAGACAGAGTCCCCTAGGCACTCTTCACATGGATTAATCGTGTATCTAAACTATGGCAATAGATCCAGTTTTGCATTGATTAATGTTTACCATTAGTAAATAGAATCAGATTGACATTGTGGGCCATTCAGCGACGCAGTTTCAACGCGATGGCAAACGGGTGTGTGTTGGTGTGTGTGAAATATTCATATATTTTGTAACTTTACAATGAATTAGCTTTTAGAAAATACTACATGTAAGTTTCTGAAAAATATGTACATAGGAGAAAATCGCAGTTAAAAACAGAAAAGAATTTCATGTCATACGATAACTAGTATAATGATCAATAACTCTACGTAATTTTGTTTTATTATTTTCATAAATAACACTGGTAGAGACATTTTTGTGCAACATGCAGAAATCCATGGTCCACCGACAGACCGTCACGCATACGAGTGACCCCCTCTCAGGTGGTCACTTGTACGCGAGACGGGAGACCCGTGTCACGTACACCTTACGTCCTCTCCTGTAGTTGTTCCCATCTTGTGGGTGTGTGTAACTGGCCTAGCACATGTCTACTTCCTTGTGTTGACTCTGTTATCATGCATGTATCTCCAGCTATCAGTGAAGGCCCATTGTGCATGCCTAGAGCAAACAGAATCAGAATGTAGTCCAGAACAAAGCCTTGAATAACACATTTTCCTAAAATGGCTGCTGTTGCCAAGTTCCTGGTCATTGTTAATTGTCTGAGCCAGCTATATCAGATTATTTATTTAGCTGACAGGGAATTCAAATGAGGAAATTATCCTAGAATTACAATTTTCCCTTGACACTGACAATGGGCCTTTATTGATTATAGTTGTACCAGTATTATTCGAAAGATACGAACACGATAAACTTGCTGAATGCAAAATCAAATTAATTCTTTTATATAGTTTGGATATGTTTACTCAAACTTCAACTGATTCTCTTCTGCCCACCTGACCTGAAAGTCAAGTGAGCGTGTCATGGCCTGTTTATCCGGCATCATTGTTAGCATCGCGTCAAGATAAATTTTCTCCTCAGACTCCAGCTTAGCCTTCACGTGCAGGTTCCGACCAATGATGACACCTGAATATATTCTAGACGTTCGAATCAGATTTTCAAATTGGTCACTGATGCAGTCATATTGAAAAAAGCAGTCGTTATTGTTAACATTGTAATGAAATTTGGTATGTGTGTAGTTTGTAGTGGGGTAAAACATGTTTTGTTTTTTTAATTTTTTTAATTTGACCTCTGCACATAGACCAAACTAAAAAACTGAAACTTCTTGACATTACTCATCCATTTCTTTTTAAACTGTACCAGTCATGAAACTTGGTATATGTGTACATAGAATAGGGAAATAGAATCAACACTTATGTTTCCCTTTTTTTCGCGATATTTTGAATTTGAACTTTATTTAACGTATGCAATTTGGACAATGCTCGTAAATTCTCTCAAAATGCATATTCTCTTGCTGTGAACATGATTTTCTGAGAAACCACTTGACCAATAAAGCTGACACTTCACAAACCTGTTCCAACCCATGATGACACCTGAATTTGTTCAAGAGGTTTCTGGTTTTCAATATGGCCACCGAACCATTTCTGTTCAAACTGAATTCAACTGCTCTAAAAAATTTCTCAGAACTCAAACTTGACTCTGTAAAACATCTTTCAAATTACCTGACTCAGGGAGCTGATCTTTGGGATGTATGTTTCAGCTTGTGGTGACATAATATTTTCCTTCAAATCATTGGTATTTATTGTGTTTTGTGTGAAACAGTCAAAACAATATTATGCCATATTCCTATATACATGTAAGAAGCTATGTAAGGCTGAGATTGTAAACTTTGTGTAATCTACATGTAACTGTTGCGATTTGCAATACTGTTCTAAAATAGTAAATTACAGATTTAGAAACATTGTGGAAATGGATTTTCTTGTTTCATGTTTGTTAATACTTTGGGCTCAGTAGTTATGCAGATTATAGTTGAATAGTAATGATTGTAATGTTGACAGCAACCTTTGTTAGTGGCTGTCTTTGTTAACGTTACAAACCGTTGACTACATGTCCAGGTGAGCTACAGTGCCTTGGCAGTAAAAGTGATGAAGAAACTACTTTCTAGTTTTGGAAAACTGGTGTCCCAATTGCTTTTTGGATAATAAACTTAGCCTTGTTCGTATCAGTAGAATAATGTTGGTTGTTGAATTTGCTGGTTGTAGACTGAGTCTAGTTGTGATGAACTTTGTCAACTATGGCGGAGGCAGGTACTGGTTCTTCAGTCACTCTCGATGGAACGGCCTGCACTTGGCTGATCTAGTCTTCCCTTGGTATGTTCCCCCAGAACTGCCATGCCGGCCGTGTGTGACCTCACTTAAATATGTAGCATACAAAACTCACAAATATACTGACTTACCAATCTCATTAAAATCAGACCTTAGTTCTCGCTACCGCTAAACACAGATCTGAAGACATCCCATTAGGGGTCACGTCAGAACGACCTTTCATCCAACCAATCAATGGGTTGCTTACCAGGTTATGAAAGTGGCAGTCGGAATGTGATTTCTAATCATGCAATCTCGAAAACTTTAACATGGGGAATTCTGATGCTGTACCTATGCTTCACGTAAGCATAGGTCTGACAAAAATGTCAAAGCGAATACCAGCATCATGGTATGGTACTCTCAACATTACTCTTTTTCACATGAAATTACACTTTTTTACCCCACTGATTACGGCACTCAAAAGCTTCAATAAGGGTTGGCATCTCTGCAAAGGGCATACCTGAGATCTGTGGTCTCGTGGATAGGGCTTTGGAAGATCGGTGTTTCAATTTCCCTCTGGAATAGACAAAAAAACCAACTCACTCATCAGACCTAAGCAAATAGTTGGTCTAACACATGATCTAACATGATACATTATGTCCAGGAATTCTTTATTAACAATATTGGAGCAGATCATTTGGTCAAATGTGCGATATTTTCTGTGAGGTCACACAACGGTCAAGCCTCAGTAGCCAAACTGATGCACTGTCTCCATCTCTGACATCACTGATGAGGACATTATGCATGGATTTATCTCGACCTGCGCCAAGGCCGATATTCAGCCTCTAGTCTGCACCAAATTACAGTAAAAATTCCCAATTTGAATTTAAATGTTTCCAATTCCTCAGAATTTATGGAAATAAGGACATAAAAAAATGTCTGATTTTGAACAACATCTCAATTGTTTCCCAATTAGACTGCCAAGGATACTATGTGGAAATCCGAGATGAATCCATGCAATTGTCAAGCCTGAAGCCAAACTGACCCAGTCCCCATCTTTGACGTCACTGATGCAGACACACGCCAGCGCACCTTCTCTACTAACTGCCTGACTGCTTTTTAATGTCTAGAATGAGCTTAGTGGTGATGAACTTTGTCAACTATGGCGGGGGAGGGTACTGGTTCTTTGACCATTCTGACTGGAACGGTATTACTGTGGCTGATCTGGTCTTTCCGTGGTATGTGTGTCTAGTTAAGCTTGAAGTGTACTTGAAGATATGTGAGCGTTTTGTAATAAATGAACATTCATATCCTGGTTATTATTGAATGGAATCTCTTTGTCACCTTGCATACATGTTTCTCATCTAGTATCCAGTTAAACAGTGATGTTTTGGTGATTTTAGGGGCGGTCGTGTAGCCTAGTGGTTAAAGCGTTCGCTAGTCACGCCAAAGACCTGGGTTCGATTCCTGACATGGGTACAGTGTCCCCCGCCGTGATATTACTGGAATATTGCTAAAAGTGGTGGAAAACCATACTCACTCACTCTCTTTGGTGATTTTAAAACTGAAAGATCAGATTTGCATTTTGCCTGTGGGCTGTGTATTTATATATCATCCATTAGACTAACATCTAGTCTCTGAAATGAACATATCATACAGAAAAAAAACAGTTGTTCAATTATCTTAATAAAAATATAATAAAAAGGAGCCCAGAGACTCTCTTCATTTACTGCAGTAATCTAGACTTGCCAAACATTATAAGCTGTAATTGATATATTTGTAGCAGGGTCTGTAAGACGGACTATATAATTCATCTAATTACCCATTTGTCTTAGATATTTGAATATTTACATCCACAATGCATAATTCAATACCAAACATGCCCATGTGGACCTCATTGCAGCCATGACAGACAAATAACTTTTTTAACAAGCTTAATAAATACATGGTGGACCATCATGAAAAGTTGTACAGAAAATAAAGAGAAAGCAATGAAAGAATGTTAATTTGATGAACTGAATTCCAGTGTAACTGTCCAGTAATGATATCCTCCCATCATCTTTCAAAGGTTTGTGTGGATCATGGGGACATCGATGGTCTTCAGCTTCAGTAGTCAGTTGAAGCGGTCAACACCTAAGACACTCATGTTCTGGAAAATCTTAAAGAGGTCAGCCATCTTGTTTCTGCTGGGACTTGTCGTAAATACTGAAGGCACACCAGGAGGTGAGTTGGTTTTCAAGTAATGGGATCGCCTAATGTTTGTTTGTCCTGTATATAACCTGTGAAGATCTTGGTTAGAATAGGTCTTCAGCAACCCCATGCTTGTCGAAAGAGGCGACTATGCTTGTCGTAAGAGGCGACTAACGGGAATGGGTGGTCAGGCTCGCTGACTTGGTTGATGCATGTTATTGTATCCCAATTGTGTGATTGATGCTCATGATATCAGTCACTGGATTGTCTGGTCCAGACTTGATTATTTACAGACCGCCATCAAATAGCTGGAATATTGCTGAGTGCGACAACGATGACCTCAAAGCTACAGTGAATGGGTTTTTCAGGGTGGTATCAGAAAACATCTTCCAAACTGAAATTGAAAAGATTCACTATTGGTATGAGAAGTGTATTGAAAAGCAGGGAGATTATGTTGAAAAATAGTATTAAAAACACTTTCACAATTGTTGGTTTTGTTTGTTAGGCTTAGAACTTTTTGACCATCCCTCGTACCAGCAGAAGTCTGGATTAGTACAAGAAGTCACCTGCATTCACATTATTATTTATTCAAGTGAATTATTCGTGAATATGGTTTTATACCCCATATATTCAAATGAGTCCCATCATGGGATTCTTTTGAATCTGGTGGAGCTACATGTCGTGTATTCAGTGTCTACAAACCCATGACGTATGGACAATGATGAGTCCTGATGTAGAATTGTGTACAACTATTACAACTTAGGCCTACTCCAGTGTGAAGAATTACAAACAATAGTTACTATTCCCCACCATGAAGTGGAAGGGGGATACAGGAATGGGTGCTGTCTGTCCGTCCTTCCTGAAAACTGTACTATATTTCTTCACCAAACTTGGCACATAGATAAAAATGTATGTTTCAAGTTTCAATAGCAAAGACTTTTACTTAGGCTGAAAATGGTGGTAGTGCTCCTTTCTGGAGCAGACTTTGAAAACCATACAATATTTCTACACCAAACTTGGCAAATAGATTGGTCTATGTTTCGAGTTTCCATAGCAACAACTTTGATTTTGGGGCTGATGCCTTGCACACAACCAGACATGTCATAATGGCAGGAGATATGAGTATTTCATGCTTGTTTCAGGATAAGACAAATATTTCACAATATCCATGTCAATATAATATCACTTTCATCAAGCCAGGATGGTGCTGTGTTCCCTTGCCTGATGGTATTGAGTGTTTGTTGTGTCAGGTGTGGAGATCGAGGAAATCAGAATACCTGGGGTGCTACAACGGTTTGCTGGCACCTACCTCATAGTTGCAACAATACACATGTTTTTTGCAAAAACAACAGATGAACATCAGGTAAACCTTTTTTAGACTTTTTTAAAAGAATTAATGAAAAGATCTACCAACCTAAAAAAATGAAAATATGTAAAGCAGTATTTGTTCTGTAACTTATCCGTCGACCACAAATTGTGTGTGAAACTGAATTGTTGTGCATATAATCCCAGCAGTTATTAATAACTTTACAATCATTTTTTTACTCTGATTTCTAAAATGATTCAACATAATTTGCCTCAAGTTTCCACCTCGACAAAAGAAAACTCACTCAGAACACAGATATTCTCTTGAGAGTAAACCCTTTTGCCTGTAGAGACAATGGCGCTTCGAGACAAGAGGGTGTATAAATATCCACAACAATATAATAGTATGGCCTTTATTAGTTTTCATATAGAACTGCCCATTCATGAACGAAAATTAAGCAGCAGAAGTCAGAAGTTACGATGTGATTTTCAGCATGGCTGCCATGGCAACTGAATTGGAAATTTTACTCTGTTTTGTTGGGCAGCACTGCTGGTGGTCCCCGGTGCGGGACATCCTGGACTACTGGCCGGAGTGGATCCTACACCTCGTCATGGTGACTGTGTGGCTGGCCATCACCTTCGCCCTGCCTGTACCTGGATGTCCAAAGTGAGTTGGGTGATTGTGTCCTTCGTATTGGTTTGTGCAGCATCCAGCCAACCCATCCTACACCTCGTCATGGTGACTGTGTGGCTGGCCATCACCTTCTCCCTGCCTGTACCTGGTTGTCCAAAGTGAGTTGGGTGATTGTGTCCTTCGTATTGGTTTGTGCAGCATCCAGCCAACCCATCCTACACCTCGTCATGGTGACTGGGAGCCATCACCTTCTCCCTGCCTGTACCTGGTTGTCCAAAGTGAGTTGGGTGATTGTGTCCTTCGTATTGGTTAGTGCAGCTTCCAGCCAACCCATCCTACACCTCGTCATGGTGACTGTGTGGCTGGCCATCACCTTTGCCCTGCCCGTACCTGGATGTCCAAAGTGAGTTGGGTGATTGTGTCCTTCGTATTGGTTAGTGCAGCATCCAGCCAACCCATCCTACACCTCGTCATGGTGACTGGGGGCAGTCACCTTTGCCCAGCCCGTACCTGGATGTCCCAAGTGAGTTGGGTGATTGTGTCCTTCGTATTGGTTTGTGCAGCTTCCAGTCAACCCATCCATCAACCCAGCTGTGTGTGGAAGTGTATTTAGTATCACCCATCAGCCAGCTCTAGGTTGGTGTATTGTATTGAGGGAACGTGTGTTTCAGGGGCTACCTGGGTCCAGGTGGGTTACATGAAGGAGGGAAGTATGAAAACTGCACAGGAGGCGCAGCTGGCTACATCGACAGAGTCATCTTCGGGAACTCCCATATATATGGCAACCCTACAGCGAAGGTAACCACTTAGTTGAATGTATATGCACACGTTCTGGTCAGTAGCTAGACACTTCGTTCATTGGTCTGTTTAAGAAGGCTTTGAAGGCAGATTCAGCAAGATGTGTGACATTGTTTGGTACATGTGTAAGCATGAGTTGTATCCGAGTTACATAAATCCATGCTCATTGACCACATGATGTCACAGGATAGAATAGGTCTTCAGCAACCCATGCTTCCCGTAAAAGGCAGCTATGCTTGTCGTAAGAGGCGACTAACAGGATCGGGTGATCAAGCTCACTGACTTGGTTGATGCATATCATTGTATCCAAATTGCAGGGATCGATGTCCATGATGTCAATCCCAGGATTGTCTGGTCCAGACTTGATTATTTACAGACCGCTGTCATATAACTGGAATATTGCTGTGTTAAGCAACAAACAAACAAATAAACAAACGAACAAACAAACAAACAAACACAGGATTGTCTGGCCAATGTCTGGTGTCCCCTACCGTGATGTTGCTAGAATATTGCTAAAATCAGTAACACCATACTCTCTATATGACAACATGCAAACAGCAACTGGCTTGTCTGGTCCAGACTTGGTTTCTTATAGGCCACTGTGTATCAGTGTAGTATTGATGACTGCAATGTAAAGCGAGGTTCACTCAGGCTTGAAAAGGCCTTTGCATTTTTAAGTCCTTTTTGAACAGCCTAAATTTTTATTGTCAACTTTTAAAAGTCTTGAAGTCACCAAAACAGCTAGGAAAGCCTTGAATTTGTACCAAGGGACATATATTTATTAATATAAGTATTAATATTAATGACAGACTTAATTTATTACATTTGTTGGTTGTTTTGTTCATTCTGCTTTTTAGGTCTTACGCTTAATCTATTATATGCTGGAATAAGATATTGACAGACTAAGCAAATAACCCAACGAAACAAACGTTGACAAATGACAGTTGAAAGCCTTGAATTGTAGTGTTTCATATCTGAATGAACCTTGTAAAGCCTGTAGCTCGGTATCACTCCTGCTGTTTGCAGGCGATCTACAAGACCTCTGTGCCCTATGACCCTGAAGGGCTGCTTGGGACCCTGACCTCCTGTTTCTTGTGTTTCCTGGGACTCCAGGTACAGCTCGCAGCCCATACATCATCTGACAGTTCACTTACCGTTTTATCCGAAAATTTGTAGCAAACAATTATGACGTTCATGTTTGGTCCAGATAATATATTAGTTGTACTTGTGTTTACTTTTCATTAGTTATACTGATAATAATGATGATGATGATGATGATGATGATGATGATGATGATGATGATGATGGTGGTAATAATACCAATGATCAAGACAATAATGATATGGACATTTTGAACATATTGATTCCGTGGTACAAGCTGTGAATAATTTCAGGCTGGAAAGATTTTGCTTCAACAAAAAGACTGGGTGCAAAGATGTAAAAGATTTCTCATTTGGGGTATAATATTGGTAAGTTGTTTTGTTCTTCTGACAGTAAATCAGATACTATTACACCTTTAAAGGAAGTGTTACGGAATCATTATAAAAAGTAAATGTTAATTTTGGGATGAAGTGTCCAGTGTGAATAGACCAGTGTGTTCATGTTTATAATATGACATTTTGTGCAGAATTGATACTTTATGGAGTTGAGAGAACATAAAAACAGATTAAGTGTTCGATTTACTTTTACTAATTGCAAAATTCTATATATAGATGCAAATTCCAAAATCCCAAAATCCATAACCTTATTTTCATGGACTGATAAGCTGTGATATGTGTCATGGGCTTTCTGCTACCCTAGGCAGAAGGCCATTTTATATGACAGGTACTTCATTTTAGAAACAATATAAAAAAAAGAAAAGATAAGTAAATGTTAAACAATTTGAAACATTGGATTGATAATACCAATGAACAAATTTAGTTTGTTAGTGTTTCAAGGTTATTTATTTCTACATGATTTTAACCGTAGAATATATCTTGCTGATCTAGTGGTAAACTTGTGCCTTTTGATGATTTTGGATATTGAAAATTATTACAGTATTATATTTTTCTTCTCTGAAGTGAAGGCATCCAATGGCAATGAACCAAACGTGGGGTATAAGTAGCCAAACTCCATTTCTGAATTGTACCAGGCCGGGGGGATATGTCATCTCCTGCTGACCCTTGTTTCACTTTGTTGCAGGGAGTCATTGCTGCCATTTTAAGTAAAGCATCCAAAAATGATGGTTTTATCCCTATATGCAAGAATCTATGGTGAGTCACCATGTATGATATAGCTTCATGGCAACATGGACATGATGCTGTTGTACGATGATATGAAGTTACAAAGAAACAAAATATTAGTTACCGTATACGACGTAATAAGCGCCCCGCTCTAATAAGCGCCCACAGCGACATTTGCCAATATATTGGCTAGTGAAAAATCCCAATTGGCACCCCTTTCGATTGATCAATGTACACAAGACTTATTTATTCGCGTATAATACACACTCGTGTGTTATATGCACCCTTAATTATGAGCAATTACATTCAGGTAAAATATAACTGTCGTACATAAACATTTCAGGCTGTCAGCATAAACCACGAAATGTATCTTTAAACTCTCCTTTTATCACCAATATAATATTCTAATAAGAGCCCCCTATTTCTAATTTTGAGAGCGCCCTGGGCGCTTATTACGTTGAATACAGTAATTGGATGAATATGTCCCAGTTTTAGTTCCAGCAGGCCACATCATCCTGAGACAAGGGAGTTAACTGACTCTAAAATCCAGTTTCCATCCTTGCCGAAATAGCATGGAATTCCGGTGTTACAGTTTGGCTGGACTAATGAGTCTTTGCATAGACCAATCAAAATCATGCAACGAACTAGACATGCTGTTCATAAACAACATGGATATCAGATTTCAGTCAACTGCAGCATTTGCAAAGCATGTGTACTGGTTATTGGGCATCGACAGATATTTTCCAAATCTTTTCATGCTTTTAATCAAGGTGCTCAAATGATATGATGCACTTCGCGAGGTAAGGCCCGTTTTGAAACGACATAGATCTTGATTATCGATAAGAATGTCTTGACAGGGTGCCGCCGTTTTGTTGGAAGCAAATGCAAGTAGTTTGAGAGGTGGAATCTAATTGGTCAATGGGAGGTACATAGAAGGGACATAACTCTGGTAGCTCTACGATCGAGTCTGGAAATTCCAGCAGAGTTCGGCAAGGATGGGAATTGGACTTTTGTAGTCAGTTAACACACTTGCCTTGAAAAGATGAGCAGGCCACTGTGTAGCCAACACAGACGTGATACTATCGCTGCCAAAAGTATGGTAAACAAAACTGACTGTAATAAATGACAAAATTGTCACAAGAGTTATCTCCCCTTAACATTTCTGAGTAACTGACACCTTCAACATTTTTGAGTGGAGTGAAATATAGATTTATATAACTTTATATTCAGATACTTGTTTGTATTGAAGCTACTAACCATCACAAATAAGTTCCATCACTGCCAGATGTTTGTTCTTCTTAGTTACCTGTCTTATTGTACAAACCCGTACAGTTTGTACAGATCAAGGTGAGAATTTGTCATCAGCAACCACACTTGTCAGAAGAGGCGACTAATGGGATTGGGTGGTCAGGCTCGCTGACTTGGTTGATGCATGTCATCGATCCCAATTGCGTGGATTGATGCTCATTACATTAATCACTGGATTGTCTCAGGCTTAGTTGATGCATGTCATCATGTCCCATCTGTGTACCTCCATGCTCATGATGTCAATCACTGGATTGTCTTTTCCAAACTCGGTTATTTACAGATCGTTGTACAGAGCTGGAATATTGCTAAGTGCGGCGTTAAACAACAAAAACAAAAACAAAATCTTATTGTACAAAACAATTTCCAGGTCTTTGTCGTTTGTGCTGGCGCTGTCAAGTCTTGCCTTCATCTTGTTCATGCTGTGCTACCTGCTGATTGATGTGTGGAAGGTGTGGAGTGGAGCACCATTCTGCTACCCAGGTGAGATGCTTGTCAGGAGGTGGGGAGCTACCGGGTGCTTTGTAGTAGTAGCTGTTGTTGTAGCCAGCATTGCTGGAACACCTGGGTGCCGTTGTTGAAAACAACCTTAGCCCTACGACTATGTAAATCTATGTTAAGGTATGGGAGTTACGATCACCTTTGCGCTAAGATCACTTTGTACAATTCACCCTGGCCCATTTCACAAAGGAATTGCAATGCTTAGACTATCATACCTGTGCTGAAGCTTGGAAGGTATTGCATTTGTACCGCTGTGATTTGGGGAAACTAGACTCTTTTTCATTGGATTTTTGAAGTAATGATCTATGAATTGGAATCACTTATGTAAGACTTTGGTTTAAACCATCCATGTCTCGATCGACTGAAAGTGTCCACAACCCATTAACGCAATGCTGGCTGATAGATTGTAGAAGCATGTCCCAGTTGTTGTGCTCAATGGTGGTGATGGTGGCTTGGAAACGATGAAGTTTTATGGCTGAGGTGTTGCTAGTCAGGTGGATTGTCTTAGTCAACAGATGCTAAATGAATGGTGGTGATGGGCTGGTGGCTTGGAAACGATGAAGTTTTATGGCTGAGGTGTTGCTAGTCAGGTGGATTGTCTTAGTCAACAGATGTTAAATGAAAGGCATAGAAGATGATGTTTAAAGTGTCTTGAAATACTGTTTTATTCGTATCTATGCCATTTAAAACATAAATTTGTAGCTCACCTGAACAAAGTATTCTCGTGAACTTGCATCATGTCGTGGTGCCATCACTGACATCCCAATTTCAGAAAATAAAATATCCCATTTTTTGACAAAATAATGCTTTTTACCCAACTTGGCTATTACAGTGGGTCTTAGTTTAATTTATTAATTCCCTGACTCATGAATAGAAATGTGAAAAGTTGGCAATTTGATATAATTTGGTTTTCATTGTAAATGTGAATGTGAAATGAAAGGTGAACTCCTGATCATTCCAGCCCAGATTATCAGTGTGGATGACGCTTGTGGTTTGCGGGGCTCCTATGTCTTTGCATCTATAGTGTATTCATGCACTGTAGCATATATTCACTTCTGTATGTATGCACTTTGAATTCCTACTGTCTCTCCCTGTTGGGGGTATCGGGGCAGGTCCCCAGTACCTCAAGCTTGTCAGCAGAGCCAGCTGATGGTAATCCACTCAGTATGATGTGTGGCCAGTGTGTGTGATGCTACACCATTAATATGGACCATTAATATGGATCATTAATATGGATCCTTGCTTATGCTGTCAACCACTGGTTTGTCCATCCAGATTGGATCTTTGACATGTTTTATTATGTAGCTATATTATATCATTGACTGTTGCATAATAATCACTCACTAACTCACTCACTCACTCACTCTTACTAACTTTTGTTGTAGTTTGATGACACAGATCCAGAAATAATTCATGACATTACTGACAGTCAACACAAAGTCACACTTTTTTAAATTTTATGTATGATGATTTATTCCAGCTTTTCCACACAAGTTCGGTCGAAATAAAAATAAAAATAAATGTCAATCATTTATTTATTTATTTATTTATTTATGTGAAAGTCATTTTGCCGTGGAGTTAAAACTGCAGGTGGCCTCTTGAATCACTTATAGCGATGTAGACATGGAATTTATATATAACATGTTATATTGTATAAGGGGGTCTATATTACTAGTGGGACACATAATAAAAATAACTACTTTTATGTTTAATTTGTTTCTTAAACCTGCTACTTTTCAATAGGGGCAGCATGCCTGTGGAAAGAAAAATTAAAAATGTGTGGCCTAATCTGTAAATCTATATCAAGCATGCCCCTCAGTCTAGCTAGATAACATCATTACCCATGTTCTGGGATGAAGGACATTTGTAAATCTTTTTATCTTGCTGGGATAATGAAATATTTCCTTGTGATGTCCTGTACAGAGAGTTGAAGGGGGAGTGTTCGCCTCTGTCTAAGTCCAGGTTGGATATGTCAGTTATTACCATGTGTGAGACTGGCAAGAACCTAGTGTTTCTTGTCATTGGTACCTGGTAGGAGTACACACATCTGACAGTTGAGTTAGCAGGCAAAGAGGGCTGAAGTTAGGGACTGGTGATTTACTATGGGTGAAGGGGAGCCTGAGCCTATATGCTTTTCTTCAAAGCCTTTCCCTTATTTTGTTCCAACAGTATACAGCTTAAACATGACTGTTACGGATTGGTAATTTATAATAGGGGAAGGGAGCTGTAGAAATTGATGGGATAAGGTGCACAAAATGTCGTACAAAATAGGGCCAATATGCTTTTCTTCAAAGCCTTTCCCTTATTTTGTTCCAACAGTATACAGCTTAAACATGACTGTTACGGATTGATAATTTATAATAGGGGAATGGGAGCTAGAGAGATTGGTGGGATATGGTGCACAAAATGTCGTACAAAATAGGGCGTATATGCTTTTCTTCAAAGCCGTTCCCTTATTTTGTTCCAGCAGACTATAACCTAAACACGACTCTCAGGTTTTCAGGACATCAATGTCAAAATAGGTAGAAGTAAACACATATATTTGAGAATATTGAACAGAATCTTAAATCATTTTGACAATATGTTGATTATTTCTAGATCTGTCAGTAGATGCTTTTTCTGTTGTTTACCAGGCATGAATTCCATTTTCTATTACGTGTGCCATGAGTCGTTTTCCACGTGTTTCCCCGTCACGGTGGCCGTGCCGGGCAGCCATGGTTGGGCATTGTTCATGGACCTTTGGGGACCCGCAGTCTGGTGCTTTGTCACATACAGACTGCATGTTATGAAGCTCTACATCGCTGTATAACAGTGTGTGGAGTTTGTGTGTTGTCATGGTGAAGGTACTAATTGTTTTCAGTTCGTCTTTCTCGACAAAAAAGTCTTTTTAAATTGGAATTTTTTGGTGTCTTTCTGTATTTTTTCATTTTGAGATAATAATTCACTACAATGTTCTGCATCATATCCTTTGCTTCTATGTTTTTTTCTTCAAGTCAATATTATTATAGATTTGTTTCATAGCCTGTGCATATTATCACTAATCACCACTAATAATTACTAACATGCTAACATTCTCTCACCATTTCACTTAATTTAAGATTTGTTCTTGTACTATAATGCTTATATATACACTACTCAAAAGAAATTAAGGAATGACCGATTTTTTCATATGACTTTAGTCATCTGTCATAGCATGAGCAGGGATGAGAATATCCACAGATCCGCAAATTTTAGCGACCACTCATTTGTTAAAATCTGATGGCTTCCCCCATAAACACCCCCAAATCATGGACAATGCTCCATTGCAAGGATGTTTCAGCCGAAAACGATAATATCCATTCTCATCCCTGCATGAGAACATCGGGTGAACTTTAACTTCTTTTGAGTAGTATACATTCTGGTGGTGAGTAGGTTACATGCGTACAAGGATTGTTAGTCATGTTTTTCACAGTTGCGATTCATACCAAGTGAGTACATATATTACGCTCTGGGACAGCCATCATAACAGGACTTGTGTTCAGTAACGGATGTTCTGAGAAACTATTTTGTTTAGATATGGAACTTTATTTTTTTTAACCTTATTTGTCATCACAAATTGAGTATTAATATGTACAATAACATTTGTTCCAGGACTGAACCCCATTCTTATATATGTCGGCCATGAAGTGTTTGCTAACCGCAGCCCAGTACACTTCCCCGTAGTTCACACTCACGCAGCACAGCTCGCCATGTCCGCCTGGGGGACATTCTTCTGGTTCCTTGTCTCCCTGTACCTCTACGTCAAGGACGTCATTGTCTCCATCTGATCAGGTGTCGTAATGTACAGGAAATGGACATGAAGTGAAGTGAAATGGACATGAATTGGACCATCTTCCTGACGCTAGAGTGCCGATTAATCTATATCAAAGTCTAGTTTTCACCCTTGCCGTTTGAAACTTTTGCCTCAAGAGATGGAAATGGACGTAAATGCAAGTGTAATGGACATGAATTGGACCATCTTCCTGATGCTAGAGTGCCGATTAATCTATATCAAAGTCTAGTTTTCACCCTTGCCGTTTGAAACTTTTGCCTCAAGAGATGGAAATGGACGTAAATGCAAGTGTAATGGACATGAATTGGACCATCTTTTGCCACTAGAGTGCCAGTTAATCTATATCAAAGTCTAGTTTCCACTCTTACCTTTAACACTCTTGCCGTAAGAAGATGGAAATGGGTGTAAATGCAAGTGAAATGGACCATCTTCCGAAGGCAAGAGTGACTACTCGTCTATTTATAAAAATCTAGTTTTCACCCTTGCCCTTTGACACTCTTGACTCGACAAGATTGAAATGGACGTGAAATGGATGCAAGTGCAAGTAAAATGGACCATCTTCCCAAGGCAAGAGTGTCGACTCATCTACATCAAAATACACGTGACTCGACAAGATGGAAATGGACGTGAAATGTACATGCGATGGAGTAGACATCAGCCATGTCTCCACTGCCTGGGCTTGGACTGCCTGCTTCTTGGACCTGTCATGTCTCCGAGTCATCATGGAGAACACCCCCTTTAACATATTTCAGAACCAAAGTGACAGATGCAGAGGGAGATTTGCATTGTCTGTACATAGTGTTTAAGGTTAATGATAACCAATATACATTTTATTTTGTCGTAAATATTTTATTTGTGAACACATGCTTATTTATTGCTTATGTGAGGGACAACATATTTTGTTTTATTGAGGCACCAAGAAGTTTAACAATATTAGGTTTGATTAAGAATTATTTATATCATTTAACACATTGCATGAGTGATACTAGATCACCTCTTTCACGAAGTCCTGTTCACATGAAACTGAAAATATCAATTTCTTATCACATTTGTAATCATCATTCACCAATATGAAATATGTGTATATTAAGGGCATTTTACTGTTGTGTAGTTCACATGGGGTATGTAATTCCATTTTCATACTAATCATGATAATACCTGACAAGCAAGACTCTTTGTACTTAGAGTGAGTGAGTGAGTGAATATGGTTTTACGCCACTTTTAGCAATATTCCAGCAATATCACGGCGGGGGACACCAGAAATGGGCTTCACACATTGTACCCATGTCGGGATTCGAACCCGGGTCTTCGGCGTGACGAGCGAACGCTTTAACCACTAGGCTACCCGACCGCCCTTGTACTTAGAGATACGTCCAATGTGAGACTTGGTTAATGTTGTTGTGTTTGGCAAATGCCGGTATCTTGTCTTTTCGTTTATAGATGTCTGTTTGTTTATATCCTTTGTTGGCATTGTTGGGATTGTTGAGATTGTTTTGCAGTCTACCACCCTTGAGATTCTTCAGGACAGAATGACTGTACCGAATCATAAACTCTTCTTCTCTAAACTTGAATGAATGAAATTTTACCAAAATCTTTTATGTAATAAATAATGTCTTAAAGATAAAGGATCATTAGGATATTCTTTTGTCTGTGAGAGCTTTGAAGAAATTGCTGTTGTTTGTTTACTTGAGCAATGTTATTAACAATATTGGTATATACCTTGTCAATAGATCAACCGCATCACGTTTATTAGGGATCATGTTGAGTGAGTGAGTATGATTTTTTGTCGCTTTTAGCAATATCATGGCGAGTGATGCCAGACATGGGCTTCACACATAATACCCATGTCGGGAATTGAACCCAGGCCTTCGGCGTAACAAGCCAACACCTTAACCAGTAGGCTACCCCATTGCCCTGTTGGTCATGTTGACATAAGTTGTTTATTCCATGTTGTAATGCATCATGCCACGTCAAAAATTATATCCAAGATAATTGTTTATTAATATTTGGATAAAGGGACAGCTTTTTTGTTTTATTTGATGTCATGCTTCCTTAGTATTGTTTTTTTAGAGTTCCCAATTGTGATGTTCCCTCAGTTATTACTGGGGGGAAGTAGGGATGTGTAATAGCCTTCATGATATTACACATTTATTGATGCAAGGGAGGTTGTATTTACTAGGATGGACAAGTAGATTGGTGGGGAACTAGGATGGACAAGTAGATTGGTGGGGAACGAGGATGGACGAGTAGATAGGTAGGGAGCAAGGGTGGAAGGGTAGATTGGTGGGGAACTAGGATGGACGGGTAGATTGGTGGGGAACTAGGATGGATAAGTAGATTGGTGGGGAACTAGGATGGACAAGTAGATTGGTGGGGAACTAGGGTGGATGGGTAGATTGAGGGGGAACTAGAATGGACGAGTAGATTGATCGGGAGCAAGGGTGGACGAGTAGATTGATGGGCAACTAGGATGGACAAATAGATTGGTGGGGAGCTAGGATGGACAAATAGATTGGTGGGGAACTAGGATGGACAAATAGATTGGTGGGGAACTAGGATGGACAAATAGATTGGTGGGGAGCTAGGGTGGACAAATAGATTGGTGGGGAACTAGGATGGACAAATAGATTGGTGGGGAACTAGGATGGACAAATAGATTGGTGGGGAACTAGGATGGACAAATAGATTGGTGGGGAACTAGGATGGACAAATAGATTGGTGGGGAGCTAGGGTGGACAAATAGATTGGTGGGGAACTAGGATGGACAAATAGATTGGTGGGGAACTAGGATGGACAAATAGATTGGTGGGGAGCTAGGGTGGACAAATAGATTGGTGGGGAACTAGGATGGACAAATAGATTGGTGGGGAACTAGGATGGACAAATAGATTGGTGGGGAACTAGGATGGACAAATAGATTGGTGGGGAGCTAGGATGGACAAGTAGATTGGTGGGGAGCTAGGATGGACAAATAGATTGGTGGGGAACTAGGATGGACAAATAGATTGGTGGGGAGCTAGGATGGACAAGTAGATTGGTGGGGAGCTAGGATGGACAAATAGATTGGTGGGGAACTAGGATGGACAAATAGATTGGTGGGGAACTAGGATGGACAAGTAGATTGGTGGGGAACTAGGATGGACAAGTAGATTGGTGGGGAACTAGGATGGACAAGTAGATTGGTGGGGAACTAGGATGGACAAATAGATTGGTGGGGAACTAGGATGGACAAATAGATTGGTGGGGAACTAGGATGGACAAATAGATTGGTGGGGAACTAGGATGGACAAGTAGATTGGTGGGGAACTAGGATGGACAAATAGATTGGTGGGGAACTAGGATGGACAAATAGATTGGTGGGGAACTAGGATGGACAAGTAGATTGGTGGGGAGCTAGGGTGGACAAATAGATTGGTGGGGAACTAGGATGGACAAGTAGATTGGTGGGGAACTAGGATGGACAAATAGATTGGTGGGGAACTAGGGTGGACAAATAGATTGGTGGGGAACTAGGATGGACAAGTAGATTGGTGGGGAACTAGGATGGACAAATAGATTGATGGGCAACTAGGATGGACAAATAGATTGGTGGGCAACTAGGGTGGACAAATAGATTGGTGGGGAACTAGGATGGACAAATAGATTGATGGGCAACTAGGGTGGACAAGTAGATTGGTGGGGAACTAGGATGGACAAATAGATTGATGGGCAACTAGGGTGGACAAATAGATTGGTGGGGAACTAGGATGGACAAATAGATTGATGGGCAACTAGGGTGGACAAGTAGATTGGTGGGGAACTAGGGTGGACAAATAGATTGGTGGGGAACTAGGGTGGACAAATAGATTGGTGGGGAACTAGGATGGACAAATAGATTGGTGGGGAACTAGGGTGGACGAGTAGATTGGTGGGCAACTAGGATGGACAAGTAGATTGGTGGGGAGCTAGGGTGGACAGGTAGATTGGTAGGGAACAAGGGTGGATGGGTAGATTGGAAGGGATCAAGGGTGGACGAGAAGATTGATGGGGAGCTAGGGTGGAAGAGTAAATTGATGGGGGGCAAGGGTGGACAGGTAGATTGGTAGGGAGCAAGGGTGGACGAGTAGATTGATGGGGGCAAGGGTGGACGAGTAGATTGATGGGGGCAAGGGTGGACGGGTAGATTGATGGGGGGCAAGGGTGGACGGGTAAATTGGTAGGGGCAAGGGTGGGCGAGTAGATTGATGGGGAACTAGGGTGGATGGGTAGATTGAGGGGGAGCAAGGGTGGACGAGTAGACAGGCACAGCAGAGTTGAAATTTATGGCAGCTAGGATTTACTGATCAACTGATCACTTGTCTCAGATTCTACCCTGTTCTTATGCTTGGTGTGTCAGCCTCACACCAGTCCCCACCTGCACCCTGTTTGTGATGCTGATGTGACTTGATAATACAAGAATAATGTGGTACTTCACCAAACTAACACTCTTAATCCATTGATTGGTTATTCACTTCTTACACCAACATCTTACACAAGATAAACTGACCAGTCCAGCTGCAGATGATAATACACATGCCTAACATAATGGTTACAGTCCAATATTGTGTTACAATTCAGAAGCCAAAAAGAAAAAGTAATCATGAATTGGACCACATATATAGTACTATTAGGTTGGTTGGTTTGTTGTTTTACGCCACACTCAGCAATATTCCAGCTATATGACGGCGGTCTGTAAATAAGTCTGGACCAGACAATCAAGTGATTGATATGAGCATCGATCCACGCAATCGGGATCCATGACATACTTCAACCAAGTCAGCGAGCCTGACCACCCGATCCCGTTAGTCGCCTCTTTCGACAAGCAGTCACCTTTTACGGCAAGAATGGGTTGCTGATGACCTAATCTATAGCTACCCCGGATCTTCATGGGTCTAGTACTGTCAAGAACTGATGAGAAATTAGATGTAGCTGCTGACGAAATGGTCATCACTTTTTATGCATTGTGGAACTATTTGAGAACCGCTTTGAAATACTTTTAAGGGAGATGTTATGTCTGTGTATGTGCCAAAGTTTCTTTATGAGTTTGTGGAAACATTAGCCGACTTGTAAATGTTTTCATTGCAGTATTTCATATTAATATGGTCAAGTCTTCTTACTGTTCTTTTTCATATATGTTTGAAGCTGTAAATAGATGCATGAGAAGTGCTATTTAAATCATGACTATGCTATATGTGTGTGTTGTTTTTCCTAGATCACAGGTAACTGTGGTAACTTTATAAATAGTGCACTGGCAGCTTGATTTTCAACACTCCAGGCACTCTGTGGGGAGTGTTAAACTGTGGCATTGTATCTCAGTTGGCAAGCATTATGAAACCGTCATTAGCCTTAGTATTAGGAAACACAAACTCTCACCGCTATGCATGTCGCTATATAATAATAATAATAATAATAATAATAATAATAATAATAAATAATGAATAAATAAAGTGTTCAAACCCTTTCCATATCCAATAGAAATCTATGATAGTAGAATCAATATTCATGAACCCCATTTCACCCCACCAGGTTCCACTGTGAGAGGGATCTATTTCACATTGTTTGCTGAGAAATTGACATGCCACATTCCTGTACAAACTTTTGTCAAATAAGTCGGCCTGTATCCCTTGATTCAAATTATGCCTGGGTTAGGGCAACCTACCCCAAACCCTAAATAAATGATTTTGAATACATCATGCCGGGTGCTATGATTTTTAAACATTTCTCGGCAGGTCCCAAGACGGAAGTTTTATCAGATCAATGCATGCATAATAATCTTTAGAATTATTCTGTCGCCAGCCAAGCTCTAAAAGATGAGATCAGAATTGTATGCAACTGGACATGTGAACATTGACTTTGAACATTTTGTAACGAATCTGACTCTTGTAACACTATCATATGAATCGTGTTTTGGAGTAGAAAAAACGGCAAGATCGTATAAGCTTCAGCCGTCTGCAGCTGTGAGTTACGTGAGCTCGGAGGCTATACAAGTCAGTCTGCGTGACACGGTCATAAGGTCATAAGGCGATCGTCACCAGCACGACATCAAAGCCGCAGCACGACAGTAAACATTCATGTAGGAAGGCAGACATCACAAAGAGGAAATGTTTTACAAGTATTGATTTTGCATTAAAAACACTCGATAAGGAAAGATTTAATTTTGCATTCATACAGAACTGAATATTCATAGCGGTACATACAATGAAGTATTAAAATGACAGTGTATTGTGGTTGGTTGGTTGGTTGGTTGGTTTGTTGTTTAACGCCGCACTCAGCAATATTCCAGCTATATGACCGCGGTCTGTAAATAATCAAGTCCGGACCAGACAATCCAGTGATTGATATCATGAGCATCGATCCACGCAATTGAGATCGATGACATGCATCAACCAAGTTAGCGAGCCTGACCACCCGATCCCGTTAGTCACCTTTTACGACAAGCATAGTCGCCCTTTTCGGCAAGCATGGGTTGCTAAAGACCTGTTCTACCCCGGATGTGTTCACGGGTCCAGTGTATTATGGACAGTTCAAATGTATTTAACTGGCATGTTAGAGCATGCCGCTTTGAACAGTATTGCAGTTATATCCTTGCGTGTCTGCTCTCGGTGAGATAAAAACCGATGCAGGTCCCACACGTTTACCATTTTGGTAAAGCCAAGAGACATAATCAGGTCGAATCTGGATTCGATTGTTGTTTAACGCCGCACTCAGCCGCACTTAGCCATATTCCAGCTATATGACGGCGGTCTGTAAATAATCGAGTTTGGACCAGACAATCCAGTGGTTGACATCACGCGCATCGATCTACACAATTGGTATACGATGACAGCTTCAACCAAGTCAGCGAACCTGGCCACCCGATCCCGTTTGTCGCTTCTTACGACAAGCATGGGTTGGTGAGATCTATTCTAACCCGGAATCTTCACGGGACTGTTTGCAAAGTAACGAGAGTGAAGAAGTCACCTGGAACATTTTGGTCATGCATCTGAACAGATTGCCTCCAACAGTTCACCAAGATGACAGTTTAGGGACAGGATATGCGAACCTGGCCACCCGATCCCGTTAGTCTCCTCCTAAGACAAGCATGGGTTGCTGGGTCATTTGGTGTGAAAATTGTGATTGAGTTATTGTTAACAGTACACCCTATGTAGCCAATATACCTTCAGGAGTAACAGTCTCATTGACGTGTTAGAAGCCTCCAAGGTTACTATTCCTGTGTGACACGACTATGGGCTTCTGCACTACATCCCAATTTACATCTTTAAGATGGATCAGGTAAAGTTTATAAGCTTCAAAGGCGCACATCTAAACACTTTCACCTCGCCCGGAAGACACACATACAACTGTTCCTGGTCATCCAGACATAAACCAAGGGGTTTAGTAATACCGTCGTTACCAGACAAAATGTGCCTTTCAAACTGACCATGTTCTGATAGGTGTATTATGACATTGGCTCCCCAGTCTGCCAGGAAAATATCCCCCGATTTGCTGACGGTAATTCCACGAGGATCTTGCAGTCTCATTTCACCCCTTGGCGTGTCCGCGAAAAGAACATGTCCCTCTGGCGAGAAGCAGTACACGGACTTTGATCCATAGTCCGACACCAGAATGTTTCCTTTCTGTGACGCACAAAGAAAGTATGGAACATGATTGATTTGCTGAGCAGTGTCTGGTACAAAGACCGACCTTAGGACGTGTCCTTTCATATCCAAGATGTCGATGCCTGGAGTTACAGAAGCTGCTGCCAATGTTAAATCGGGCAGAGCCGCCAGGCCACGGTACTGCTTGCATGTCTGGAGACTGGACAGGAATTGAAGATCTGGAGTTGCCTCGACCAGGACTATACGTTTTGGCCATACGGCTGCAGCAACCCTGTTTGATGGAAGTTTTGTTAGACTTAGAGGCTTTTCTATGGTTTTCACCTTTGAATTCTGTTTCCGGCCGTCCTTGGTGTAGAAAGATTTGAGACAGTTATTGTTGTGGTCTGTCACCACTATAACCTGCGAGCCTTTCACAGACAGAACCGCGACGTCAACAACTTCCGGTGTCTCCGTGTCGCCGTCGCTGCGGATGTTGAAGCTTTCCTGACTTTCTGAAACATATGAATCATCTCTTAACATAACATTTATATCGCACTAACGCTATTGAAGACGCGAGCGACGAACTGATGATGGAGACCACCCACTGATGGTGTCCCTCGGTCAATCACTGAGTGAGTTTTACGCCGCTTTTAAGGTGAGGTGAAATGGGGTTTAACGTAGCGTCCAAGATTATTGCACTTATATAGCGACGTGCATGTACGTGTACACACACACATACACGTGCATGCACGTCGCTATATAAGTGCAAAAATCTTGGACGCGACGTTAAACCCCATTTCACCTCACCTCGTCATTTCCTTTCGTGAGCATTAGTCACTGTTACTATTGCAAGTGATACTAAATACACATGCAATGCAATTCCTGTATTGTATAGACAATTGCTATAATACCCTGCCATTGTATACGACTTTGCTAAGATAAGCCTAGATAAGAATCTATGCAATGTCTGTGATGCACGTTTGATATTCACATAAATAGAACTTGTACCTTGTTATATAATTGGTCTCTAAGGGTAATATTAGTTACTTAAGTTTTACCACTATTTTAACCCTATTACTGTCGTAACCATATACTGAATATTGGCGAGCATAGGTACAGCATTGACGGCACACTCTATCAACTGGTAAGGTGAAATGAGATTTAACGTCGCAATTATTGCACTTATATATCGACGTGCATGCACGTGTGTGTGGCTGCTTGTACTAGTCCGGACTGATGCCGATTTATAGGCTAGCCCACTGAGATACCATGTCGCAGTTTAACATGAATACCCCACTCAAACACAGTATCCTGACTCCGAGCCGACCAGTCCTTGTTTTAGCCCCTTAATGCCGAGCGCCAGACAGGGTAACAACAAGTACCATCTTTTGGTATGACGCGGCCGGGGATCCAACCCCGGCCCTTCCCTCCCCAGGCGGACGCTCTACCTCTAGACCACGGAGGCGGTTCTTTCAACTGGTAACACTGTTTTTTGTTTTATATCAGGAATTCAATGATGACTACTTTGGGTGAATAGTTTACACACCAATATCGCCTCGTAAAGTGCGTTTGTCGATGACTTTTGTTGATGTAACTGGTGTTATATCGGAAGCGTTTCATTCCTTATTATATTGTAACTGCCATATGGCGTACGACTTGACTATACGTTCCTTCAGCCGCATGGACACTTAGTATTTGTCGATCAATACGCTCTCCTGCAGTTTATGTCATCGTGTATGTTTACTTCGTGGATATCTCTCTCTCACCAAATACCTACAAAAATTTATTTCGCGAATAACTAAACACGAAATACTCAATAGATATTAGAAGCCGCTAATAAAGAGATCTTGTTATTGCAATGGTTTCTATATTAACAATGTATTATATGCTACCAGTGTACTGATATCAGCTTGGCCTTAAGTGGGCTGGAACAGTTACACAGCTTGCTGTTTTAAGATATGGTATCCATATAATATTGGTCGCCAACATTGTAGTACATGTCTGTCTGTTCATCTTACGAAAATCCCCATTTTTCGTTATCCCCATTTCTCATTACAACAGTACAACTGTGATGGCAAATTAAGAATAGTTATTTGAAAGCATCAGGTGGCCCTTAACTCCTTTGCTTCAGCAACCCATGCTTGCAGATAAGGTGACTATAATTGTCGTAAGAGACGACTATGCTTATCGTAAGAGACGACTATGCTTGTCTTAAGAGGCGACAAACGGGATCGGGTGGCCAGACTCGCTGACTTGATTGATGCATGTCATCGTATCCCAATAACGTGGATCGATGCTCATGATGTCAATCGCTGGATTGTTTTGTCCAGACTCGATTATTTACAGACCACCGTCATATGGCTGGAATATTGCTAAATTTGGCGTTAAACAACAAACTAACTAATACTATCTTAATTTCTTTTGAGTAGTATATTGTGGAGCGGTTCTTCGTGTGGAATTCCTGATTTCATGTGCGATACCAGTATACACATCCTAGTTGTCCACGATAAGGCTGGAATGTCGCTGATGTGATGTTAAATTCGAACTCACTCACTCTACATACATTGACTAAAGCCTGGGCCACCCTGACATGTGTAAGGCGGATGCTGGCCATCTCATAAAGCCCCACCTGCCGTTCACTGGATGATGCTCAGGGTCTTACGGTTCATTTCTTATAAGTGTTCAATACCCCGACGCGACAGAATTGAAAACATGGCGTTGTACAGCTACCCTGACGTTTCTTAACATATTTGAATAGAGGTTCCTGCTTCATGAGATTGTCGAACATGCAGTCATTCAAATAAAACATCTGAAAAGGGTCTATAGGGTTTCTATATAGACATTATGAAACATATTTTCATTACATTAATTATACTGAATGTCAAGTAAATGTCACTGGTAAGTTTTCTCGCGAACACCCGGTCTTCTTTTCAGTGATTTGAGTGGAACATGCTTCGTCATATAATCGACTTGTTTTTTGGCGTTCACGTTTAATATGAACTCTTCGAGAGCTCTTTAATACATTAAACCTAACTCGCTCGTTTCGATATTATTTAATGGTCCGAAACCGTGTTTGTGTATCAATTATTTGGCCATGCACAATGACAGATGATTTAATATCGGTGTATGAAAGATGAGACTATTGTCACTTACCATATGTAGAGCCCATCTTCTTGTGTCGTGTAATCTGGGACGACCAGCTGTGGCGACCAGTTTGTGAAAGTGGGGACTACCGTGTTGCCGGATTTAGTGTCAGTAATACTACTTCCCTATGCTAGTGTTAGTCACCGCGGCGGCAACTCATGGCGAGGGAAGGGTGTGAAAGATGGGCTGGGTCAAGGTCAGACGTCGGTGTGGTTCAGAGTGAGTGAGTGAGTTAAAATTTACCGTCGCATCGGCATTATTTCAGCCATATAGCGACTGTGGTTCAGACAAAACAGACGAATTACGAGAGTTACTTTTTCAATTGTAGACATGGTTATTTAATTTCCATGTGTTGAAGGGAGATTTAGACAATCGGAGGTTATGTTTTTCGGGTTTTTAAACGATGATGACAGCGAGTTTGGAGTTTTTGTAGGAGTAATGGGTGAGTGAGTGAGTGAGTGAGTTGGGTTTAACGCCGCTTTGAACATTATTCCAGCTATATCACGGCGTGTCAGCTTAATGTGGGAGGAAAGCCCGAGTGATGCAGGTCTCAGACGTTTACCACTTGGGACAAACCTAGAAACATAATCGGGGCGAACTGGAATTCGAACCAACGATCATAGCTACGGTTGTGTCAGCTGGAGAATTGGACATGTCTGGTTCGAATCCTAAATAAACAGTTGTCCCTGTTCATGGTTTGTGCTGATGTCCTAATTCCTTTAATAACATTAATGAGAGCGTTGGAGAAGCCCAGTGATTTCTAAGTAGTTGATCCGGGTTCGATTCAACACATTGGAACAACTCTTCCTCTGGTGTTGCTCCGCCGTGATATGGCGGGAATATTGCCACAGACGTCGTAAAATCTAACTCACTCACTCATTCCCACCAAATGGCGGAATCCAGGTCCCTCCAGGTTCCACCATATTCGCTAATTAATCTTCTTCATATTGCTCCACAGACAGTTATTGTACACAAGCACTCAGATGAATGTGAATTATGTTGTAACAAATTTTATATTTATATCACATTTTCTTAGTAAAGTAAAGATTCTAGTACTTTGGGGGGTCCCATCCGGGTTTCGAACCAACACTAGTGAAGATGTCAGTTAAAGGTATTAAAATGCCACTTTACTCCCTGTTTTATTGACATTCTAGAAGTTAGTGAGTAAGTAAAAAAACGTACAACTTTATGGATAACAACATCTGGTTTATTATCAAGCCGGAGTGTTATCAAGCTGGAATGTTATCAAGCCGGAGTGTTATCAAGCCGGAGTGTTATCAAGCTGGAATGTTATCAAGCCGGAGTGTTATCAAGCCGGAGTGTTATCAAGCTGGAGTGTTATCAAGCTGGAGTGTTATCAAGCTGGAGTGTTATCAAGCCGGAGTGTTATCAAGCTGGAATGTTATCAAGCCGGAGTGTTATCAAGCCGGAGTGTTATCAAGCTGGAGTGTTATCAAGCTGGAGTGTTATCAAGCCGGAGTGTTATCAAGCCGGAGTGTTATCAAGCTGGAGTGTTATCAAGCTGGAGTGTTATCAAGCTGGAGTGTTATCAAGCCGGAGTGTTATCAAGCCGGAGTGTTATCAAGCTGGAGTGTTATCAAGCCGGAGTGTTATCAAGCCGGAGTGTTATCAAGCCGGAGTGTTATCAAGCCGGAGTGTTATCAAGCCGGAGTGTTATCAAGCCGGAGTGTTATCAAGCCGGAGTGTTATCAAGCTGGAGTGTTATCAAGCCGGAGTGTTATCAAGCCGGAGTGTTATCAAGCCGGAGTGTTATCAAGCTGGAGTGTTATCAAGCTGGAGTGGAGGCGCTATATGCAATAATAAGAAGCTGTTATCCACAAAGCTGTATGTTTGCTTGCCAGTTTACTTAGTTCTAAGGTTATCAAAAAGATGTATGTATACATTCGATCAGCTCCACATATTGGAGGACATTTCTAAATTCAGTGAGCAAAATTATCCAAATCCCTATTTTGACTTGCCACTATGTTCTTTTCAGGTGGGGGGCAGCCGGGCAGCCAAGTGGTTCAAGCGTTCGCTCGTCACGCCGAAGACCTGGGTTCGATTCCCGATATGGGTACAATGAGTGAAGCCCATTTCTGGTGTCCCCCGCCCTGATATTGCTGGAATTTTACTAAAAGCGGCGTAAATCCATACTCACTTACACACCATATACTGAAGCGTTGAGTTTATTCTGTATATGTCGTGTTGACAAGAGCAAACCAGTTTTACAAAACATTAAGTTTATCTGTTAATGCCATGATTTCAGTTTAGTGCCGTGACCTCTTTGTGCACGTGACAGAAAGACTCTGGCATTGAAATGCTACAAATTGATATTATAATGTCATAATGCATAATTTGTATGTATCATTTGTACCATGTGCCCAAAGCAGTCGCAACACTAAAACGAATTAAGGATCAATTGATAACCAACCATTTGATATACGTGGTTTGTGTGGTGTGTGATTGATTGAATGGACAAAGTAAAGACACATTTCGCCTGGTGATTAGAAATGACAAATATGTACTTTTTTAGTTTTATAGTTTCAGTGATTCATCGGGAGTATTGCATCTTCCCGAGGCAAGAGAGTTAACCGACTATAAAAGTCCAGTTACCACCCTTGCCGAACTACGCTGGATTTCCTCGGCTCGATCGCAGCGATACCAGTGGCAATTACGAGTTATGTCCCTTCTATGGCTCTCCTTTGGACCAATCATATTCCACCTCTCGTTTCACTTCACAGTCAAGACGATCTGCTCGATAATCAAGATCTATATTGTGATAAAATGGGTCTTACACCGCAAAGTGCATCTAATCGCGTGAGCACCTTCATTACAAACATGAAAAGATTTGGAAAATATCTATTTACAACGAGTTGGTGATGCACATGCTCTATTAATCCTGCAATCCACTGAAATCTGCACGACTGTTTACGAACCAGATTTCGATTTCGTTGGGCGATTTTGATTGAACTATGCATCGACTCGTTAGTCCAGCCAAAATGTAACTCCATAATACCAGCCTAGTTCGGCAAGGGTGGAAACTAAACCTTTATAGTCAGTTAACACTCTTGCTTCGGGAAGATGGGAGTAGTGTCGGTCAGGGCGTCCTTGTCGAGACTTGTTCGAATAAACAAAAGTGGCAGTTGGGGGAAATTACAGGTGGGCTCCAACTGACATATTATTGCCTAAAGTACACCTATAACAGTATCATTGTCTACCTGAGGATTATTCTGAATGTCATACCCAAATAACGTGACGACATTGATTGATCAAATGTTTGCAGTACGGGAATACACAAATATGATAATATGAAAGAGACATAGTACCACAGTACCAAATGGCCGAAATAATGCCGATGCGACGTTAATTTTGACTATTACATGTCAAAAGAAACACAGTCCTTACATTCGCTCTTTAGATTTCCGAGATGTATTCGAAATGCGCTTTAAATCGGCCGTTTTAAGAAATGATATGTTAAATGACATTTTGAATGATTCTTCATAAAATGAGAATGTTTGACTTTTTCCTACTGTAACACCTATGACTATTATGTAATGATACCATCAAGTCTACATTTAAACGCAGCTGTTTTATTTGAAAAAATAGCACACATGTGACCTCAGCAAATAACATTACATATTGATATTGTAAGAATATTTTAATAAATAAAAAGGGACAAAATCCTTTCCATAATCACAAATATAAACAAAAGCAACATAAACCATTACCATAACATAAATCTCAACTTATAGGATAGACCATTGTACGATTCCGACTATATCATAAACATGTGTCCATGAATCACTATATAGTGATGATACCAGTTGTTGGCAAAAGGTGAGCGTATCCTGCCCCGCCCATGGCCCCCGTCACAAACACATGCAAATGCAAGTCAATTGTACACCTGAAAAGAAAGCGGGAACATTTTGCTCACTGAATTTAGAAATGCCCTCCACATGTCTACCATAAAACGTTTGAAAGCTTTGCTGAAGCGTTGACTGTTGTAACCACGATGAAACAGTTTTTGAGCAAAACGCTCTTTGATTCTTCGTAGAAAGAGTCACTAAGCTCTTTCTTAAAAGTTGCGAAATGTAGACACACAAGGTTCGAATATTGCAAGACAGAAAGTTGACAAAGAAGTAACAGTCTTGTTGGTATTTTTTTGTCATTTTATGCATAGACCTAAATATGAAATAGATGAGGCTGTTTCACCGGCCTCGCTCATGTCAAGATGGGGTTGGTAAATCAACGGGAGGAAACTGGTTCATGGACAATTATTGAACGTTATCAAATCATCCTTTTTTAGCAATATGCTGTCCCCTTTGGACTATACTATGTAATTCAGTTGATTATCATTCTCTGACTTACAATTCTACTCCATTTATTGGGCTACAGGATATGCGAGACGTAAATATCCTGGCTAGAATTGATTTTCAGCTATCCATGCTTGTGGTAACGGGATCGAGTTGTCAGGCTCGCTGACTTGGTTGATGCATGTCGTCGTATCCAAGATCGATGTTCATTATGTCAGTCACTGGATTGTCTGGTCCGGCGTCTGAGTGTCTGAGTGCGGCGTTAAACAAGAACAAAAATGACCCCAAACGGGATACGCACCAAACGTACAAAGCGATTCTTTTTCAAATGATGTTTTTTGTCCTTTCACTACTATCTGTCCTAACATTGTTGATGTACAGGTGCAAAGACGAGCCAGGGAACACTGCCAGAAGTTCATCTGTGAACTGGGACACGGGTGGTCGCTGTGCAGAGTTGCGTCCTTTGGGCTCGCCAGAAACATATGATTGTCTCTCCGAATCCCGATTCGCCCCGATTATGTTTCTAGGTTTGTCAGCACCATACCCGTGGGTTTCACCGAAGTGGTAAACGTCTGAGACCTGCATCACTTCAGGCTTTCCTTCCACATTAATCTGACATGCCGTGATATATCTGGAATACTGTTGAAAGCGGCGTTAAACCCAACCACTCATCTGTGAACTACGTTCGCCTGAACACTTTGACTTCACCACCCGGAAGACAGACGTAAAGGCGATCCTCATCATCTACACATAATCCAAAGGGTTTCGCTATTCCGTCTTCACGAGATAAAATGTTCTTTTCAAACAGACCATCTTCTGTCAGGTGCGTTATGACATTAGCGGCCCAGTCGGCCAGGAGGATGTCCCCAGATGTCGTGACGGCAATTCCGCGAGGTTCTTTCAATTCGGTCTCCCCTCTGGGTGTGTAAGTAAAGACAACTCTTCCCTCCGATGAGAAGCAATAGACAGACTTTGATCCATAGTCCGACACCAGAATATTGGTGCTCAGTGATGAGTGGAGAAAATATGACACAGGTTCGATTTTCTGATCTGTGATCGGGACAGAGATGGACTTCAGGACGTCTCCATTAACGTCCAGGATGTCTATGTACCCAGACAGAGTAGCTGCTGCCAATGTTAAATCCGGCAGAGCCGCCAGGCCACGGTACTGCTTGCATGTCTGGAGACTGGACAGGAGTTGAAGGTCTGGAGTTGCCTCGACCAGGACTATACGATTTGGCCATACGGCTGCAGCAACCCTGTTTGATGAAAGTTTTGTTAGACCTAGGGGCTTTTCTTTGGTTTTTACCTGTGAATTCTGTTTCCGGCCGTCCTTGGTGTAGAAAGATTTGAGACAGTTATTGTTGTGGTCTGTCACCACTATAACCTGCGAGCCTTTCACAGACAGAACCGCGACGTCAACAACTTCTGGTTTCTCCGTGTCGCCGTCGGCGTGGATGTTGAAGCTTTTCTCACCTTCTGAAACAAATAAATTCATTTTTTAACTAAAAGTGACAAAATCCATTTTCATTATTACAAGAAAACTCTTAGAAGCAGATTCCATGAATTACTATCAAATAGTGATGACACCAGGTGTTCGCGAAAATGTGAGCGTATCATGCCCCACCGGTTGCACCCGTCAAAAACACATGCAAAGTCAAGTCAATTGTTCACCTGAAAAAATCACAAAAAAACAGTATTCCATTAAATCACGACGTGTCAACTTAAAGGAAAAGTAAAGTGAAAAGAATGATTGTCATTTATTGCGAATATCAATATTCCTAGATATAATTAGTCAATTTCCGGGAGAGAAAAAAGTCATAACATTCGAATAAAGTTTTTTAATGTCCGAGTGAAATTTCTGAAATCAAACGCTTCGTAATCGGCTTCCAAAACAAACCTAATTGGGGCGTTGCCTATTACTCCCGGCACATTTTCATTGGCTTATATGTTTGCCGCGTTTGTCTATCTTGTGCTTCTTAGCCGTTATACATATACCTTTTTCTACTATGTCCGTTGATCCTACAAAAATAACAATATTGCATACATTGTTGAATTTGTGAAACGACATTGTATTATGACATTGTAAATAATTAAAATAACCATTAACAATCAGTAACTAGCGTTTTATGACGAACATCCTGTTGTGGGTTATAAAACAGCAGCTGCCCCTGGCCCTATTCCTCACAATAAATGCCTGTCGGGGATTAATACCCCGAGTCAACAACCTAAGGCATCTTCAATGTTGTTACTAAGGTGACATAAGTCGTGGATACGGAAATCAAATGGATGAGCAGACAGAAACAAAGACGTAATGTATTAAAAAAATCCGAGGCAGAAGTAGGCAGACTGGGCGTCGGCCCGATCGTCAAAATTGTTGAAAAACAGCGCAGCGCGTCCTCATATTTCGATATATTTTGTTAAGCAGGGCGTGGAGTCACCCTACGGATGACATCCTTACCTTGTCAGCTTGCTGACGGTGTTAACCTCTATGGTCATGTGGACAAGGCGTCCAATCAGAAATCCAGTAGTTCGAATCCCATCACCCGTCACGAAACAAATATGGCCGCAACAATAGAAATGATACTTGGCATAGCTTTCACCGTGTCACACTTACAGCAACCGAAATTAAGGAATCTTTCATCGCTTCTTGAATACAAAACGTTTTCCTAATATCTCTTGATAAACTTACTCTCAAACTGTGTAATGTTTTCCGATGAGACCTATGGACATATTTTTACAATATGCCTGTTTTGTCATTATGATATTTTGTCCATTTCCATGCAATATAATATATATTATGTTTTACATTATCCTTTCACAGTCAGTATAATGAATAAATGCATTAAGCTTAAACAACACATAACACAAAGTATTCTGTTGTATAAACCAATGAATTTGATTAACCTCCAGCATTTAGCTGCAACTAGTCACTGCTTCTAATCACTCACACTGCTCACTGAAAGATTGGACAAACGAGATTGTTTAGTTCTTGGTCCTTAGGGAGGGACCCTTGAAGATCTGGGTTAGAATTAGTCTTCAGCAACCCATGGCTGTCGAGAAGACCCGAAGAGATCGGGTGGTCAGGCTCGCTGACTTGGTTCATGCATGTCATCGTATCCCAACTGCGTGGATCAATGCTTGTGATATCAATCACTGTATTGTCTGGTTCAGGAAACATATATAAGATGAAAAAGGACACGCACACTTCACAACGAAAACTAAACACATTGTTACAAGGGAGAAAGGGTTTGCTGCCAGGAATTCATCCCTTCTGACTATCTGAGTAATGCAGAAGGCTGCAATATTGGGGAGTCTTCATATTCTCCGAAACGTTCTAGGTGGGTTCGATTAGGAAGCGCTTCATGGGAGAAGTCATATTCGGTGTCTGGGCTGCGTGAAGAGGGTGGGGCAAGGGCCCTGAGCTGATGTTGAGCCTTAACAGCGATACTGTGCCAGGATCATCCAAACCCTTCTTGGCTGCATTTATATATTTTAATCTGTATAATAATAATAATAAGAAGAAGAAGAAGAAGAAGATGATGATGAATACCAAGCTACACTGTATTGTGAATACGCCAAATGACACTTACCGTAGCTTACACTCATGGTGCTGTCTAGTTTCTAGCCATCTGTGACGATCCAGCATATGAAATTAAAGCATCACTGTAGGTTATTGTCCAATGAGAGATCGCCATGTGACCACGTGATGTACATGTATATCCTGGCACTATGTCAAAATGGTTATATGCTGCACATGCATTTTATGGAAATCTTTATCAGCTGGTTTCGGTGATGGGTTGGTTTCAGGATTATATCATATTGTGCTGATTTTGTTTAACGTTATTTTTCACGAAGCACCTACACTAAATTCCCAGTGGATTCAGGGATCTTGTCTGTCAAATACAGAGACAGTTTGCACAGTAGTTCAATTTAAGGTGTAACATGTGATACTGGCTTTTAAAACTATAAATTTGTATCAGAAATTATTTTCATCCGGCTATTGTCGCACTGGTCACTGGGTTTGTGTGACCATCATATTACAGAATCTACTCGCGCAGTGATGTAGCATACTGGTGTCATGACAGCAGTGTAACTCTAAGTGAAACATGATGAATTGAGGACAGAATCTTAAAAAACCCTCGTTTATACGCTTGGATTTATACCAGAGTGGTTCAAATCCATACATGCACCGGTAAAAGCATTTAAACTTGTGTTTTATTCCTTCGTTTCAACAATTATTGAATATAATTTATATTTAAAAATATTCAAATTTATTACATTATTATTTGAAAAACTGTGACATTTGTTCATGTTTTTTAATATTATTTATAGTGGTCATACATTTTTCATTTTCATTTTTCATTGTGTCAAGTTTTGATGACATCACCACCACCGATACACTCCACACAACAAACCCTAACCACCAACCTTAATCCCCCGGCGCCCATAATAAATGATCTTTCCCTTACGCAAAAAGAATCTGTTTCGGCAGCTAACGAGCACGCACGCACGCACGCACGCACGCACAAACACACACACACACACACACACACACACACACTAACACATCATGGACGCGACGTTGAACCCCATTTCACGTCACCTCACCTCATCTACATATATACAATCAGTCGTGATCTAGGTGGTATGTTACCGACTTCAGCTAATGACAACAAACACAACTATTACGTGGGGACTACAGTGACCGGTGAACCAGTTGTCAGTGTGAAGTCTTCAGCATTCAGTAGACAATGTACTTTGGTATTATTGTTTCAGGCAGAGCATTCTACCTACGGTTCATATATATGGTAAATGTCATACGCACCTTTTTAATCTGTTGAACCTCGTTGTGTCGAACTTGGATGTGTCGAATTCACGGTTGTCTCGAACTCATTTGGGAGTCCCAAGTATTCTGGTGCCTTGAACACGTGATAACTCGAACGATTCTTCTGATATTGCTGGAATATTGCTAAAAGCGGCGTAAAACCATACTCACTCACTCACTCTTCTCCTTGGGGAGTATGCAATCCAAGCTGATTGTGAGGGTAGAAGGTGAACAGTGACAACACCGTCTCATGCTACCTAGTACCCGTACACTGCTGGGTGAACGGAGGCATATATTGAACAAATATCACTTGCCTTAAAAGACACCACGTGTGCTACAGCCCTAGAAACTCTCAGGAGTTTTAAAGACATGGTCTAACGTCTCACGACATCTGTCGTTACACACGGTTGTGTTGTGTTCTATTCTGGTCAGTTCAAGAAAAGTAATGCAATCAGGGCTGATTATCATATTTTTAAATGTGTCTGGAAATTCATTTTTATCATTACAGAACCTGGTGTTAAGTATATGAACACGGTCATTGCTTACATTTTGGTAACTAAAGAATCCTTTTAATATAATACCCAATGTAAGTTAAGATCAAATACGCTATCTACAAATGTGTTCCAGGTTGTTTGAATTTAATTTAAAAAGCAGCAATGTCTGTGTCGTTCATGCACTGTTCATATTCCTAAATTATACGGTGTTCACATTCACTGATAATAAAAACGTCCAGGACATCTGCTGTTTGACATGGACATGTATCGCAAATGGTACGCACAACCATACAACATATTCAAAACAGTAGCACTGACATAATTAACATCTTCAGGACTGATAATAGTTAGGCACCTAGCTGCTATATTAATATCTTCATATATACTCTTTAAAGTGCTGACATTAAGTCGATATGAGGAATATTTTTACCAGTCATCATCACCAGGTCTTTTCAGTCCCTCGGCATCTTCCAAACGTGATACTTTAATATGTTTTTAGTAAAATAGAGAACTCGTGACAGTAAACTTGTTTATCGGCCATAAAAGTTTTTATCTGAAGCGAGACGACTTGTCCACCAAAGTCGCAACGATGACCCCACGCCCTGAAAAGGTAAGGATGTCATCTGTGGGATGACTCCATGCGCTGTTACACTGATCTGACAAGGTAAGGATGTAATCTGTTGGACGACTCCATGCCCTGTTACACTGATCTGACAAGGTAAGGATGTAATCTGTGGGATGACTCCATGCCCTGTGACACTGATCTGACAAGGTAAGGATGTCATCTGTGGGATGACTCTATGCCCTGCTACACTGACAAGGTAAGGATGTCATCTGTGGGATGACTCCATGCCCTGTTAAACTGATCTGACAAGGTAAGGATGTCATCTGTGGGATGACTCCATGCCCTGTTACACTGATCTGACAAGGTAAGGATGTCATCTGTTGGACGACTCCATGCCCTGTGACACTGATCTGACAAGGTAAGGATGTAATCTGTGGGACGACTCCATGCACTGTTACACTGATCTGACAATGTAAGGATGTAATCTGTGGGATGACTCCATGCACTGTTACACTGATCTGACAAGGTAAGGATGTAATCTGTGGGATGACTCCATGCACTGTTACACTGATCTGACAAGGTAAGGATGTAATCTGTGGGATGACTCCATGCCCTGTTTCACTGATCAGACAAGGTAAGGATGTCATCTGTGGGATGACTCCACGCCCTGCTACACTGAAAGGTAAGGATGTCATCTGTGGGATGACTCCAAGCCCTGCTACACTGAAAGGTAAGGATGTCATCTGTGGGATGACTCCACGCCCTGCTACACTGAAAGGTAAGGATGTCATCTGTGGGATGATTCCAACCCTACTACACTGACAAAGTACGGATGTCATCTGTGGGATGACTCCACGCCCTGCTACACTGACAAAGTAAGGATGTCATCTGTGGGACGATTCCAACCCTGCTACACTGACAAAGTAAGGATGTCATCTGTGAGATGACATCCACGCCCTACTTCACTTACAAGGTAAGGGTGTTATCTGTGGGATGATTCCAACCCTACTACACTGACAAAGAAAGGATGTCATCTGTGGGATGATTCCAACCCTGCTACACTGACAAAGAAAGGATGTCATCTGTGGGATGATTCCAACCCTGCTACACTGACAAAGAAAGGAAGTCATCTGTGGGATGATTCAAACCCTGCTACACTGACAAAGTAAGGATGTCATCTGTGGGATGATTCCAACCCTGCTACACTGACAAAGAAATGATGTCATCTGTGGGATGACTCCACGCCCTGCTACACTGAAAGGTAAGGATGTCATCTGTGGGATGACTCCAAGCCCTGCTACACTGAAAGGTAAGGATGTCATCTGTGGGATGACTCCACGCCCTGCTACACTGACAAGGTAAGGATGTCATCTGTGGGACGATTCCAACCCTACTACACTGACAAAGTAAGGATGTCATCTGTGAGATGACTCCATGCGCTGTTACACTGATCTGACAGGGTAAGGATGTAATCTGTCGGACGACTCCATGCACTGTTACACTGATCTGACAAGGTAAGGATGTAATCTGTCGGACGACTCCATGCACTGTTACACTGATCTGACAAGGTAAGGATGTCATCTGTGGGATGACTCCATGCCCTGTTACACTGATCTGACAAGGTAAGGATGTAATCTGTCGGACGACTCCATGCACTGTTACACTGATCTGACAAGGTAAGGATGTCATCTGTGGGATGACTCTATGCCCTGCTACACTGACAAGGTAAGGATGTAATCTGTGGGATGACCCCATGCCCTGTTACACTGATCTGACAGGGTAAGGATGTCATCTGTGGGATGACTCCATGCCCTGTTACACTGATCTGACAAGGTAAGGATGTAATCTGTGGGATGACTCCACGCCCTGCTACACTGACAAGGTAAGGATGTCATCTGTGGGATGACTCCATGCACTGTTACACTGATCAGACAAGGTAAGGATGTCATCTGTGGGATGACTCCACGCCCTGCTACACTGAAAGGTAAGGATGTCATCTGTGGGATGACTCCACGCCCTGCTACACTGAAAGGTAAGGATGTCATCTGTGGGACGATTCCAACCCTGCTACACTGACAAAGTAAGGATGTCATCTGTGGGATGACTCCACGCCCTGCTACACTGACAAAGTAAGGATGTCATCTGTGGGATGATTCCAACCCTGCTACACTGACAAAGTAAGGATGTCATCTGTGGGATGACTCCACGCCCTGCTACACTGACAAAGTAAGGATGTCATCTGTGGGACGATTCCAACCCTGCTACACTGACAAAGTAAGGATGTCATCTGTGAGATGACATCCACGCCCTACTACACTTACAAGGTAAGGGTGTTATCTGTGGGATCATTCCAACCCTACTACACTGACAAAGTAAGGATGTCATCTGTGAGATGACATCCACGCCCTACTACACTTACAAGGTAAGGATGTCATCTGTGGGATGACTCCAACCCTGCTACACTGACAAAGAAAGGATGTCATCTGTGAGATGACATCCACGCCCTACTACACTTACAAGGTAAGGATGTCATCTGTGGGATGATTCCAACCCTGCTACACTGACAAAGAAAGGATGTCATCTGTGGGATGATTCCAACCCTGCTACACTGACAAAGTAAGGATGTCATCTGTGGGATGATTCCAACCCTGCTACACTGACAAAGTAAGGATGTCATCTGTGAGATGACATCCACGCCCTACTACACTTACAAGGTAAGGATGTCATCTGTGGGATGATTCCAACCCTGCTACACTGACAAAGAAAGGATGTCATCTGTGGGATGATTCCAACCCTGCTACACTGACAAAGTAAGGATGTCATCTGTGGGATGATTCCAACCCTGCTACACTGACAAAGTAAGGATGTCATCTGTGAGATGACATCCACGCCCTACTACACTTACAAGGTAAGGGTGTCATCTGTGGGATGATTCCAACCCTGCTACACTGACAAAGAAAGGAAGTCATCTGTGGGATGATTCCAACCCTGTCTACACTGACAAAGTAAGGATGTCATCTGTGGGATGATTCCAACCCTGCTACACTGACAAAGAAAGGATGTCATCTGTGGGATGATTCCAACCCTGCTACACTGACAAAGAAAGGATGTCATCTGTGGGATGATTCCAACCCTGCTAAACTGACAAAGAAAGGATGTCATCTGTGGGATGATTCCAACCCTGCTACACTGACAAAGAAAGGATGTCATCTGTGGGATGATTCCAACCCTGCTAAACTGACAAAGAAAGGATGTCATCTGTGGGATGATTCCAACCCTGCTACACTGACAAAGTAAGGATGTCATCTGTAGGATGATGGCAGCCCTACTACACTGACAAAGTAAGGATGTCATCAGTGGGACGACTCCAACCCTGCTACACTGACAAGGTATGAGTGGACATTGGGCAATAGGAATAATGCCCCGGAAAATGTGACCAACTTTAACAGCTTACCTTTAATGTTATCGTGCGTTCATCAACAGCATTCCAGAGAGTTAACTAGCAGCGGAAACAATATTCGTTTCCACTGTTTCTCATCTTCCCGAGGTAAGAGAGTTAACTGACTATAAAAGGCCAGTTTCCACCCTCGCCGAACTAGGCTGGTATTATGGAGTGACATTTTGGCTGGACTAAGGAGTCGATGCATAGTCAAATCGAAATCGCGCACCAAAATCGAAATCAGGTTCGTTAACTGTCGTGCAGATTTCGGTCGATTGCAGGATTTGCAAAGCATGTGCACCGCCAACTCGTTGTCAGCAGATATTTTCCAAATCTTTTCATGTTTTTAATCAAGGTGCTCACGTGATTTGATGCATTTCGCGATGTAAGACCCGTTTTATCACAATATATATCTTGATTATCGATCAGATCGTCCTGACCGGGCGCCACCATTTTGTGTGAAGCAAACGCAAGTGATACGAGAGGTGGATTCTGATTGGTCCATAGGAGAGGCTTAGAAGGGACATGACTGGTAATAGTCACTGGTGGCGCTACGATCGAGCCAAGTAATTCCAGGCTAATTCAGCAAGGGTGGAAACTGGACTTTTAAAGTTAGTTAACTCACTTGCCTCGGGAAGATGCTGTTTCCTGAATACCTACAACATAGAGTAGGGGGGCACAACATAGAGTTGGGGGGCTCTTTACACCATTCCGACCGGTAGCAAGGTTGCAGGTGTGCGCCCTACTTTTCAGGGGTGAACGTTGCAAACATTTTGGGGAAAACACACTATTCTACGTTAATTATACATTGATGATGACGTCACGCTATTGCTGCAGTTAGTTCAGACCCAGGAATTCACTGACCATTCTGAACTTTAAAAAAACACAGACAACTACAGGTCATTAAGCAAATCTTTAGAGTAATTATATATCAACCATGGGCAAAGGTGGTCCAGTCGTCTAAAGCGCCGCAATTCGCGGTGCAGAGTTGCGTCCCTTGGGCACGCTAGAAACCTATGAATGTGGGTTCGAATCCCGGTTCGCCCCGATTATGTTTCTAGGTTTGTCAGCACCATACCAGTGCTCGTGGGTTTCACCTAAGTGGCAAACGTCTGCATTACTTCAGCCTTCCTCCCACATTAATCTGACACGCCTTGATATAACTGGAATACTGTAAAAAGCGGCGTTAAATCCAACTCACTCACTATATATCAACCCAACTATGGTTTAAGAAACAACTTAAATCTATTGCCTCAATCTAAGGCACAAGAAGGTGTGCATTCATATTTAATTTCACCCTGGAGAGCACCAAGTCACTACTAAGGAACCACTAGATATAAATAATACGTGTTTATGTTGATGATACTGATCATGTACCCATTAATAATCGCGCCACGTCCTTAGATTCACAACAGATTCGGTCCGATGGAGCGTCGTCATGTTGTACAATGTGCTCTTACTATACAACTATTTGCCAGAACTAAAAATAGCGTGTTGTGAGTTTATATGACCACAAATGTTACACGGGGGAAAAGGGGACCTACACATCCGGGTTGGGTTGTTTGTCAGGTGTAGCAGACACCCAGATGCGCATGCGCTCTCAACAAGATGGCGGACAAAAGGGACTGAACCTCAGCACCGGTTAAGGTCATAAACACACAGAAGCGTCAAGAAACATTTCTAATGTGAGTCGCGTTCTAACCTGCTGGAATATTTGCGTGCACAAAATGGCGGACAAGATACGAGGAGTGTTTTGTGTAACTGTGATCGTATCTGTGCTTGGACTAGGAAATGGAAAAGGGGCGACATTTAAAAATTTCACTGCCTTGAAACAAGAGTGGGTCGAATGTGGATACCCCCCAGCAGAAACATATAATAAATCGCTGTCTGCTTATACTAATAGTTTCAGTAAATGCTTTGATGATAAAGCAGGCGGTGGAGTGGAGAAAATCTGTGATCTATATCAACAGGAGGTTGACAGGTTGTGTCACACGTCGGAGCCCACTGATTTGAAGCAAACAGCCTCAGAAACCAAGGAAATGTTGAATGCAAATTTACACATATGTGGTTTAGCGGAGAGGGTGAAGTTGAGTCCCAGGATAGAGGAGCACCTGCAAGGTTCAAGATGTGCACCTGCCTGCTCCAGTCTTGGAGCCCCAGACGTGTGCCGATTGTTGATACTTCTATGTATCACAGGTAAGACTGAAGGCGCAAACTACTCGAGCTCACAGAATGCTGACAGTTGAAGCGTATGCCGCAATCGGTTTAACATATTTTTAACGTTCATGTACAATTTTCTTTTATAAAAAAATTAAGCTCTGAGTATAAATTTCATTATATTTACTTTTGTGTTAACATCTAATGGATATTACTGCTCTTTAGAAGGCTGGGCCATCCGTGTTGCGTGAATCCGTATCAAATAAATAGTTACGTGGGATTTGTTCATAATATCAATGGCGGGTAGGTCAAGCCCAGATTCGATATTATATATGGTTTCAAAATGCGGCGTTAAACAACAACACGATTCCACAACATGGAAGTCACATATTAACAGCTCCATTCATGAATGATTAAATAAAAAGCATATCGGCTTTCGCGAGTAAGGGACCGAAAAGACTTGAAAGAAATTATTATGCTTCAAACTGTTGAGAGAAAAAGGAAATTACCTGCTATAAATATTACATTGTTTTTTCTTTTTAAAAAATTCAGGCTTCCAGTTTTAAAAATAAAAAATAGCTAGTTGTAATGGTTTAGCTGAAAAATATCTAATCTCGATACAAAATACCAGCCCCCCACGACCATGTCAGGATTTGCACCGTTTGAATATCAGAGTATATATTACAATCTACTCCCCAATTATTGCACCATACTATTAACGAAGTATTCATGATTAATAAACAAAATGAATAAAAAGAGACTGGGTTTGTTTTTAAAACACCAAATATAAATTTATGGGATTATATGGCGTATGTTTTTGAAAATATAATGCCCGGTTATATATAAATGATGAATACACTCAATGGGTTTGTCTTAAGAAAAACATTTTTTTCATATTTTGAAAATTTAATTTTTAAAGGGGCGGTGGGATAGCCCACTGGGTAAAGCTTCGTTCGTTACGCCGACAAGTGAATACACGGTGAAACCAAATTCTGGTGTTCCCTGCCTTATATTGCTAAAATATTGCTAAAACCGGCGTAACACCATACTCACTCCACTTGAAAACAACTTTAGATTTGTTTAAATTAACTATCAATATTTATTTCTAAATCATGATTACGCTTTGGAGACCAGATATGATCAGAAAGAAGGATTACATCGTCAGCGACAAAGACAAAGATGTGTTATTCTGATAGAAACAATATTCCTTGATAACAATTCGCCTATAAAGTGTCTAATAAGTCATTTATAAATGTAACTGAAAATAAGAAGGGTCTTAACAAAAAATCTTGACGTACACCAGTATCACATTCAAACAAAGCGAAATACGAATTACCAAAATTTAACACATAACTGAAATGTTGGTGACCTGTTGGTTATATGATCACAGGTCACTACTCTATAGTTAACTATAACAATCATCGTCAGTTATTTAAACACAATGCAAAATATCACTTACTGCTACCAGTTGGAATCACGACATAAACTCATTAGTAGGTGCACCTGTTGAATGGCTTTGAGGGTGGGTTAAATCAGTGCGTGACGTCATAAGTAGAATGCACACACTGCAAAAGAGGAAGCAGAATTAGAATAAACATATTCTGTCCCAGCCAGCTGTCAATCAAACTGGTTGCCCAGTTTGTACTCGTTACCCTACTGGGGGCACGGGTGGCCCAGTCGTCTAAGGCGCCGCGATTCGCTGTGCAGAGTTGCGTCCCTTGGGCACGCCAGAAACCTATGATTGTGGGTTCGAATCCCGGTTCGCCCCAATTATGTTTCTAGGTTTGTCAGCACCATACCCGTGCTAGTGGGTTTCACCGAAGTGGTAAACGTCTGAGACCTGCTTCACTTCGAGCTTTCCTCCCACATTAAGCTGACACGCCGCGATATAACTGGAATACTGTTAAAAGCGGCGCTAATCCCAACTCACCCACCCATCCACGTTCCCCTACACAAGGCATCAAATAACAATAATATGTAAACATCACTATATTAATTGTTTGATCAAAGAACTTGGTAAACGTGACAAATTTTGCCTCCTATGGGGCCAGAATGTTAATTGAGGAAGAAATCGGCCCAAACCAGGCATCAGTACTACTTTGGTTTTGGCTTGAACCAACAAACTGGAAACATGCCCTTTGCTCTTTTGTACTGGATGCCAAAACTCCATAAAAATCCACACAAAGAGATACATAGTGCTGGGTCAAGCAACTGTACCACCAAAAACTTGTATCAAAGATTAACCGTAATTCTTGATATAATCGAGGGAAGTCTTTCATTCACAGCAATGTTCTGAGACAAATAGAATTAATACCAAGTAGATTTTCAACAACTCAGAAAAACTTTGTACAATTAGAAAAAAAATCCGTTTTACTTTGACAACTTTGTACACCACCATCCCACAAGGAACACTTCCTCATATCACTGAAATACTTCCTCTCAGATAGGGGGATAATTTCAGATACTTATGCAAGTAGAAGGCAGTTTCCTTGGGCACCAGTTGTTCTCCCTCCTTTGCTTGTCTGTGTGTTTATGCATACGAGTATGGCCGAGAAGTTTAACTTAGGCTTCAGGTATATCAATGATCTGTTATCGTTCAGTGATGTCAAATAGCCAATTCTTTTCCACTGATTTACCTACGCCAGCCAGAAATAAAAGAGGGCACTGAAACTGCCTCATCTCATCTGTATTATATTTAGATCTACACATGAAGATTAGGAGTGACAGAGCAACATTGCAGCAGCTCCAGTCTTGGGTGTCTGCATTTCACAATGTTTGAGGGACAATCTGGCAATCTGTGAAGACTTCAAACAGTGTCATACGAATCTTGGCCAAAATTTCAGGGCCTCAGTAATGCTTTCAAAACGATTTATGATAGGCATGTGCAGGACATTTATAATTTGCATCATTGATGAAAATGATAACTTGTCTTCACATTTTTACTTTGTGTATAAACACTATTTGATAGTGATTCATGAACACATACTTAGGACATAGTCGGAACCGTACAATTGGCTCTGCTTTTAGGAGTGAATTCTTCTGATTATGGAAAGGGTTTTGTCGCTTTTATTAACATTATTGGAAAGAAACCTTTTTTTGTCATCCTGTTTATTATTGAATGGAATCTCTTTGTCACATTGCATGTTTGTTGCTCATCTAGTATCTAGTTAAACAGTGATATTATGGTGATTTTAGGGGCGGTCGGGTAGCCTAGTGGTTAAAGCGTTCGCTCGTCACGCTGAAAACCCGGGTTCGATTCCCGACATGGGTACAATGTGTGAAGCCCATTCCCTGTGTCCCTCGCTGGGATATTGCAGGAATATTGCTAAAAGAGGCGTAAAACCATACTTACTCACTCACATTTTGCTGTAAAACTGATCATACAAATTAGTTGATAAAATACGACAGGCTTTTGCCACAGAACTATAAAATTGCCGACATGAAAACTGGGGTTTGTTCTCATCATCTCCGAAATAATATTTATGTCAGTATCCAAGAGATGATTGAAATTGGCATTCACCTTGATGTATGGATGACACGTTGTGAAAAATAATCCCCCTATTCGTGTCTGATGTTTCAGGGCCTGATTCCTTTTTTGAGGATATACCGACCTATGATCCAACGACTGCGCCACCCTCAACAGTTCAAACAACGACTTCAACAGCAGCCGCGACAACGACCACAGCAGCTCCAACAGTAACCAAGAAATCGATACCAAATAAGCCGACAGCGGACCCAACAGCAACTACGACAGCGCCCCCAACAACAGCCAGGACAGCGGCCCCAACAACAAACGCGACAGCGGCCCCAACAGCAACTACGACAGCGGCCCAGGTCGTACTCCAAACAACAAAAGGTATTTTAGAGCGAAAACCTGAATCTGCACTGTTGTTCCCAGTTCAGTAGAAGTTGTTGTTATTTAACAACATAAATGATCTTCTGTTTTTACCATTTCCCGAGCCGCCTTTGTGAGGAAGAGCGTCTGCCCAGAGAGCGGAAGATCGGGGGTTCTATCCCTGGCCGCGTCATGCCAAAAGATGGTGCTTGTTATTACCCTGTCTGGCTCTCGGCATTAAGGGGCTAAGCCAAAGACTGGTCGGCTTGGAGTCAGTATACTGTGTCTGAGTGGGACATTCAGGTTAGACTGCGGCATGGTATCTCAGTGGACTAGCACTATAAAACTGGCATCAGTCCGGACTAGTACAAGCAGCCACACACGTACATGTACGTCGCTATATAAGTGCACTGATCTTGAACGCGACATTAAAGCTCATTTCGGGGCTGTCGGGTAGCCTAGTGGATAAAGCGTTCGCTCGTCACGCCGAAGGCCCGGGTTCGATTCCCGACATGGGTACAATGTGTGAAGCCCATTTCTGGTGTCCCCCACCGTGATATTGGTGGAATATTGCTAAAAGCGGCGTTAAATCATACTCACTCACTTAACATCATGTCACCTCATCTGCAATTTGCAACAATCCATCTTTATAGTCAGATAAATAAGAACATTGTGAAGGAGATACAAGCAAACGGACCCCCAAAGAACACCTGGCTGCCACGTTTCATTTTCATATTTCAGCATAATAGGGCTGTACTTTAATATAATGTTATAAATAGTACCACTAATACGAAGAACTTCAAACACTTGCATTAATGTTAACAATTAATGTACGGTTTGTAAATTTAAAAGGAATCCAAAATTTATTTTTGTCTCAAACGGGTGATTTCAAACCAAATACATGACCCTCAATACTCAGGAATATCCATAAAATTACAACGATAAAGGACACCGGGTGATCCCATATTCCCGAGGCAAGTGAGTTAACTGACTTTAAAAGTCCAGTTTCCAACCTTGCGGAACTAGGCTGGAATTACTGGGCTCGATCGTCACGCCACCAGTGGTTTATTACCAGTTATGTCTCTTCTAAGCCTCTCATGTGGACCAATCAGATTCCACCTCTCGTATCACTTGCGTTTGCTTCACACAAAATGGTGGCGCCCGGTCAGGACGATCTGATCGATAATCAAGATATATATTGTGATAAAACGGGTCTTACATTGCGAAATGCATCAAATCACGTGAGCACCTTGATTAAAAACCTGAAAGATTTGGAAAATATCTGCTGACAACGAGTTGGCGGTGCACATGCTTTGCAAATCCTGCAATCGACCGAAATCTGCACGACAGTTAACGAACCGGATTTCGATTTCGGTGCGCGATTTCGATTGGACTCGTTAGTCCAGCCAAAATGTAACTCCATAATACCAGCCTAGTCCGACAAGGGTGGAAACTGGCCTTTTATAGTCAGTTAACTCTCTTGCCTCGGGAAGATGGGTGATCCCGACATTTTCAACCGGAAGTATACATTAAGAGTAAAGGTCAAGGCCACCAGCTGCAATAGCTGGTACAAAACTTCCTTGAAATATTTTTCATTCGTGTTTCTTATGAATGCTTTTGCTGTCATAGGTTTAGGCAAGTACCTCCTGTACGTAGGAATAGTGTTGGCAGCGTGTGTCCCTCTCTTTATCATCTACAGAAGAAGAAATAAGGTGAGTTACAAAATGCATTTGTGCATAGGTATCATACAGTAATGATGTCGTTCTTCAGCTATCTACTGTTATGTCTTGCTGATTTGTTTTTACGTATTTCTTCAGATCCTGACTTGTCTTCAAGAGAATCGGGAAACTTCGGGGTCACCTGAGGATGGGAAGAGGCGCTACCGGAAGTTACCACATTTCGAAAGGGACGTGCCTTCATTAGACGGAGTAGATCAAGCCAAATCGTATATTTACTGATGCCTGTGAAATGAAACATTGTTACAAGCTATGGATGAGTGAGTGAGTATGGTTTTACGCCGTTTTAAGCAATATTCCAGCAATATCACGGCGGGGGACACCAGAAATGGGCTTAACACATTGTACCCATGTCGGGAAGCGAACCCGGGTCTTCGGCGTGACGAGCGAACGCTTTAACCACTAGGCTACCCGACCGCCCCTACAAGCTATGGAGCTTCATGGGTTCAACAAAATAACATTTGCAAATGTTTGTATGTAATATTTTGACTTAATGTTACCAAAATGCTCCACCACTTTATTTTCACTGGTCACCGAAGTGGCAAACGTCTGAGACCTGCATTACTTCGGGCTTTCCTCCCACATTAAGCTGACACGGCGCGATGTAACTGGAATACTGTTAAAAGCGGCGTTAACCCGAACTCACTCACTCACTCATTATGTTCACTGATATTCAGGTTCCTGACTACATTACTCCAAGCTCACAACTCCCTGAAATTCGAACAAACAAAACAATATAGTTATAATACAGTAAACTACGGTTATAACGAACTCAACAGGACCACTAATTTAAGTTCGTAATAACCGTAGTTTGTTATAAGTATATATACAACATCACTACAACAAATAGTCGGGACAAAAAAGTAAGTTCGTTATATCCGTCAGTTCGTTATAAGCGTGTTCGTTATAAACGTAGTTTACTGTATATAGTTGCCTGACATTCAGAAGCTTTCCTTACAGGCGACCGCGAGTCAAAGGAACGGCCAGAATGTAGAGCTGGAATGCGTTCATGCTATTGTATCCTTTCTCGAGATTAATGTTCACGTTTGTCTTTGAAGATGACTGAACAGGGAAGCCCGCTCGATCGTCATGTCTTTTGGTTGCAAAGGAGTTGTCGAAAATGTTAACGTTGACAAGAGACAGGCGATAGACAATGCGCCATGACAGAAGTCCACATAACTGTCAGACGGACTTGGGCCAAAATATCAGATACTCATTTCTTTAGAATCATTGGAATGCATAATTGGAGCTCGTGTCGATTGTCAAATCGTGGTCTAAGATGCAGCATTTGAATTAGTTGTGGGTCCATTATTATGTACTAGTGCTATTTTAGCAGGACAAGTTTTTTTCCTTCCAGTCCAATAGTCAGTATCGTATGTATTTCGTGTTGGAGAAAATTACACATGTGACACAAGGGTCACACACGCACGCACGCACGCACGCACGCACGCACGCACGCACACATTATGGTTATTATGTTAATTTTGTTGTGCAATCATATTATATCATTTTTTCTTAAATCCATGAAAACATTTTTTATTGATGCTTATGTAATGATAGAAAACAACTTTCCCTCGTGGCAATAAAGAGCTCTCTTATCTTATTTTATCTTATGTTATCTTATCTTCGAGGATCCACCGACATAACATTCGTCACCACTCGCCCCTTTCCGTAACCTGCAAGACGACTCGTACACCTACCGATACGAAAATACAACAAACCAATCAGAATGCGCGTATGACGTCAATTACTTCGGTCAAAGAATCCCTCAAGAATAATTAAGGAGTTTACTTCTGTTTTGCATCTTAAAATACGCCATTGATACAGTTAAATGTGTTCAGTCATAGGGTATAAATACCGTAAGTCCCGATGTGTTTTAAATAGCATATGTATGATATATGACATGGGGGAAATATACGTGAAAAATTGCAACGGTTTGACAATTCTTTTAACTATGCCCGTTTGCGCTTAGACGGGACCCAGTCGCAAAAATGGCCACGAGAGGGGCACGAGTCGCTATTCGGCTTGTCCCGGAATAACACGAGTTGGTCACGACATACACGAATGTTGAAGGCGACGTTTAACCCCGTTTCACCTCACTGCACCTCTTAAGGTATCTCATCTGGGGGTGAGGAGGAAACATCAGCACATTGACAGCTATCTTTCCTGCAGAAAGGTACTCTAGATAGTAGCATTAATTAAGCACCACCCACTTTTTCGGATATGTACCACATTGAAAATGACTGGTGTGATTCATTGTTGGAAACACGACAAAAGAGTAGTAAACTGACACACAGAATGCATGGCACTACCATCACACAAGTAATGAAGTTGACACTAGCAATCGTTACCATTTTATTGGCGTTATGCGAAGACGTTTAAAAAAGCGATTTATTTCAGCAACGCCAAAAAATATCAGCACTAGCCAACACCTCGAATCGGACTGTCACGTTATGCAGTGAAAAACGATATTGTCAACCTAGGAATCACCACTGACTCAGCACTGTCTTTGAGTACTAGTATCCACCCCTCTCACGTCTAACATTCGCGCTCACGCCGTGATATGACTGGAATAATGTTAAAAGTGGCGTTAAACCCAACTCACTCACTCACTCACTCTGACATTCGCGAAGCTTCCACTCCTGCTGCTAACCAGACGGCTGATTTTCAACATTGGGATCCCCCCCCCCCCCCATCCTCGCGCAGTGTCTGGGTCAGGTCATTCAGGTTTAGAACAGGGCCCACTTGCACAACGTATTCTTAGCACTAAGATGATCGTAACTCCCATACTTTAACATAGGCTTACGATAGTCTTAGCACTAAGATCGCTTTGTGCAAGTGGGCCCTGGAGCGTCTATCTCCCACTTGGCGGCCCAGGAAATCCCTTGGATATTCAGTTTGGTTCGGATCAGGGGATTTATATCTTTTTCGGATGTTTATTTTGAATCAGGTGATACTTAATTCATGCTCATGTGTAATACGAAACAACGTCCGGCTGGCTTGATATTGTACACTGTGTGTACAGGCATACATTAATACATAGATAAAACATTTTAAAATGTACACACACTATTCCTTTTGGAATTATGAGAGACTAAATCTAAAAATATATACAACTTAATTAATCTGAAAATAAAAAGGTATAAAATACAATAGCTAAAAAAAGATGCACCCATTACTATGTGCTATATAAAATAACGACGCCTGCGTTTGAGTATTGCTAAGGTGGTTTGGGCAACAATATTTACTAAATCAACAGAGGAGAACAAATAACATACTTTATCAACATCACTAAAATCATCATAACTTTCTTTCATCTGATATGCAGTACATTCCATGGCATATCTCAGATCATGGAACAGCCCGTATCGGCAAAATCAAAATGCAAATCGTTTATATGGAGCGGGGAGCAGCACAGTGATACAATACCGCCGCTAAGTTGTGACACGCCTAAACGACGAGTGGGCTGGCTGTGCCTAATGTAATGAATAGACACCATTGCCAAGTTGAAGGCTCTGAATAGCGACCATGTGGTGTACACAGTCCATGTTTCATAATACATGTATGTTTCTTTGCATGGATAACTTTGTTTCTATTCATGCAAACTTTCATCATATAGCACATACATATATCACACAAAAGGTTATGTCAATGGATGTTGGAATGTTTGAAGAAGCGTCACCACAGATTCTAAATAGAGTCGTGTTGTTTGCCAGTTGTAGTATTTGTGTGCATAAAATGCACGACAAGAGAAGCAGGGTTTTTATTTTTCTGTTGTTTTTGGTTGTTTTTTTTTGTTGTTTTACGCCACAGTCAGCAATAGTGCAGCTATATGACGGCGGTCTGTAAATAATCGACTCTGGACAAAACAATCCAGTGATTGATATCATGAGCATCGATCCTCGTAATTGGGATCGATGACATGCTTCAACCAAGTCAGCGAGCCTGACCACCCGATCCCGTAAGTCGCTTCCTACGACAGGCATAGTCGCCTTTTATGGCAAGTATGGGTTGCTGAAGACCTATTCTACCCCGGATCTTCACGGATCGGGTTTTTAGTGCAACAGTGTTCGTGTGTCACTTGCTTATTATTCTTTCTTTGACAGTTCAGATGGAGGGAGCACACCATTGTCCTTCAGTCGGTTGTATTGTCTAAGCTGCCGTAAAATAAGGATTCTATTTAGCCATATCGACATTTATTATTATACAGATGAAAATGGCGGTGGCTTATATATAGCCTTACGAATGTGGATAGTAGGGACGTATTATGAATCACTTCTGAATTACTGTAGGATCCCCTTATTTCGAGATTCATTTTTTTTAATGTTAATCGCTGTAGATTGCTGTTATGCTTAATGAGGTACATGTACAAGCTGTGTTGTCAATCATACATTTATTACGTGGACACTGTACATAATTTGTCACAATTGTTATTGATCATTGTGTACGAAATACATGTGAGTTGAGTTCTAAAATATCTCGCGTATGCCATCGTATTGGATCTTTGTTTGTTATATTTGTTTGTTGTTTAACGCCGCAGGATCTGATACAGAAGATTTAACAACAACTGGTGCAGGATCTGAAAGAGAAGTTGAAACAACAACTGGTGCAGGATCTGATACAGAAGTTGAAACAACAGCTGGTGCAGGATCTGATACAGAAGATTTAACAACAGCTGGTGCAAGATCTAAAAGAGAAGTTGAAGCAACAACTGGTTCAAGATTTGGTACAGAAGATTTAACAACAACTAGTACAGGATCTTATACAGAAGTTGAAACAACAGCTGGTGCAGGATCTTATACAGAAGATTTAACAACAACTAGTACAGGATCTGATACAGAAGATTTAACAACAACTAGTACAGGATCTGATACAGAAGATTTAACAACAACTAGTACAGGATCTGATACAGAAGATTTAACAACAACTAGTACAGGATCTGATACAGAAGATTTAACAACAACTAGTACAGGATCTGGTACAGAAGATTTAACAACAACTAGTACAGGATCTGATACAGAAGATTTAACAACAACTAGTACAGGGTCTGATACAGTAGATTTAACAACAACTAGTACAGGGTCTGATACAGAAGATTTAACAACAACTAGTACAGGGTCTGATACAGAAGATTTAACAACAACTAGTACAGGGTCTGATACAGAAGATTTAACAACAACTAGTACAGGATCTGGTACAGAAGATTTAACAACAACTAGTACAGGATCTGATACAGAAGTTGAAACAACAACTAGTACAGGATCTGATACAGAAGTTGAAACAACAACTAGTACAGGGTCTGATACAGAAGATTTAACAACAACTAGTACAGGGTCTGATACAGAAGATTTAACAACAACTAGTACAGGATCTGGTACAGAAGATTTAACAACAACTAGTACAGGATCTGATACAGAAGTTGAAACAACAACTAGTACAGGATCTGATACAGAAGATTTAACAACAACTAGTACAGGGTCTGATACAGAAGTTGAAACAACAACTAGTACAGGATCTGATACAGAAGATTTAACAACAACTGGTGCAGGATCTGATACAGAAGATTTAACAACAACTAGTACAGGATCTGGTTCAGAAGTTGAAACAACAACTGGTACAGGATCTGATACAGAAGATTTAACAACAGCTGGTGCAGGATCTGGTTCAGAAGTTGAAACAACAACTAGTACAGGATCTGATCATGGACAAATAAAGGAAGAACCTGATGTCACTTCATCCGGCCACTTCATGGCTTTCTTCATACCGGCGTGCGTGCTGGCTATTGCTGCGTATGTGGTGTACAGCAATAGAAAAAAGGTAACCTTATTTCATTCATGCCTGAAAAGGGATTGTACAATATATATGTTGTATATTTTATATTCCGTGACCTTCATCATAGTCAATGATTTGCTTGAATTAAGAACTGAAAACTACGTGGGTGTTAGAGATGTAACTTAATATATCCATACTGACAATGTACTCTATACCATGCCGTTAAATGAAAACAGGGGTTAAATGATATAAATCACTGATTGTGAAATGTTGCAATAAAAACATATTATGCTGTTTCAACATAATAAACTCATAGTAAACGTTTAAAATAGTGGTGGCCTCGACCTTGGATGGGCTTCGCCGCAGTGGTTTAACCTGACCCTATTTATCAAAGTAGTGTGAAAAAAAGCTTAAATACATATTTTATAAAGAGTTACCACTAACTCTTGCCAATCGCGTGCAACAACTTTCAAGGATTTTGGATTTACAAACAAAAACATTGTTTACTGGGCATGTCGGATGTCCTGAGAAGAACTGTGTTTATTGGTTATTGATCACTGATTTATTGTTTATCTAATACGAAGTCCAAGGAAATGGTCATGACAATCCAATACACAAGAACTTAATTTGTAATCTAATTATAATCGTCTGAAATGTGTTCACAGATAATTGCTGTCATCGTCGGGGGTCGCAGCAGTCGACGGAGGAGAAACAATGACAGGGGCAAGTACAAGATACTCCAGAACGATGTAGAAGAGGTGTTGTCGTCTACGTCGGCTACAAATTTCATTTACTGAAATCTCATTTTATCATTGGCACTAATGGATACAAAGAAACAAGTCTGAATTTGATAGTCAAATGTCTAATTCCTATTGGAAAATATGTTTGAATGTTTTTGTGTCCGAAATTGGTTGAAATGTTTAAGTGCCTGGGTAGAATGGAGAGAATGACATAACGAACGAACCTTTCAATCTGTGTGACAAATTTGAAATAGGAGTTGCACCGCTCAACAAACAAACGCCTGTTTGTCAAATATGTTTTGCAACATTTTAGAAATGTTTCACCCCTCATTGTTTTTTACAGTAGATATCTATCTATACGTCAGATATTAATAAAGATGTATTACAATGGTAAATGATTCTGCAAGTATTTGCACAAACAGAAACAGCCCATTAACCGCCATATCTAGAAGGTCCGAGAAAGGAGCATTACCACACACATTGCTAGTATGATTGTGCATTTGGTGAAGAACACGTTTGCTACAATCATATACCAGATAATGGATATCTTGCCCCCAGTGGGAACAATGAGGAACCGTAAGGGCATTTCTACTTCCGATTGAAATTATTTCCTTTCTACTTTGGGAAACACATATCCAAAGCAGTACTGAAAATCATATTTCTCTGACTGTATACGTTTATCCTGCTGCATGGTATGACGGCGATTGCCTGGTCAGTACACAGAGCAGCAGAACAATTTTTCGAAAGACAATTCCAGGCACCTCAAACCCTCACGACCCCAATGAACCACCCTAAGCAGAAATATGTAACAAACTTGACCCTACTGCAATAACCATTTATGTTATCATATACATGATATATGCTGGAGTGTATGACCTTCATTTAACCTTCAATATCAGTTGCAAGTATTTCAAGAACATTCCCAGGGTCTCAGCAACAAATAAGACAAATAGTATGACGAAAGCATATGCTACTCATTGAAAGCAGGTCACCGTGACCTATCACTGACATCCTAAGAGTGTCATCACTTGTCATACATAAGCATTCAAATGCAATAACCACAATATGCATAAGACTTGAATATATATTTGATAATGGCAAACATACGTTTATTTGCACTGTGACCTTGACCTCATAGTACATCGCCCACAAACGTCCCCGATCCTGGCCTATTAAGGACATGTACGTTTGACCTACATAAAATCTAGACTAAACAAACATCTGGGCTCGAGGATGACCTTGACCCTTGAATAACCTTTCCAAGGTTATAAAGGAGATATAAAGGTAATTATTATCCCTGAGATATCCAAGCACCGTTTGGTTTTAAAATACAAAGTGCGGCGGTGGCGTCGCGGACAAAACCATAGTGCATGCCTATTTACAGACATGTGTTCACTAGATCGGTGCTCATGATGTCAATCACTGGATTGTTTGTCCAGACTCGATTATTTACAGACCGCCGTCATATAACTGGAGTATAACTGAGAACGGCGTAAAACAAACAAACAAAAAATATGGGTGTAGCTATGTTCCCTCCCTTTGCAAACATTTCTTGGTTTGTAATATAATGGCCAGGTATAAAGTCACCCCGACCTTCACGCCGAATACTATTTTAGGAACGGACATAGTGTTTGTATTGCAAACATTTCTTTGGTTGTAATGTTATCGCCAACTGTATAAAGGTATTGAAATGAAGCCACATTGTAATACCAACACATAATAAACATAATAATATTGCATAAAGTCACCCCGACCTTCAAGCTGGATTCTTTTTCAGAAAAGAGCAAACACATTTTTTATAACAATCCCAAATGCATTGACAATGAATGAATGAATGAAGCCTTGGGCGCGCCATGAAAATCAGGAAGAAGCGTGCCACTGCACAATACCGCACCAGTCATGTATTTAAATGACAAATGTCCTCCTTGTCAAACAGGTTTTTAAGGCACGAGTGACATCCCGGCCAAGTACAATTACAATACGGTATCCGGTCCGCTTCAAATGAAGTCAGTTTCTAACATGATTGATATGATATATTCCCTCAAGTGGTGGCATTAAACTATACGTGTAATCATTGTCCCAAGAATGTCAAACACGTCAACATTATTTAAGATTCTGAGACTGGTGTCACTTATAAATGGACGTCTATCTGTATGCATGGGTTAAAAATCGGCTTAGAACAGTATATTAATGATGTCCTGAATATATCCTGAAAAAATATATTTTCATCTTAACACTCATAACAATTTGCTAGTTTATATTGAGGTGTGTCACCTAATTACTTCGTTGCAATAGGTTTTTTTCATTTTCTTAAGAATATGTACAGGAGTTTGCCCCTTTTATTTATATAGTACAAGTTGTAATGATTCAGGCACTTTTGAGGAAAATAACATGTATATTTAGGATTTAAAGACATCATTGGATGTTGTTTAAGTTCTAATGAGAGGTCTCGATATTACATATACTATTCATTATTGTCTGTTGTTCTGAACATTTAAGTCAAGATGAATATCATTCACTTGATCCCATTTGTGTTAAAATTATATTTGGATTTCCAAGTCAATTGTATCATTTCAGTTAAGAAATATAATCTTAACTATAATACACAAAAATAGGCAACATTACGTTCATAGTCTCTAGCGTGCAACTGGAGACCTCGTGAGGAATATTAATAAGGCTTTTAAAGATGTTTTTGCGTCCCATGGAAAAGTTCACATAGTTCACAAATATCAAGAAACATATTCACCACCTGAAAACGACACTTCCCGCTGGTTAAGGTAATATAACATAAAGCGAAGAGGCGTCATTGAAAATTTTATATCCGGATCGGGTTACTGTATTCGACGTAATAAGCGCCCAGGGCGCTCTCTAATTTAAGAATAGGGGCTCTTATCAAAATATTATTTTGGTGAAGAAAAACAGAGTTGAAAGATAAATTTTGTGGTTTAAGCTGACAACCTGAAATGTTTATGTACGACAGATATATTTTTCCAGAATTAAATTGCCTATAATTAAGGGTGCATATAACACACGAGTGTGTAAAATACGCGAATAAATAAGTCTTGTGTACATTGATCAGTTGGAAGGGGGATAATTGGGATTGTTCACTTGCCAATATATTAACAAATATCGCCCTGGGCGCTTATTGGAGCGGGGCGCTTATTTCGTCGAATACGGTATTTGCCGGGTACACATTGTGTGTGCACAAAATGGCGGACACTACACGCAGGGTACTCTGTGCAGCAGTGATCGTTTCTGTGCTAGGACCAGGAATTGTTGAGGGTGTGACATTCGACAATTTCACTGCACTAAAAAAAGAGTGGGTCGATTGTGGATACCCCCCAGCAGAAACATATAATGAAACGAGGTCTACTTATACTAATAGTTTTAGTATATGCGTTGAGAAATATAACGCCGTTCCTACAGTGAAGACAATCTGTGATCTATACCAACAAGAGGTTCATAGGTTCTGTCTCTGGTCGGAGTCGGTTGATGTGCGGGAAACAGCCGATGAAACCAGGCAATTGTTGAACACACGTCTTCACGTATGTAGCGTAGCGAAGAGGGTGCGGTTGAGTTACCCGATGCAGGAACACCTACAAGGTCCAAGGTGTCCATCTGCCTGTTCCACACTTGGCGCCGCAGAAGTGTGCAGATTGCTCATCATTCTATCGTTGACAGGTAAGATCAGGGGATCAAACTACTGTTGCATTGGGTTTGAGTAAAGTACAGTAAACTACGGTTATAACGAACTCCAAAGGACTACTAATTTTAGTTCGTTATAACCGTAGATCGTTATAAGCATATATACAGTATAACTACAGCAAATAGTCGGGACCAAAAAAGTAAGTTCGTTATATCCGTGAGTTCGTTATAAGCGTGTTCGTTATAACCGTAGTTTACTGTACACCAAACGCTGACAAACTTTGCGCGTGGGCCAATATCGGAGTAACGTGCCTTTAAGTACATGTATGATGTTGGTCATACATACATTTATATTAAGTAAGATGGAAGGAGCAATCCATTGTCATTAAGCCAGGTTGTTTTATGTAATACCCGGTTCACATGCATAACATTTACTAACGTAAGTAATTTTACACTTGTATAACTATATATATGTGAGTATATGTAAATGTCACATGAAAAGCATCTTAGGTGTGTAAATAAAGTATGTACATTGTGTGAGGAACACATATTCGTCAGTCTGTTCACGACTTTCAGGGGCGGTCGGGTAGCCTAGTGGTTAAAGCGTTCGCTCGTCACGCCGAAGACCCGGGTTCGATTCCCGACATGGGTACAATGTGTGAAGCCCATTTCTGGTGTCCCCCGCCGTGATATTGCTGGAATATTGCTAAAAGCGGCGTAAAACCATACTCACTCACTCACTCACGACTTTCAACACAAAACAGGTTGTTTTCCAATCAAATTTGAATGAGAAGAGAGTTACTTATTTCACCGAAAAGTTTGGCGTGAATAAACATGTGTTTGATTTAATTTGTACACAAAGTTTCAACTCCTTGAAACCAAAAGAAAAAACCGTCCGCTGACAATTTGTTTGGTGTTAGCAAAAGAACAGACATTAATTAGATCATCATCTTACGTTGACATAAACGTTCCCATTGCAACATATACACACAGTGAAAATTTACACTTACATGCACCTGCTCCAGACATGATGCAAATTCCCTCCTGGTGTAAATATACACACGTGAGTAACGCGTTTACGTGACAAGTATACTCACGTACACTCTTCAAAAAAAAAAACGCACATAAATTTATTGTACCTAATAAAGACAATATATTAAATTTAATATCATAGATACAGATACGAAATTCTGGAGTTCGATAGTCACATGTTGTCGTTGTACACAGTTGTATTGTTTTCAGAAAAGGTGGTATTTTAAATAAATTTGAAAAATGGACGTATTGTTATAAGACAGTCAATGTTGTTTCATATTATAAATATTTGACTGTGTCTTCTCGATTATCATGGTCAACATCATGTAAGCAGTTGGCTCTGCAAGCATCTAAAGCCTTGATTCCTGTCTATAGAGTTTTTAAAGAAAACAAATTTATATCTTTCTGGGTTGTTTCGGACATTTTTGACAGAAAAATAGCACCAATTCTTCTGTATGGTTCAGAAATATGGGGATGTCAATATAATGATTTCATTGAAAACATTCATGCCATGTACTTTAATATTTTGGTGTCGGTAAATATGCCTCTAACAAAGCCATTCTAGGAGAAACTGGTCGTACCAATCTTTTTGTTTCATCCCAGCTACGGGCAGTTAAATATTGGATAAAGCTACTTCGTATGGATTCAAATAGATTTCCTCTTCACTGTTATAATATGTTAAAAGCCTTGGATGAAAAGGGTAAATATTGTTTATGGGTGTCTGATATCAGAAATATTCTTTGTATGTCTGTTTTTTTTCTCTTGCATGGATATCTCAAGATGTTGGAAAAGATAAATTATTTATCTTCATGCTTAAGCAAAGATTACTTGATATATTTTGGCACTGTCAAATATCATCCTCAAGGTTTTTATGCCATTATACGAATATAAAATCATTACTTGTTCCTGAAAGATATGTATCTGTACTTCAGGATAGAATTTTGAGAAGATCTTTGTGAAAATTACGTATATCATTACATAATTTTAATGTTAATAATCTCAGAAAGAAAAATGTACAAGATAAAGAAAGTAGTTTAAGCCGTTATTGTATGAAGGCTATGTTGAGGATGAGTTTCAAAGATGAACAACTGATGAAACAAATTGTTGAACTCCCGCAATGCTAATACAATATCATCTCTGTCAATATTCCTGAAGAAGATTTTTGAAATTAGACCGTAATATTATATGAAAACTTATTATTACCTACACGTGACTGTACAATATTGATACAAAAAAACACTTCTGTACTATGGGTCAAATGGCCTAAAATATTGAATAAACTTCTGTCTGTCTGTCTGTCTGTTGTACACAGGCATTGAAAACTGTTCATTGTCATGTCACATAAGGCCACAAGGTTGCGCTGAACTCAGTATCTCGTGTGACCGCCCGGGCAGCAATCACGGCTCTGCTTCTCCTCGGCACTGACTGGATGTGTACGAATTCTCTCCTGCGGAATCCTGCGCCATTCTGCTTGTTACGCGTTGGACAGATGTGGAAGTGTCTTCGGCGTATTCTGACGTTGACGTTCACGTCGATCGAGTTCATCCCAGAGGTGTTCGATTGGACTGAGATCTGGTAATCTCGAAGGCCAGGGCATGTCGTTGATGTTGGCATTATGAAGGTAGTCTACCGTGACACAAGCTGTGTGATTTGGAGCGTTGTCCCGTTGAAACAGCTCCCTCTAGTCAATGATTGAAAGAAGGTGAGGTTGAAGAATTTGATTCATGTAGTGATTTTCTGTCAAATTTCTCTGAACCATAATCAATTCAGGTCGCTTGGTGTAGGATATGACCCCCTACAACCATGAAACTACCGCCACCGAATTTGTCGAATTCACGTACACAATGTGGGGCAAAACGCTTATTTCGATGACGATTAACACGTTGTCTTCCATCTCGCCGGTAAGGAAGAAATCCTGATTCATCGCTAAACCACCCTCGTCTCCAGTTTCTCGAATTCCAAGGCTGTTTTTGTGTTTATGGCACAACGCAAGCGCCGCTGTCGATGGATCTGTTGCGTCCTGCAGTCTCAGTAGCTGTGGCATTGCGATGACATAGGTGGAAGTGTCGAATGCAGCGATTCTGTGCAGGGATGGTAACTCTTGGTCGGCCGGTTCTCGGACGGTCTGCAGTGGAATTGAACTGTGTGTATCGGACACAAAGGCGGCAAATGGTGCTGTGGTGGACGTTGAAGTGGCGTGCAACAGAAGATTCTCCTCTTTGGATAAGTCCTGTGGCGATATTCCGATCGGCGGCGCTGAGTCTCGTTAGTTTCGAACTTGAAAAATGTTGACAATTGAATAACAAATTATTGGCTTATGCTTGCCTTTTTATAGCCACTCCCACGAGTTACAAATGCCATAACTTGCACGTGCATTTTGCTTCACTGTTTTCCTCCATGACGTTTTTGAACAAGTGGGAAAACAATGCCGTTTAAGACATTGCAAATCGACAATGTCTGCGTTTTGACACACCGTTTGTCGAATATCAGGCCGCTAACATTTTACCGGATTTTTTGTGTAATCAGGTTCAATGAACTAAATGCTACCTGTGCGTTTCTTTTTTTGAAGAGTGTATATATTGCTACACACGTATGCACATATACACACATATGTATAGAGGCACTTGTGAACGGGGTATAAGCTGCCCTATAATAAGGGTAATAAGAATAATAGATAACACAACCCGGCAGAAGCACAATGGTTTGCTCCTTCCATAATAAGAATTATTTTGAACTTATTTTGACATTTATTATTCTATTGACAAAACTGTAAGTGGTCCAAGTATAGTCTTACACAGCACCAATACATGTCACCGGCTCAAGGGTAGTCATAGTTGTATACGTGACACTTGAACAGCAACAACAACAACAACAACAACAACAACAACAACATCCACAATGATAACAAAGGGTCACAAAAGCCTATGGGTAGGAATAAACATATAAATGTCTCTTGAACAACAACGTGTTACACTGGCCTCATGGTAGTGACACACGTATGCAGGTCTCTTTTACAACAACGTGTTACACTGGCCTGATGGTAGTGACACACGTATGCAGGTCTCTTGAACAACAACGTGTTACACTGGCCTGATGGTAGTGACACACGTATGCAGGTCTCTTGAACAACAACGTGTCACACTGGCCTAATGGTAGTGACACACGTATGCAGGTCTCTTGAACAACTACGTGTCACACTGGCCTGATGGTAGTGACACACGTATGCAGGTCTCTTGAACAACAACGTGTCACACTGGCCTGATGGTAGTGACACACGTATGCCGGTCTCTTGAACAACAACGTGTCACACTGGCCTGATGGTAGTGACACACGTATGCAGGTCTCTTGAACAACAACGTGTCACACTGGCCTGATGGTAGTGACACACATATGCAGGTCTCTTGAACAACAACGTGTCACACTGGCCTGATGGTAGTGACACACGTATGCAGGTCTCTTGAACAACAACGTGTCACACTGGCCTGATGGTAGTGACACACATATGCAGGTCTCTTGAACAACAACGTGTCACACTGGCCTGATGGTAGTGACACACGTATGCAGGTCTCTTGAACAACAACGTGTCACACTGGCCTGGTGGTAGTGACACACGTATGCAGGTCTCTTGAACAACAACTGATTACACTGGCCTCATATACACACCTCTTGAACAACAGATGTAAGTAGCCAACGATTAGTCATACACAAATATATGCCTCTTGAACAAAATATGTAATTAGCCAACGATTAGTCATACACATATATATATGCCTCTTGAACAACAGGTGTAAGTAGCCAACGATTAGTCATACACATATATATGCCTCTTGAACAACAGATGAAAGTAGCCTTCGACTAGTCATACACATATATATGCCTCTGAAACAACAGATGTAAGTAGCCTACAGGTAGTCTTACACATATATATACCTCTTGAACAACAGATGTAAGTAGCCTACAATTAGTCATACACATATATATATATATATATATGCCTCTTGAACAACAGATGTAAGTAGCCTACGATTAGTCTTACACATATATATATATATATATATATGCCTCTTGAACAACAGATGTAAGTAGCCTACAATTAGTCATACACACATATATATATATATATATATATGCCTCTTGAACAACAGATGTAAGTAGCCTACGATTAGTCTTACACATATATATGCCTCTTGAACAACAGATAGCAGTATCCTAAAACTAGTCATAAAACTTATACATGAATCTTGAACAACAGCAGGTGGCTGAAGCCTACAGGTAGTCATACATGCCACTTACACAACAACAACATATGACAGCAGCCTCACCTTGCACAGTTACATGTCACTTGGACAACAGTTGGCAGTAGCCTAAAAATAGTCACACATTTACAAGTCTCTTGCACAACAACAGATGTTAGTGGCTTAGGGTCGTCACATCACTATATCTTCAAAGCAAGCATGTTATTCCCTTTTGCATTCATTGAAATGAGTGCGCGACGGCTACCGTCAACATAGGCTGTCGTCATAGCGATCACGCACACTTTGTAAACAACACAAATTAGTTTACAGTACCCTTTTGTGGTGTGAATATTCAAGTGGAGTAAGGCTAAAAATCCAACTTTCTGTTATTGCTACGTTTTACAGTACATGTTTACACCGTCTCTCTCTCTCTCTCTCTCTCTCTCTTTCTCTCCCTCTCTCGCTCTCTCTCTCTCTCGCTCTCAGTTATTCACTATTACGGCGTCATCCCGTTTATTGTGACGTAGAAAATTTGATGTTCAAAAGTGCAAAATGTTAACGACCAATCAGTGTTACACTTAAATACACTTAAATACCTTGTTGATTTTGATCGTGTATCCTGCACAAACTGCTTTGCTTGCCATTCATACATTGCACGCTGTCGTAACAGCAAATCAAATCAGAGGGTGTTATTGGGACTTGGAACCTATAATTGACCAATCACAAACGAGTGCTTCACGAATAAACATAATAGAATGATAACATCCAAGCCGTTAAAGGGGAAGTGTACACTCAAAAATCACTTTCTTTCTTTTTCAAAACAAAACGCAATTTTAGAATTAGTTAGTATTTGTGTTTGAAAATATACACTCACTTTTTCCACAGTGAAAGTAGGTAGCTCACAATACTGTGAAAATGATATGCCGTTATGAGGCCTTCGTTTTTCGAGCTAAACAGGCCTGAGTTATCCCCCTTAGGTTATGACGTAATTGGTGCCAATTCAACTGGGTCCCTGTCTATTCTCAACGCAAAAGATATCAAGTACCAGTTTGCGGTAAAACAACATGGCCTACGACACACGCCGGCGCAGTGGTGACTCAGCATAACACTATGCTGGCTGGCATCTGAGACGCTAGAATCACACGCCTGTACCTACACCACGTGAAGCGGCTCTAACAAAGCATGTTGACGTCATAATGTTTATCAATTGGCACCAATGACGTCATATTGCAAGGGGCATAAGCCATGGTGTTTTTGTTATGGAAATAGAACACTTGGTAAATGTGAAATATAAATCGTTTTAACGCAAAACATATGTTAATTAATTGTGTTATTTTTATATTTTTGTCTATGACACCACTAGGTTAACACTTTTAATGTGGAAAAAGTACAAGAAAAATAGGTTCATTTCAGTGTGCACTTGCCCTTTAAGGAAGCAGATATTTTGGGTGTCAACATTTCAGATAGTCAGATTTCCCAGGGATCGAAATAGGGTACAGTCAAATGTCGTTTACCATTTACTAATAAAACTTTGACTTCGCTCACGCGTCCTATAAAATTATATCATTTAACTAAAGCATTTATCCATGACATAAGCTTATGACATAAAAACATGTATGTCATACCCCAATGATATAAGTATGCAAATTAGATATGCAAATTAGATAACCGGAAGTGGGACTTTTTTCGCCGGTGCACGTGAGTAGGTGTTTACAAACAACATGGATACCTTTGATGTTGGAGACATTATTTCAATTATTCTGCAAAAGTCTGTTTAAGTATTTTGTTAAAATTAATCCGAGGAACTTTTTTTCTCAGCGAAGGAATATGTCATAAAGGAGTTAAGAGGTTGTTTATTTTGGTTTACACGGCTATGGAAAACATGTATCACTACGCACGATCTATATGTAAGATTTCGACAAGTTGCTGATGTTAATGTTTAATGCAATTATTCCTTAATTGGGAAGCAAAAATGTGAAAATGATAAATAGAATTCATCACGAGTGTTTTTCAATATGGGAAATATCAACCTCGTCCCGTTAATCGGTATTTGCCTCGCCAAAGGCTCGGCAAATACCGATTAACTAAGACTCGGTTGATATTTCCCATATTAAAAAACACTCGTGATGAATCCTCTATATATCCTGCTGATATAATTTGTAAACCTCCCCGAGCTGACATCTGTTGACCAATGGCAGCTTGGCGGTTTGGTTATGTACGTTGTGTTCCACAACATCATCCACCAAAGACACATTATGTAGACACACAATGCATTTTTCTCTTTCGTCGAAATGCAAAATCGGTGGTTCTTCAAATCTGCTTCATATAGCCTATATGTTATACTAGCTAAGACATCATGGCAAGTAGATGGCCAGTGTTTGAATGATTTAAAAAATGATAATTTCCTATGGAATGTATAAAAGACAAATTAGCCTTCTAATCTCAGTCGTTAGAATTCCCATATTGATTGCAATGTCAGGAATGTAATTTATCATTTTCAGTTTGGTTCTAGCATATATTTCAAAATGACATCTACATTTACCTCCTCATCAGAAAGTTAAAAGGAGAGTTAATCATATCAGCGCCATTGTTTCCTCCGTGATTGTCCTAGGAGCCTAAAAATGTTCATATCATGTGAAAACTTATTATTGATTACTGCTGGTTTTTTTTGTTCTTCTAAGGACTTCTGCGTCCAGTTGACATCTAATCTTCATTAATATCTTAGGACTGGTGAATAAACACTTAAATATTTCAGTATATTTGGATTGAGTGAGTTGGATTTAACGCCGCTTTTAACAGTATTCCAGTTATATCACGGCGTGTCAGCTTAATGTGGGAGGAAAGCCCGAAGTGATGCAGGTCTCAGACGTTTACCACTTCGGTGAAACCCACGAGCACGGGTATGGTGCTGACAAACCTAGAAACATAATCGGGACGAATCGGGATTCGAACCCACAATAATAGGTTTCTGGTGTGCCCAAGGGACACAACTCTGCACAGCGAATCGCAGCGCCTTAGACGACTTGGCCACCCGTGCCCCCAGAATATTCCGAATAATGTGTGTGTTCTTTTCCCAAAAGTAAGTTAAATAGTGTAATGTAAAAAAACGTAATATATTGCTCCTACAATACGAAGATAAACTACAACTTACAAACCTTCCCAAACAGTCATTATTGCCAGAGTCCAATTTGCAACAAAGGCAAGTCTTTTTAGGATATGTTAAGCTGGAAATGCAGATGTCACAAATTAAATCTATAAAATTCGTTATAATGGTGTGTTAATGTTTCAGGGCCAAACACCTTCCTGAATTGGCAGCCCACGACAACGAGTTCGAATTTAAATCCGACAGAGAATCCGACAGAGAATCCGACAGAGAATCCGACAGAGAATCAGACACAGACTCAGACACAGGCTCCGACACAGAATCAGACACAGACTCAGACACAGGCTCCGACACAGAATCAGACACAGAATACCACACAACCAGCAGCCCGAACATCATCTGGTAATTGACGATTCGGTCATGTGTATGACTATCAGTATGTGTCCAGTATGGGGCTCATGTTTCGTGATATTCCTACACCGGGTATTTAATTTTACTAGCTTTATTGATTGACTTTATGAGCAATTGGGATACGATGACATGCATCAACAAGTCAGCAAGCCTGACCAGCCGATCACATTAGTCGTATTTTACGACACGCATGGGTTGCTGAAGACCAATTTCTAACCCGGATCTTCACGGGTCAAAATATAACACAGCATTTGTCAGCTTTTTACATGGATTGCGTTCAGCTACTAATAAACTTCCTCAACAAAATTAATCTACTGACCAGTCCTTTGCGACACGACTACCTTGAATATAATTCCTACTGACATTGAAGGAATACATGTTTGCTTCCGCGGCCCAGCATTCATAAACCTTATTCTGATATTTTGGCAACATTATTCCTCGTAATTACATACATTAAGTTCATATTGTGGACAAAAACATAAATATATATTCACTGACCAAGAACAATTCCGACGGAATATTTATATATTTGTTATTTTTTGGGAGCAGATTTTCATTCTGATATAGGTCCATGCACGTTCATGTAATACAAATAGCGCCTTAAAAGCGTTCCAGAGCGTAATTGATAATAGAATGATAGGTCCCCAGTATTCCGACAACCACAAACCGGTTAGAATAGTTCCCTAGTATTCCTATAACCCGAAACCGGTAAGAAGAGGTAAGAAGTATTCCCATATCCACAAACCAGTTAGAATGGGTAAGAAGTATTCCTATAACCCCAAACCAGTTAGAATAGGTAAGAAGTATTCCTATAACCTAAAAACCGGTTAGAATAGGTCCCTAGTATTCCTATAACCCCAAACCGGTAAGAATAGGTAAGAAGTATTCCTTTAACCCAAAACCGGTTAGAATAGGTACCCACTTATTTATATAACCCCAAACCGGTTAAAATGGTCCCCAGTTTTCCTTTAATCCGGAACCGGTCACTACTTGTCCCCAGTGCTCTCTTGCTTGTCGTAGAAGGCAGCCAAACTGGACCGGGTGGTTATGCTCTTTGTCATGGTGATTGCGTGTCATCGTTGAACGTCGCTTGTAATATCAACCACTGCTTCGCGTTGTCAAAACGGAGTGCGTGAGTGAGTTGGATTTAACGCCGCTTTTAACAATATTCCAGTTATATCGCGGCGTGTCAGCTTGATGTGGGAGGAAAGCCCGAAGTGATGCAGGTTTCAGACGTTTACCACTTTGGTGAAACCCACGAGCATGGGTATGGTGCTGACAAACCTAGAAACATAATCGGGGACGCAACTCTGCACAGCGAATCGCGGCGCCTTAGACGACTGGGCCACCCGTGCCCCCACAAAGATCTGAGGTCATCCCACTACAGGTCACGTCAGAATGACGTTTCATTCGTCCAGTCTGAGATTGCGAAAGTGAAAGTCCGATTGTGTTTCATGTGACCTGTAATGGGATGACCTCAGATCTTTGTGTGGCGGACACTACGATCTTATTTTAATGACAGTGTATAAGAACTGCTACACTACTTCCAATGGTTTCTTGAACATATATGCCATTGGTGTTTTCACATTTTATTACATTTCCAGTGAAATATCTCCTGTATTCCGCCCTAGTGGTGGCCATCTGCGTGGCTCTCTACATTATCTACAGAACAAGAAAAACGGTGGGTTGGAGTAGTTATTTAATTTCGAGTGTGTGAGTGGGTTGGGTTTAACGCCGCTTTTAACACTATTCCAGTTATATCACGGCGTGTCAGCTTAATGTGGGAGGAAAGCCCGAAGTGATGCAGGTCTCAGACGTTTACCACTTCGGTGAAACCCACGAGCACGGGTATGGTGCTGACAAACCTAGAAACATAATCGGGGCGAACCGGGATTCGAACCCACAATCATAGGTTTCTGGCGTGCCCAAGGGACGCAATTCTGCACAGCGAATCGCGGCGCCTTAGACGACTGGGCCACCCGTGCCCCCTATTTATTTTCGAGGGTATAATATAGCTCTGTGATGCCTTCTCTTTCACATGCTGGCTAACCCATGTATAGATTTACCAACTTGTGATTTACGTATGTCTTCAGATCCTGACTTGCCTTCAAGAGGATGGGAAAACGTCGGAGTCACCTGAAGATGGGAAGGGGACCTACCAGAAGTTACCACATTTTGAAAGGGCTGTACCATCATTAGACGCTGTAGATAAAGTCAAATAGTTTGATTACTACTGCCTGTGATTGACATTCAGGCTTAACCTGTTATCCTATGAATCTGCACTCTGTTTGTTGCAATGATTCTTATTTGCAAAATGAAAACAAGACACTCACATGAGCAATGGGTGTGTATGAAGGCTCATCAACCCTCTATATGAAGTAGTCACACACACACACACACACACACACACACACACACACACACACACACACACACACACACACACACACACACACACACACACACATACATACATACATACATACATACATTCATAATGTAATGCAGTCGGTGCTACCAGTCAGTAATGCATGTATAACGATGCAGGAATGAGACGCTTCATGTTGAAGTTTTTAAACATAGATCTTTAGATAATCTTCTTTGTATTTTGCGACATTTACATGTATTATATTTCTGTTCACTTATTAAACTCATTAACCCCCCAGACATTTTATTTTGTTTTCATGTGTTATTCCCTGACCATACTTTGCCATCAATTAGTCTGAAGCACGGGTCAGCCTTCATCAAGCCCTGATCTTCATCATACAAGGTCTCCTCCATCCCTGCATCTCTTTGTAAGATCTCAAGTGTCGCTGGCCTCACTACATCAAGCATCGTTTACACAGTTGTGACAAGGTTCAGATTAAGGTACTGCCCTCTTGTATTTTTATTGATTAGTATTTTTAAAATGTTAAATTCCCTCGGGTTTTTAGTTACCGTTTGGGCGTTTGTCTCTCGACAAGACAGCATGACAAGAGGGATGACTGAAACTGGCCCTTTATGTCGAGCAATATCCCTGCAGGGACCGTCCTTGGTGTGTACATTTCACACCGTTAGAGGTAAAATCTGAGATGCTCCTTCTACCAAGATTTCAAAGAGCATCATACGACTCTTGTTCAGAAGTTGTTTAATCAAGGTTACAACTTTCACGGCCACAGTAACCGTATCATAAGGCTTTATGATAGACATGTGGAGGACATTTCCAAATTTGAGTGAGTGAGTTGGGTTTGACGCCGCTTTTAGCAGTATTCCAGTTATATCACGGCGTGTCAGCTTAATGTGGGAGGAAAGCCCGAAGTGATGCAGGTCTCAGACGTTTACCACTTCGGTGAAACCCACGAGCACGGGTATGGTGCTGACAAACCTAGAAACATAATCGGGGCGAACCGGGATTCGAACCCACAATTATAGGTTTTTGGCGTGTCCAGGGGACGCAACTCTGCACAGCGAATCGCGGCGCCTTAGACGACTGGGCCACCCGTGCCCCCTTCCAAATTTGACGTATCAGTGACAAAAATGATGTCCGATGCAATTCCCCATTTTGACTTGTACTATATGTTCCAGTGTTCTTTAAGGTGAACAACTGACTTGCCTTTGCATGTGTTTGTGACAGGTCCCAGCGTTGGTGCAGGACACGCTCACTTTCTTATACCTAAACTTTCGATAAACCAGAAGCTTAAGTTAAAATTCTTGGCCAGATTATCTTGTTTTGACTTTGTCGATATTCCGATTCATATGCATTAAGAAACAGGTCCGCAAGAAGGGTAACACAACTGGTGCCCATGGGGATGCCTACTTCTTGCCTAAATAGCTTACCCCCAAATATTTCTTGGATGTTATCAATGAGGAAGTCCAAGATTTCACATATTGTTTTCTCAGTAAACTTCAGATGGCATTTGGCTTTCATGTTTGACAAATTGTCCTGAGCCTCTGAAGATAGATATGTATCTGTTGTCACCACGTTTTGTAACAAAAGCCCAATGGATTAAGGAATGAGGCTTTTCCTTATGTTTCTCATGTTGGATAGTGGTGTACAAATGGTCACCAAGTTTTGAACAAAAGCCCAATGGATCAAGGAATGAAGCTTTTCCTTAAGTTTCTCATGTTGGATAGTTGTGTTTTGACCAAATTGTACTAGGTTCTTTTCTGTGATTGCCAAAAGTCAAGCAAATCTTTTGAGATTTTGAGAATCAACATGGTATTAATTTCACTTGTCTCAAATACTGCTTGAAGAAGGTTCAAGGAAAATGTATTAAGGATTATGGTTAATTTGGTGGGATTTGGTGGTACATTTCCTAGGCCCCTTAATATATCTCTCTTTGTACGGAATGGAGATGTCTTCAGGTTTTAGAGTCAAGTCAAAGGCTGACAGTGCTGGGTAGATTTCTTCCTCAGTTAACATACTGGCCTTATACGTGGCATTATTGGATATGTCATTTATACCAAGTTCTTTGATCAAAGAATTATGTAGTGATGCTTACATTTAATAGTTATGTTATTTGAGGTCTTGTCAGTGGGAAAAACTAAACACATTTCATGTAGAGCAGCCAGACTTTGGGCGACAGCTTGTGCATGCTACCAATAACAACAACTGACTTAACCAACCCTATTTGAAAGACAGGTTCCTGTTTCTTTTGGCCGATTTTTCTGCATATGCTTCGACAACATCCTTAAAAATGTATAAGTTGTGATCTCAAATGGAAGGAGGTTGCTCACGATATTTTGGTCCATATTTGAACAACTGACAAAGGTTGTAATTGTCAACAATAGAGAAGTCACCTGTGATTATATACACAGTAAAAAAAGTGTTGCACCCCCACATTAATACGTTTGATACATCACAACATTTAAAACGCCCGACTCTGGTTTTAATGGTAGGTATTCCTTGGGGATCTGATGTTAAATGTGTAATGTTTTCGGAGGGAAGATGATCACCAAAACGTAGCAATCAGCACGTGAATTGCATGGTGCATGACATTTGCAGATTGCAGTATCTTCTTAAGCTCAACATCGCCTATAAAAGATGTTCTCTGACAGCCCAGTTTATTGTAACCCACAATGCCGGGTAGACGATTGTCAGAAGCAGTCAAGTGGCAGATTATTGGCCTTCATGGAGCAGGTCTTTCGTTCAAGGAGATTGGCAGAAGAACCGGACATCACTACTCAACAATAAGCCGTTTGGTCAGAAAACACGCACAAACTAATGATGTAAGGAATCGCAGACCCTCTGGCAGACCACGTAAGACCACAGTTAGAGATGACAGAGCGTTGTTGAGGGTGGTAAGGCGTCATCCATTTGCTACAAGCACAACCTTGAAACGTCTTTGGCTTCCTCGTCAACAGTTCAGTACCCAGACCGTGAGAAATCGTCTTAAAGCTGCAGGGTTGAAGTCCAGAAGGGTTATCAAGCGACCTAAACTCACAGACAACCACAAACGACTACGTCTAGCCTGGTGTAGACTGAGACAGAACTGGAACTTGAGGTCCTGGAGAAGAGTCCACTGGTCGGACGAAAGCAGGTTCCTTCTGCATGTTGTGGATGGCAGAGTGAGAGTATGGAGGCGTCCTGGAACAGCTTATACTGCAAGAAACATCATGCCAACTGTACCATATGGAGGTGGATCTGTTATGGTCTGGGGATGCTTCTCATTTGATTGTAAGCTTGATTTAGTGACCATACGAGGCAACTTGACAGGGGAGCGCTACATCCAAGAGGTGCTGAATCCAGTTGTGGTGCCCCATTTTGACAATCATCCACTGGCCACCAGACCGATATTCATGGATGACAATGCCAGACCACATCGTTCACGAGCTGTGACCCAGGTTATCCACAACAATGCTCTGACGCAGATTCCATGGCCAGCAATGAGTCCAGATCTGAATCCTCTGGAACATGTATGGGACATTTTGGGACGCCTGATTTATCGTCGGGACCCTCCTCCACAGAACTTGCGTGAATTGGAAGCAGCATTACACGAGGAGTGGCAGCAGCTGCCCATGGAGCGATTCCAACGTCTGGTGAGGAGTATGAGACGAAGACTTCAAGCTGTGATCCAAGTGCTTGGTGGAAGTTCTCGATATTGACTTACTGTGTTCGTCAAATCTCCATATGACATTCTTACCCTATTGGATGAATTTGGTCACTAAAAATTATTGAGATGTCACCATACTTAATGCGTCTTCGTTGTTCGTTCATTTTTCGTAAAAGTTCAGCATGAGATTATTACATGCCATAAGGTCATGGAATACCCCATTTAAGTTCATTGTATAGACAATACACTGGTTTGTTGGTATACACGAAATCCTGGTTATAATATTAATTCGGTTATCTTTACACCCTTTCAAAACATCCCTCCATGAAAAAGTATAGGGGGTGCAACACTTTTTGTACTGTGTATATGATCTACAGGATGATAGAAGTAGTGTAATTTACATCATAAACTTCGAAGTCCATGTTCTGCAATGTGTTCTGCACGTTGAACTTGGATGAAATGGTGTTCGTATAGAAAAATGAAATTGTTGGTGGTTCCTGAAAATTTGTGGGACGTTTTGGGAAACTCATTCTTGTCTGAGAATTTTACTTGGATTAAAGGCATCAATTCCCATGGTTGCAAATTTCAAATTCAAGAACATGCGGTCTTTGCCTGATTATGTGGAGTCTTTCCCTGGTTTGGTCTGTGGTTGATACTGTGGGCTCTTACAACTACCCACCCATCAGCAAAAGTTGCTGAAGTTTAATTTCTTTAAAAGAAAGAATCGTGTCCGAATGATATGTAAATTTCGTTGTTTGTCACACAAATTTAACATTCAGCAAACGTCGCCATAGTCCTTCTGTGGATAATAATACACTCATTCGTAGAATGTACAATTTGAAACTCATGGAAGATGAATATCACTTCCTTCTTGTTTGTCATTTAGTTACCCGCTAACAGCTTATTGAAACCTACCGTTATGATTTTCCAAGGAGAGAAACAATCCATTAGAAGCATATTGAAGGGCTGGGAATGTATTTAAAAAGAAATCCACCTCTTTAGTTGCACATGTAATATATTACCTTCAACTTAGGTGTAGTTGGTGTAGTTGGTGTAGGTGGACATGCAACTGCAAGCATCTTACACACGATTGACACTGAGGGTGGTAGACATCCAATAGCAAACATCTTACACCCCAAAGGCATCAAACAAGGCACTTTGGACTTTGTTAACCACTCCTGTCCTCCCGTGACTTTACACAGTGAACGTGTTGAAGTCTTGTGTCAAATATGTAATATTGCAGCCATATAATTACATGACATGTCTGATTTGATGTAGATTTCTGGTTCTGATAGATTTGTTGCACTTCATTTGCCACGCAATGTTCTGCAAATGTATTGTTGTTTTTTGTATTTATCTTCAGATCCTCCTTTGTCTTAGAACACAGGAGGCACGGGTGGCCCAGTCGTCTAAGGCGCTGCGATTCGCTGTGCACCGAAGTGGTCACCTGAGACCTGCATCACTTCGGGCTTTCCTCCCACATTAAGCTGACACGCGGTGATGTAGCTGGAATACTGTTAAAAGCGGCGTTAAATCAACTCGCTCACTCACTCTTCGAAAACAAAAGAATGACAGATCGTGAAGTTGGCAAATACTAATGTGAACATCAAAAACAAGATACTGCGTGCGCCTTCT